CATTATATATTTTTATAATTTAGATAATTTTAAATAATTATATTATATATTTTTATAATTATATTATATATTTTTATAATTTAGCGCCTCGCTTCGCTCGGGCGAGCGCTTGGGCGAGCGCCTAGCACCTCGGGCGTTTGTGGACCTTGGCGCCTTTTAGCGCCTAGCGCTTTTTAAATCACTGATACAAGAGTAGATAATAATCACATTACGAAATATGACTGGTTGGTTCAAAAAAGATAGACAGCGGTAGATTCTAAGGAACATAAGGTTCACATAATATGGACAAATTCTACAAATAAATGCAATTAAAAGCAAAGCATTAGTTACTTAATGTATAAGTTAAACCTCAAAGTCAGCTGAACGAGGATTTGAAATGACAACTGCTTTATCTCCATCATCCTTCCGCCTTAACATTGCAAAATTCTCCTCATGTGAGCACAATATCCAAGTTAGCACTTCCATGTAACCTGCCCTGGCAACCTACAGAAGACGGAAATATGTTTAACATTAATGTTATGAAAGCCAAATCACTTTGCATGGGTGGCTTAGCACAGGAAATGTACTAGAAACAATTATTTAAATAGTAAGCTTAAATAAAAAATTATTTGCCAAAAAATACAATTATTTTAAGACAAATAATAATGAGAAGAATCAATGCATGACTCAAAGCAGTAAATCCGTATGTATCACCATCTAGAAACTTTAACAAATTGTCCTAGAGGACCTAGACTACCTAGGTTATGATATTTACAAGTTCAAGCCATTGTATTATACACATTGTTTCCATACTCAAAAGCAGAAATTATCAACCAGTATGCAGATGTTTTCTATTACATGAAAGGTGTACTACCCCAAAAACATATTGACGTAAAACCTGCTGCAACAATGTAGCATTCATTAATAAGTTATTGATAATTTGATACAGTTAAAACTTAAAAGTACATTATTGGAATGCTGGTAGCTTCATCTTTAGGTAGAAATCCAACTGCTGGATATGTTCCACATACTTGAGCAATTTCTTTAAACCCTAGAAACCTAAAGATCAACACCAATTCCACTGAGTTTATGAAATACACAATAACATTATTAGACTTGTGAAGAATTTCTTTACAAGTATCTGAGGTGATAACATAACCTAGAAGTATGGATGCAACAAATGCCTCAACTAGCTAAAAAAGACAACAAGAATGATACATAATACTTGTTCAATTTCTATTTAAAAATGTCCAGGTATTACACATATCAAGGTTCAATGTGGTAAGTTACAAATGTTGGCAGGTACACAATATGGCACAGCACTGGCAGAAAGTGCTTAATTATACCACATGCCACTTATCAAATAGTCAGATGACCAATAATGCATGTAATATAATGATGAAGTGTGCCATCAATGTGCTGTAGCAGCGGCCAGGGTGTACCAGCACAACATTCTAGATCTTGTTACAAAGATCCTGAATATCATCTAACGACTCATATATTGGTATAATATCTAATGGATCAGTATGCTACATGGGAACAATACAAAACCATGATAGAAGAAAAGATACAAAATGTGCAAAAGATCAATATTATTCGGGTACTGTTGGTATATCACAGAGCAGCACAAGATTTGATTGGTACATATCGGTCGATGTGCTCGGCATACACCAGTAACTGAATCCATGTACATATATCCATATAATATGCTGTTTCAATTCTAAATCAGCAATTTGCAAGGTATGCTGTCTGTAGTGGTATCAGAATATTTGACCATTGTTAGAAGCAGTTAAAGCACAGAACTAGTTCGTTCACATAATGGTAGCAATAACAGCTATAATCAGTCAGCTAATATAGGTCTTAAACAAACCTTAAACACATATTTAGTTACTTTAAGTAGTAACAAGATTACAACATGAGTTATATGCATACCTCAGCTCTGATTTTATCAGAAAAACGGTTCAATGGCTGCCGACTTCCTGTAGTCATGCATTTAGGCTTCGATTTTGGAATGTTGTTGTACCCATAAGCGATAGCAACATCCTTTAAGTACAACAGAAAAAGATTTATAAGTTAAAAAAAACACTAGCAAAATTAACCAAAAAGAAAAAACTTCAATCAAATACTATTAGCAAGTTGATAATAACTACAAGATTAGGTAAAACCCCACCTCCATCACATCACGGGCATGTAGAATATCACTTCGAGTGGGAGGTACAGATACAAAAATTTTACATTCTCCACCAGTCAATGAGGACTTCTCCGCTTGCAATTGCATTTTATTTAATAAGGTTACAACCTGCCACATTTAAGTGTTTAGGATTGTACATCTCCAAAAGTTGTATATGAGAATGCTGTTACCAAAAGTAAACATCACATAATTATCGAGTATTGTCACATATTTAAGTCTAATTATTTGAGTCATTCTCATAATGGAGAACTTCCCTGGTTTGCTAATCACAAAACAATAAAGGGACAAAGATGAGTTAAGGCTAATGATGTTGAGTGATAAAGGCACAAGAAAGTGAAAGAGCCAGATAACTTGTGAGTCACCTATCTTACATGCCAATTGACAAGCTATAAGTTACTATCGCAATCTACAAAATGCTGTATAGACATCAGACAATATTTCAGCTACAAGGTTTGTTTATAGTGCACCTTAAAATGAAGGAAAGCTAAATTTCAGGGATCTCAAGTTCATTGATTAGTCTTGAGCATACATGAGTAGCCAAACCAAAAGACAACTTTTTTTTTTCAACAGAAGACAACTGTCAAGCTCAGCAGTACATACGCATACTAGCACACTCCTGTTCCAGCATTATGATCATAAAGAAAAATAAAGCAAATTAAAAATGTTGTAACATAGAAGAAAGGCAAAAAATGAATATAGAATACTTAAAATCATGATGATGCTTACATGCCCATGGCCATCCTCGTGGCAAAAGCACATTGAGAAAATAAAAGAAACACCATAGAAATGCTTGTGCATTTAAATTGGAAACTTTAGCTCATACTCTTGAAATAGTGGATCTAAATGTACAGTAACAAAGACTCTTTCTTGACCAAGAATAAACAATATGTTATAAGACTGACTTAGAGCATAGGAATGATTGTTAAATTGATAGTGGGCAGCTAAAAAGAGCAATTACTAGCTACTATACAAAGACAAAACTGATTTTAAGCTGTGCAATTGGTTAAAAAATTTCTCCATAACTCAAGTCCCAACATGGTCTGTAAAGAATTAAGCCAAGAAAAATCTGACAACAGATAAAGATTAACAAATTGCCTTGGATCACCTACATAGCACTTACAGACTGAACAAACAGCTGATCTAATTTTTTAAGTTATAGCAAAAACAATTCAAGAGGGTGTCATATAAATAGTATGGTGACATAACAAAATACCATGATTTTGTTGTCAGACACAAGATAAAAATACTTTCAAGGTGCATTTTAACCATTCTGAAGAAAAGTGAACAAGAAATATATTAACCAAATTATTAAAAAAAAAATGTACAAGAAAAGACTACTGGAAAATGATCAGATCCAACCAAGACCATTAACCACATTTGTAAAGTAGATACCACTATAAACAGCAGATATTAATACCTCCGTAGCATCAAGTGAGATACCAATTGGATCAACAAGGTCAGACAGAGGGACTTCCATTTTCATAATTGAAAGATCGGGGTAGATGTTAGACTTGCCATCAGAGTTTACCACCTCAATTGGTTCGATCTCAAATTTATTTTCACAATATTCAGAAAACATCGTCACCTACAAAAATACAAGAAAGCCATAATCATCAGAATCATTCCATCTTCAAGTTGTAATGCATTAACAAACGAACATTAGCTTTTAAATCATTTTTTACCGCCTACCATTGTGTTCAAAACAATCTTAGCCTTTGTCAAATCAGTGGCTGTACATTCAACGAACACATTTTTTGTCTTTAGGCTGATTGCTGAATGTGCACCATTGATAATTGGTGGCAGTGACAGAACAGTTCTGCAGAAAACATAATGCACTAGTAAGAAGCAGGTCAATACTTGTTAAAAAAAAAAAGACAGAAACACAAAATCACCACGGTAACCCAGCTAATGATAGCATTGTAGTATTTATTCTACACCAAGGAAGTTAATCAAAAGAGTGAGAAAAACAAGGATAAATACAAAAAGCCATGAGCAGAATTGGTCGCCTGACAAAAAATAACCGAGCAAGTTTATAACCGCTCAGCTATAAAAGAAGCGTAGTCCCTAGCAAAATAATTGCCTTACCTATTACTGTCATATATCACAGGGTATACAGGAGAATTCTCAATTATGTGCAAGTACTTCTTCAGCTTCAAATCTGACTGCAAAGATGTTTGGAGATATAAGTTATTGGTACTAAAAGCATTTGCATCCAGGGTGTAACAATTTTTTTATTTAGAGAACAAATCATAAATTGGAAGCCAATTGATACATGGTATGCCAAAATAATAAGAAAAAAATTTCAAAACGAAGATCTGTGTTTCCTTTGAGACATATGACCAAGTGAGAATACAATGATAAACAGAACTTACTTTGTAATATTCTAACAGGTCATCGGCCCTGAAGCTTTTCACCTAAAATAGCCAAGGGGAAAAGAAACAAATAAAGACTGTGTAACTCACAAATCTTGCATAACAAATTATTGCTGGATGCAGATAAAAAATGCTTGTATTGCATAAAAAAATGACAGGCACTGTTGCATTATTCAAAATGAAAAATTACATTTGACAACATAAAGAGCTTCAGGTATGATTACGAAATTAGAAATGACAAATTGCGTATGGCAGTAAGATGACACCGCAAATATAACTTAAAACTTGTCCCCACAAACACTAGAAACAATTGTCATTATATAGACGAGAAAATCTTGATCTAGTAAGGGTGACCATTTAAAGTACTTTATACTTGTAATACACTAAAGGACCAAAGAAGCAAAAAGAACTTGGAGAAAAGAAGTGAGGATAGTTTTAAGTACACAAATCAATCCTAATGAGGAGAGCTGAATAAAGGAATGGTATTCTTATGCTGACAAGTAAACTAATTGAAACTAGAGTTTATGCCAAGAGAAGAAATATTGCCAAGTCCACGAAAACACTCCAAGCATCCTCTTGGTAGAAAACCTTTAGATTTTAATCTTTCAAAGTCCCGCAGTTTGATGCTATTAGTCACAAGATGACAACGAAGATATGGCTTATCAACCAGCTGCATGGTAACTATATTTTAGGGGCATGTTTTGCTTTATAGACCTGTTGCTCGCTTCCTTGAATATTGTTGTTCTTCTCAAGGAACAAGAAAAACAAAAAATAGATACATGAAACAAATCACATAAATGCAAAAAGCAAGAAATGAGATCTCACGAACCAAGCCTACACAGTGTAACACAAAAAACATGTCTGGAAGTTTCGCATTTGTAAGTGCCAATATCAAGTTCCAAGACCGATATAAGGCAATACTGATGCAGTCTGGGGAGAGTCATGAATCTGACGCAAACTCAGCAGTTCTTTGCAGTGAAATGGGCCAATTCACACCAGCAGATACCAATAGCACCCAGTGCCAACCTGGTTATTGAGCACTAGAACATTGTATTCACAAGGCACATGAATATTAAAAGGTTTTTTGTATTAAATCAGAGTACCTAATGATAACTACAATGGCTATTGGCTCTTTAATAATTGACAAATTTAGAAAATGGGAGAAATTGTCATGCTAAGAAAACTTATAATGTATTGCATATTGATCTTGCCAAAATAGCTACAATCAAGCAACAGCTAATACTTCCATCTCTTAGTACCAACGATCATAAATAAATGTGTATGCTACCTGCTTTAGAGGCACAAAATTAATCTCCTGAGGTGGCAAAGCCTGAAAAGATGAAGCAGAAAGAAAATTGTGAGATAATGGAAGTGCCCATACTGAAGAGAAATCAGTGATGCACAACAAAACCCTCACTTGATTTTTCTCTGTGAACAGTAAAGAAGTCCAACTCATTAAATTTAAATCCATCATGTCATGCAATCTAATAAAATTCTAACTAGATATTTAGCATCGCAAAGCGGCTAATATAAACCACAAGGATATTAACCTGCAACAGTTAGCACATAACTTGTGGAGTCTACTAGCAAGACCTATTAAACACAATGGAAATTTAATATTTTTACATCTTTACTTAGTTTTGCTCCTAGTCCACTTTCTCTATGATAACCCCACATGCATCCAAACTCATTATCAACAGTATGGCATATTCTCAATGCACAAAATGTTAGTAAGACACTAAAAGATTAAATATGCATATCTATAAACATTTACCTCATATGTAAAAGGACCCTGTATTGTGTCCAAATCATGAGTTCCAATAGCAACTAAGGTCCTTCTCCTGGTATCACAAAAAGAAAAAACTTTTCACCAGAGAACCAATGCAGATGTCATGTACCAACAGGAAGAGCAAGAAAAACAGAAAACGAAGCAAGAAACAAAGATATTACCTACATATATTTTGGTGGAGTTTATCTTGAAGATCAATGAAGCTGTTGTATCTGGCTTCATCAAAGGCTATTCCTCTTAGAATGGCACAAACGACAAATGGTCGGATCAATGAGGTCTATTAAACCAGAGCATCATGTCAATATCCTGTTTTTTTCTTGTGGCCAAATGAATGAGAAAAGGCATTGACATTGAAGCATTTTTATGTGGTGCAACAACATGACACATATACTCTAGGAAGCTAGCTTCAGTCACTTAAGTAATTACCTCAGGTTTAACATGCATTCTAAGCATAGACTTAGGTGGGACATCAGAGATTGTATATAGAGGACTTTTTTCACTTCCAATAAAAATTCTGAGAGCTCGAGCAATCCCTTCGAGACAGAGCAAATCATATCTGCATATGTCAAAAAGAAAAAGAAAAAAAAAGAGAAGATGGAAACTATATTATATTCAATATTACAAATAAATCATCAATTATCAGAAATAAATTTCAGAAGAAAGCTACATTTATTTCCATCAGAGAAGCATTTATAGTCAAGGACTTTCTATGACATTGGACTCACTTGCAACTCATTTTTATTGAATGCACTGCATCAGGCTATCAGCTAAAGGCTACATACTATATACAGCACAAGTTATAAGCATGACAGTATTAACAAAAAAAACATCTTGAACGCACTTCATATGATGCACCATAACTGTCAACAAAAGGTTCTTCGATAGCACAATAACATGATACCATCTTCACCCCTTGAATGTCAATTAATTCAAGATCTAGTTAAATTATCAACCAGGATATCCAAACAATTCGTGTTTTCCATCTAAAATAGCCAAATTAAGTACAGATACCAATTAATCCACATACCAAAATCAAAAGCCAGACACCACACAGAGCCAGCAAAAAATGAGTCCAACGTTACCTATTGGCGGCGACTTCGATTTTGTATATGACCTCCTCGTCCTCTTCGTCAGCATCATCATCTTCGAGATGCTTCTCCTTCCTAATAATTGCCTTCTCCGTAGTCTTTGCAGGAAGGGAACGGATGTCATTTATAGCAACAAACGATACGAAATGCACAAGGAACCAACTTATACGAGACAAGATCAAGACTCGTCGCTCACCACATCGTCGAGCTCGATGCCGAACTCGAAACAGAGGGCTTCGAACTCCTCCTGCGCTGCGATCGCCAGATATGAGAATTAAGCGAGATAGATAAAGAAAGAGGGAAGAGAGAGAGGACGGATCCGAGGAGATTTTACTGTAGGTTTTGCCGAGGGCGGCGAAGAGGCGGTCCCTTCCGACGCTCACCGTCGGCATTGGCGGAGCAGGTGCGGTCGCGTCGGCAGAGGAAGGAATGGGCTCTGCGATGAGGTGCGGGACGGCGGCGGAGGCGCGGAAGAAACCCTTAAGAGCGCAAAGCGGAGATGTCACGTGGGCCGCATGTGCCAGAACGACCTTGACGCCCTTTAGCCAATGCGAGGCTGAAGTGACCGGACTCCAGTTATTGACGGACCCGGTTTTTATCGGATCATTTCCATCTAAAGTCCGATGCCCAGATCCGAAGTTGACGATGCAGATGTGAGAACTGGAGAATCCAACGGTTGAGAGAATTCTCTCAGATTGGTGCGGATGTAAATCGAATTATGACATATATTCGATATATTTATTCATTGACGAAAATTCAATTTAATATGTCAAATTCATTAATATATATTTATATATGTTTAGATATATAGAAATCGCACTTAAATATATCTCTCTTCCATCATAAATATTATTATTATTATTTTTATTTTTACGTGTGTTTTATGAACAATCATCCGAAAACCCACTCCTGGACGAAATTTATCATTATTATTGCAAGAATCTAAACAAATATTTGGCTCAAATAGATTACTCAGCACAAACCATGTACAACCAGATACTATATTAACATCAGCAGATGTACTCTAATCACCGCTGCCTCGTGTCCTCTCCGTCTCGTCCCTGCTCTCGACGGCGTCCGCCATCCTCAGCATGGTTTAGTTGGACTGCATCACCCTCTCGCCCGCTTCAGGGTGTACCTCAGCGACGACAGCACGCTGCGGCCGGGGAAGCGTGTCCTCATGAAGTCTGCCACCACCAGCGCCGCGGGCACCAGCACGGGGCTGAGAAAGATGACAGAACCGGCGAGGGTGAGGATGAGGTGACAGAGAGAGGAGAGTCTGCGTCGAGAGAGATGGAGGTCGAAGGAGGGCGCTTTTGTTGTGAGACGTGTGGAAGCGAGGATGAGGCGTGGTGGAGAGAGCGGGCGAGGCGGACGCCACCATGGGCTACTGCATGGCGAGGGAGCCGGACACGAACGAGTCTCGTGCGCTCCACCAAGCTTTTCTTTTGTCGTTTATTGATGGGGAAGAGGGCGTCCGAGTCGTCCTTCAGACGCGGGTCCCAGATGGGGCCCGTTACTCTTCTCCAATAACAGCAGGGAATAAATAATTAAATATTGTTAATATAAAAACTGAAGTTGTATATATATCCCTTCAAAATGAGTATTTTTCATTTATTTCTAAAAATTATAATGTACATATTCGTTATAATGACTATTAGATCATACAATTAATTTTTTGATTAATATTTAGTATTATGATAACAAGAATATAAAATAAATTTCAAATTTCTATATTTTATTTCGTTAAATTTAAACTAGCTAACAATATTTGATATTACAAGTAATGTGCACCAAACGATCAAGCCGGGTTGGGTCGGACTAGATTTGCGTTCAATCAAGATCAACTTTGGGTTTGGTTTCAATTCAATTCTAGCAACACGAAGCCCCAATCCGGCCCATAGAAAAGGACCGGTTGGTTCGGGTATTGCAATCATTGGATTCGGTTAGAGGTCCGACCCGAATCATAGGTGTAGAGTTTGAACCCGTAGATCCCATAGAATCACATCAGAAACATTTCTAAGCACATCGGACGGTCAGTTCCTCTCCAAGTTCCCATCTCCACTGAAGCTCATTTTTCAATACGAGACTACTAACCCTTCTCAGAGGAATAAATCCTCCGGTCTCGCCGCCGTTGTCGTCACCGTCGCCGCCTCCGCTGCCCGTCCACCATGGGTAGATTGAATCGCCGATCTCCGGACGCTTTAATCTTTCTTATCTTCTTAGTCTTCTTGGCCTCGTTGACCTCCGCCTGGAAGAAGGACGAGTTCCGCTCCTGCCGCCAGACCCCCTTCTGCAAGCGCGCCCGCGGCCGTGCCCCCAATTCGCTCCCCTCCTTCTCCGTGGCCGACGTCTCCCTCTCAGATGGCGCAGTCTCCGCCCGCCTCGTCCCCGCCCCCACCCTCCGCCAGGTCACCGACGACGACCCGTCCGCCGCCGACGGCGACGACGCCAGCTCGCGGTCTCTCCTCCTCCGCCTCTCCGTATACCGCGGCGGCATCCTCCGCCTCGAGATCGACGAGGACCCTTCCTCCGCCCCCACCACAAAGCGCCGGTTCCGCCTCCCCGACGTCCTCCTCCCCAACCTCGACGACCTCCGGCTCTGGCTCTCTCGTCTTTCCCCAGATGGCGCGTCCGCCACCTCCTTCTACCTCGCAGACGGCTTCGAGGGCGTCCTCCGCCACGATCCCTTCCAGATCGTCGTCCGTCGCGCTGGATCTGGGGGCGAGCCCGTCCTCTCGCTCAACTCTCACGGGCTGTTCGATTTCGAGCAGTTGAGGGCCAAGAAAGATGACGAGAATTGGGAGGAGAACTTTCGCAGCCACACCGACTCGCGGCCTCACGGTCCTCAGTCGATAAGCTTCGACGTTTCCTTTCACGGCGCCGATTTCGTTTACGGGATCCCGGAGCATGCCTCGACGTCGCTATCCCTCCGTCCGACTAGAGGTCCCGGAGTCGATGAATCCGAACCCTACCGTCTCTTCAACCTCGATGTCTTCGAGTACCTCCATGATTCCCCCTTTGGGATCTACGGATCCATCCCCTTTATGCTCTCGCACGGCACCCGCTCGACGTCAGGATTCTTCTGGCTCAACGCTGCTGAGATGCAAATTGATGTTCTCGCCCCCGGGTGGGATGATCCGGCCGCGCCAAACGCAGGGAGGGTCGACACATTTTGGATGAGCGAGGCTGGAGTCGTGGATGCATTCTTCTTTGTCGGTCCAGGTCCGAAGGATGTGCTGCGGCAGTACGCTTCGGTCACCGGGACTCAGGCGATGCCGCAGGAGTTTGCAGTGGCATATCACCAATGCAGGTGGAATTACAGGGACGAGGAGGATGTTGCAGCTGTGGATGCTGGGTTTGATGAGCATGATATACCTTATGATGTCTTGTGGCTCGATATCGATCATGCTGATGGGAAGCGATACTTCACTTGGGACCGAGTGTTGTTCCCACACCCAGAGGAGATGCAGAACAAGTTGGCTGCCAAGGGGAGGCACATGGTAACGATTGTTGACCCTCATATCAAGCGGGATGATTCATTTTACTTGCACAAAGAAGCGACCGAGAAGGGTTACTATGTGAAAGATGCATCAGGGAAGGATTTTGATGGGTGGTGCTGGCCAGGGTCCTCGTCTTATCCTGATATGTTGAATCCAGAGATACGAGAGTGGTGGGCTGAGAAATTCTCTTTGAAGGAATATGTAGGTTCAACACCATCATTGTACATATGGAATGACATGAACGAGCCTTCGGTCTTCAATGGTCCTGAGGTAATGTCAATTTGTGGCCCTTCTACGTTTATTAGAAGGGGATCAGCGACTCTGTCCAAAATATACAACATTTACCTCTAGTTTCTGCTGTTGACAAAGTGCTTTATGGAGATTTTCTGGAAGGTTAGGCTATGCATTAGGAGCATCGTAGATTACAGAATACAGATTATTGAAATTATAACATTTAAATCAGAATATGATTCTGGTAACTCAGTAGCTTTTAGTTGTTATTTGTGCATGAGTAATTAATTTAGTATGTTCACATATCTAGCCACAGTTTTACTTTGGAGGACCAATTTCAATTTGCAATTGCAGTGAAAGAGGAACGTTCACCTTTCCAGATGATGCGCCACATAGTCTTTATTCAACTCTAGTTTTGATTTTCATGCTGATTGATTAAATCGGATGTAAATTAACAAAAAGGAGCATTTACTTGGAAGCTCTATACATCAAAATACTCATGTTATTGTTTACTTTTCATGTTATTGTAGATTTTCAAGGCCTAAGAACTTTTTTCGCTGGATATCCATAACCTTTCCATTTGAGTTCCACATTAAAGATTAATTTATCAACCATCTTTGTGAAATGACCTTTTCTGTTCAGTTCTAAATAGTAACTAATGTTCAAATTCTACCTTCAAGAGTAAGTTCTTTTTTCCCTCGCAAGTATGTTAAACTCTCTTGAAAAGCAATAATTATCAGTTTTTCTCAGGTAACCATGCCCAGGGATGCTATACACATGGGAGGCGTAGAGCACAGGGAATTACACAATGCATATGGTTACTATTTTCATATGGCTACATCTAATGGTCTCTTAAAGAGAGGTAATGGAAAAGACAGGCCGTTTGTTTTATCGAGAGCTATTTTTGCTGGAAGCCAAAGGTATGGTGCAATCTGGACTGGAGACAATTCTGCAGATTGGGACCATCTCAGAGTTTCGGTTCCAATGATTCTAAACCTTGGTCTTGCTGGCATGTCATTTTCTGGTGAGTAAATTTTCATAGTTGGTTATGGATGTGTATTGCATGTTTACCTGGATGCTTTTCTAAAATAAACTTATGTCGCAGGTGCTGATGTTGGAGGGTTTTTTGGCAACCCAGAAAATGACTTGTTAGTCCGATGGTACCAGCTTGGTGCTTATTATCCATTCTTTAGAGCTCATGCTCACCATGACACCAAGAGACGAGAGCCTTGGCTATTTGGGTATTCATGATTACTGTCTTCATCTACAACCAAGATACTATATTAATTGCAGGATTTCTGTCTGCTGATCATACTTGATTTATTTGTGATAACTAAGCTAGTTTTGTTATACATTCTGTTATAGATATTAACTAAGCAACTGAAATGCTAGGGTTTCATGCTCCTTTCTGTTGCACTTACTTGGAGATTCTCGTGACCTTTTATGGCTCCAGTATTCAGAGTCACTATCTTGTTCGGCCAACATGAATACAGCTGATGAGTCAAATGCTTATGGTGTTTTCACTATCACTTCATGTGATGTGTTCTTTTGCCTTCATTATTAACCCTTTGTCTTAATATGCTGTATGCTGCAGTTTGGCTAGTTTCAGGTAGACTTAGTAGAAGGCTCTTTTGTGCCTAGCTTTTAATGCTGTTTTTATGCTTAGTAAAATAATGACACTAGCTTAGCCTAGCCTTGACGTACATTTTAAGCAGGATTTAATCTTCAGGTCTACTGAGGATAAATGATGGAACCAGGTTCAAACCATAGTAAATGGGTTCTTATCCAGTGGCTTAGAAACTTCAAGGAAAGCAGCAGAAGTGTTTAAGCTATGTCTTCAATTAGGGTATAAAAGGAAAAAATCAAGGAATGGACCTGAGTGTAAAAAACGGGTGTGGCAGGTTCTGCACCGGATCCTAGAAAACGGGATTTGAGGTCGATGCTTTATGGTTTTGGAAGTGGTCAATTGGGTCTGCTGTTATATCAACCAGATAGATTGGAGTGTTGATCCTAGTTATAATATACAGTGGATTAACTTTGTTACCATTTGAGAGAAAAAAAATTAGCAGATGAGGAAAAGGATCTAAATGGGCAATGCGATTCGTTATGGTTTAACTTGTATTCATGTTTTTCACAAATAGCAACGATGGAAACAAAGAAAAAAAGAACAGGGAGAGCAGAAGGAGGGAATAAGAACAGAAGGGATATAGGTCTTCTGGACTCACTTTGTTGGTTGTGTGGTACATAGCATACACTACATGCAGGTAAGAAGAGAAAATGATGAATTTTGAACTCTTAATGCAGCTGATTATATGAAAATTCACTTCTGTTGGCTAGTTGAGTGATCAACATATGTTATAAGCATTAGAAAATCAAATGACTAAGGTTTCCTTTCCCTTTTACATGTGCCATACTTCTAAACCTCTAAGAAATATACAGTTCGTTGTTTGAAAGCTAAATTGAACTATGTAGAATCTAATAATAGATCCACACTTTTCAATTAGTCCAGTGCATCCAATGGATAAAGCTTAACCCATGGCTTGATATTTGAAGATAACACAATGGTACACCTTGAGGTGAACCATGGTGGTCTTGTCATCGCTGCATCCTTAAATGGTGGTGCAAATGGCTTCTATAATCAAGTTGTGCACTATGTATCATTGCTATTTAGATACTATAATATGCACAAAATTGTATTGTTCTGTGAATGATGGATGAATGTTGTTTCTGGTTTGGCCTGGCATTGAAGCTATCTCTTGCTTACACGGTTGTCAGATATTTAATGAGATAGGACAAATTCTCTAATTGCAGAAATATGTAGGATAGGGGTTTGTATTACTTCTGTCAGCGCTTTGAAGTAAACCACGGTCCCTGTGGTAAATCTTGTTATTTTTTGCTTCTTCTAGCCTAATTATAGAGGAATTTTAGAGAGTATCTTCTTATTTGCATGAGTTTAAGTTGCAAGCAAAAAGGTAGAATTTCCTCTTTGCTAATTTTCCTTTACATGGTAACTGCTTTTTAACCTAAATTTGTCTTGGGAAATTTTATACCAAATTTGGAGGGTGGACATCAAGGAGACTCCTTGAGTTTCGATTGTGGTTTAAGGATCTTTAAGTAGTACCTAATTGTTTCTTGTAACGAGTAGCAGTTAAAGAGCATTTTTTACATTCAGGGCTTTTGTATGCCCTACATCATGGTAACCAGCTCCTGTGGCATATCTGAAACTGTCCAATTGCATAACTTTTTTTGTTAAAAGATTTTTGTTATGATTTCCCTTTTTTTTTTCTCTATAGACTTGTTTGGAATAATGCCTATCCTTAGTTTGGAGTCATGGTTTGCATAGTTTTGGTTCCTAGTTCTAAAGGCAATTAACTCATAAATGGAACAACTTCTTTACTAATGATTTCTCATGTCTTCTTAGTAGCATCCTAAAATGGACACCTCAGCAACATATCTGTAATGTATCATAGATTTGTGCAGTATATGATGTTTGTTATGGAAATATATTTACACAAAAGTGCATGATTTTTCTGTCTAATCAATGCAGAGAGCAGAACACTGCTTTGATGAGAGAGGCAATACACACTCGATACTCATTGTTGCCATACTATTACACACTATTCAGAGAGGCTGCTGTAACTGGCATCCCTGTTATGCGCCCTTTGTGGTTGGAATTTCCTTCTGACAAAGAAACATATGATAATGGTGAAGCTTTTCTGGTTGGCTCAAGTTTGTTAGTCCATGGGATTTATGAAAAGGTACTATTGATTTTTATCTCTGTATGTGTCCTACAAGTTCTTTTATTTGTTCCTTCATTAGTTTTTAAGGAGAATCGATCTTCTTTTGTTGCTGGACAGGATCAAAAGTCAGCATCAGTTTATTTGCCTTCTGGAGCATCGTGGTTTAACTTGAGAAATGGAGTCAAGTTTGATGGAGGTGTCTCCCACAAACTGGCTGTTTCAGAGGACAGCATACCCAGTTTCCAGAGAGCAGGTACTATTATACCGAGAAAGGACAGATTTAGGCGCAGTTCCACCCAGATGGTGAACGACCCTTACACTCTGGTATGCTTATTATGAATGAAATGCTCTCTTACCTGCCAAATCCTTTGTGTCCTTTATCTGGTTGGCTGCAAATTGTGATGGAAAAATAGGTTAGTTTACACTAGTTTTAAAGGCTTGAAAACCACAAGCTTCCTTTGCATAGGTTTCTAGTGTCCCTATGATGTTTTTTGCTATTGCTATAGTAAATGCCATAAAGGAAAATATAACATTCTCAAGTTGGAATGATTGAGTTTAAATTTTGCTTCATGTATTGCCATCATGATCTTATCAACTTAGTACACTCTTCAATCTATTTTCTGCAAGTGATATATGGAGCTATCTTGTGTGAGCAGGTAATAGCCCTTAATGGTTCACTCGCTGCTGAAGGGGAGCTCTACATCGATGATGGCAAAAGCTATGACTTTGAGCAGGGGGCATACATCCATCGGCGTTTTATATTCGCTGATCGCAAGCTAACGTCGATAGACATTCGCCCCTCCAACGTAGGTGACAAGAAATTTTCCACAGATTGCACTGTGGAGAGAATTATACTTCTCGGACTGCCATCCGGTGCCAAAAAAGCTGTGGTCGAACCAGGGAATCATGAAACGAACATCGAACTTGGTCCACTCACCCTCCGGAGGGCGTCGCCGCCAGTTGCACTCACTATCAGGAAACCCAATGTTCGCGTCGCGGACGACTGGTCTCTGAGAATATTATAATGGTGTTGCAGCTAGCGAATTTTGCTGGATGATGAGTTGACATTAGTAGATTTACCTCGCTCTCAAGAGGAGAACACAGGTCATATTATTTATGAGCATGTTTTATGGCCCAACAAATCATTTTCATGGATGCATACCAAGTTGCAGGAGAGTTGACTTTGGCCTCTATATGCCTCTCTGATACAAGTCACATTGTTTATGCTCGAGTATTCGACTTATCTGATGTAGTTAATATCAGTATTGTTCAGCATGTTTAGATATCCTTCTCACATTTAGATGATTCAGGTATGAGTTACAAGTCAAGCAGGGTTATGTTCACATCTTTATTCATGCATATGTGATCCTGGAAATTTCCTGTTGGATTTATTGCATGCATATGGATTGGTAAGATGAATCATACTTATAATTAAGGTTTTTAATTTGGTCAATGATCATGGTTTCAGATAATAATCTTATCAATAGACAGTATTAGTTAGTGTGCATGGCGAAAGAAAAGAAAAAAGAGGACAATTAAAGTTGTTATGATTGGACACAGCATTCTCATACTGGGCAACAATTTGCGCTTGAATTCCAGGCATTGAAGTCAACCCTTTGTCAGTTCCTCATTCAATAGTTAAAGCTACATGTTATCCTCAACAGTGCTGCGGCATCTGCCAGTCAACCCCTACCTACCAAACCTGAGGACGCCTCCATACTTCTCTACGTGAGTTCCACTGATCCCCAAGCATCTCCTCTTCTCTACCTAACAAACTTGAGGGCGTCCGGAAGCTGCCTCCTCTTCTCTCCGCCGATCCGCATAAGAGAGAGAGAGAGAGACAGTCCCATCGCTCGTTCGCAGTGTAGTGCTGCTGCTGCCGCGGGCATTGTCGCAGAGGAGACCTGAAGCATCAGATGCTGCAGCTGCTGTTGGCGGTGGCGCTCTCAGCAGCGCCGCTGACGCTGTACGTGCCTTCGCTGCGGAGGCTGAGCCCGTTCATGGAGGCCTTCGAGGCGCTGCTGAGGGAGGCGGCGGAGTCTTCTTCCTCTGCTTACCTACGTTTCAGGCTCGGTGTTCGTCGTATTCTCGTTCTTGTATCGTATTGCCTTCGGTAGAACTGTGTTCCTATATATATATATATATATATATATATATAATTTTAAGGTCTTTTAAGGAATAATATATGCGGTGTTGGTAAGAAAGACTGTCATTTCTTAGAGGAACTTCTTGATTGTGTGTCTGTGATGCAAAATTTATTTGAAGATACATGTCTTTTAATGAATAAAAGATTATGCTTGTTGACTTTGTGGCAATTGGGTCACTAAGAAGAAAAAAAGAAAAGAGAGAAAGATTTGAATCTTCCTCCCCAAATAAAATGATCAATGAATCCACTTGAATTCTTCTTGTGATTTGATGGTTTTGATCTCAGCTTTTATGTCTTACTCGGAAGAGAAAGAACAGGTCATGACCAATAATTTGTCCTCCTTGCTGCATTATTTGTTCTCCTGCATTTTGCATCGACCAGAGTCAATAAAATAAAATAAAAAGTTCTTCAACCTGAAAAGCATCTGATTGGTGAATAGAAATTCTTATTTTGGTGGCACACCACAAGGAGGCAGCATATGGCCTTTGTAGTATACAGACAGATGCAAAGAAGAAATGGCATGCCTTAATTGTCAGGTCATCCCTAAATAAACAAACAATGCATGGAGTTCACTATATTGTACTGTACATATGAACAAAGAAGATCAAAGTTAGGTTCTGTTCCTGGTTGGGTGAAGAGACTCTAACAAGGTCACAAACTGCTTCAGATGCTTGCTGGTATCAATCCTTGATCAGTTCCTGTTGATGAGAGACTCCATCTTAGTTGACACATAGCATCATCAAATGTTCAACTGAGTCCAACACAATTTGAACAGCCATTCCAGGATGCATGACTGGCTTTTGCATAAAAAACATGCAAGTCTCCATATAGCACTTCTTCTCAAGGTCAGTTAAGAGGGGTCACCGATACCACATTTTCCGATTGCAATTACCAGTTTAGGCAATAAATAACCAAGATATGGTCCATGACTCATTAGTAGACATTTTTCGGCGACAGAAATGATCCTTCCAAATCATCTGCACCCTCTTCTTTCCCACGCCTCCAGTCTACCATCATCTACGGTTGATTTAGTCCACGATATCACATGATTTGTGGACAACTGACATGACATATAACAGCTACAACAAGAGGCTATGTTTGTCTCCCTGAGCACAATTCCCTACTTGCTGAAGAAATATGAGGAAATTAGGAAATAATGATATGTTTTGATAACACAAGCTCAAACGAAACATGAAAACATTGGGCTTCAAAAGTCCATACCTGATTCTGAGCTATTCTGCAATATGGTTGCAATCTCCGGATCATAGAACATCGATCAACTCAGTAGAACCTCTACCTGGTATCCGGGTTCATTATCCTGATCGGTTTCCCTAGTTTTGACTTATCTTCCATCCTTGCAATCTCCAAAGCCTTTGAACAAATGGGGAAGCACTTCTCATCCCAAGAATCCATAATAACACCTGAACCTATGCAGACATCACCATGGTAGAAAGCTGCAAACTGTCCGGCAGCCAAGCCCTGGTCATCTTCAGATAGATGCACCACCAAATTATCTTCATCACCATCTATCCCTGGCACTGCCATAATGCTGCAGTCATAAAAACCAGGACCATGTCGAACCTGATGATTAAGATTCTTGGTCAATATGCATACATAAACTGGATTTTTTTTCTCCTTATTTTGTCTAATTTTCCCCTAAAATGCATTTCCAGCTCAATGCAAAAAGGTCAATTTGTGACCCCCAAAGCAGACTATGTATGTACCTGTACCATGCATAAGGCTATCTTATAAAGCAAAGGATATCTGGAAACAAGTGTCATACTTGCATTACTATGTTTTTTATTTATCAATGCTTCTAAACAAGACCACGTGGTTTTCTTCCCTACCATCCTAGAAAAAGTTCCAATCAAATCAAACAACATGGAATTTGTATACCATGTCATCCAGGGAACTGAACACTAACATGCTAGAATCTAGATAAAATATTAAAAACTTCACAAAAATAATACCATATACTATGGAACACAAAGCAACCCATCATATTTGATCATCTAACAATAGTTTCTTGTACAATCTACAAACAGAAAAGGCATGCATACAATGTATGAAGCAACCAAATCTAGCAATATAATGATGCAGGTGTAAGAAACCAGTTCTTGTTTGTTTCTTTTATTTTTTTTACCTTGCACTGTAGTTGCTCAGTGTTTTCAGGAGGTGCACCACTGAACCAATTCAATGATCCAACATGAAATGTACGCCGTCTTTTATCCAACGAAAAGTAGTTTCTTGATACAAAAACAACATTGTTCCGCACATCCTTTTCAACAACATACCTGCAACAATGTAAGTAATCTTGGTAATTGGATTATCCAATTAAACACACTAATTCTTGTTGATGACAAATAGTTTTGTTTAATTTTCTAATATAGTGAGTTCTTAAGGTCAGGAAGACAGGAACCACAAACATTTCTATCATAAGTTCAATGCATACAACAGAAGTTTTCCAGAGACTAAATTGACACTGTGGCCATCAACAAAACAAAGTATGTTGAAGCAAAATTGCAAACCAGGGTCCTCCAGAAAGCCGCAGGCCTTGGCGCTGACCAATAGTATAGAACCAAAATCCATGATGATTTCCTAGATAATCTCCAGTTTCAGCTTCAAGCAATATGCCCTCCAACTCCCCTATATGCTTTGCAACAAACTCACTAAACTTAACCTACATTTAAAATGGTTAATCAGACACCAAATTCTAGAGCTTCTCTTATGAAAAATCCATGAAATATGATGTCAATAAATGCTGGTTCAAGATAAACTAAAGTTCATCACTAATACAGCATATGAAAGTATGGCATTGTTACCTTTCCAAGAAAACATATTCCTTGAGAGTCCTTTCTATCTTTGTTTGGAAGGTCCATAAGAGTAGCTATCCTACGCACTTCATCCTGTTTAATTCAACAGAATACAAGTTACAAAACAGTAAAAGTGGGAAAGTTCAGTCTTCATGCTGACCATGAAGGTGCATCACACATTTAAGTGATTGCAGATTGGAAAATTGTAAATACTATACAATGACATCAAAAAAAAAATGTTGGATGTTGTTATTTCATATCTCAAGAAAACATGAGCTATCTAACCTTTCTCAAGCAACCAAGTGGAAAAAGAAGCCTTTTGAGCTGAGACTGCGAAAGATGGGAGAGAAAATACGTTTGATCCTTGATCTGCAGTATTAAGTACGTAATCAAATTAATTCAAATGGATGAAAAAGAGACTAAAAAGAATCTAAATGCTGCTAATCACAACTTTTTCATTCTTTAATGGAGAAATTAAATATACTACTATTGATCAATACTTTCTAACCTTGTCTTAAATAGCACAAATGAAACATAATTAAGATAAGACAATAATGCAAATGTTTAATATTGTCATTTGCACTAGCAAAATTTTGAATTTTATGTGTTTTTTTTATTTCAAATGTTCAACATCCTTGTTTTAGTTATGGTGGAGCTGAGCAACACCTAATCAGCTTGTAGTGACTATCACACAAATAAACAAGTCAGTTATTCAACCAGGTTGAAGCTTTGATAGATACATCTGCATCATAAACTAAAATAGATACATCCTTATTTTTAGTCCCATCAGATATGATAGTTTGCTTATTCATGTGATCTCAATAAAAATCATGTGAATAAACAAAATGCAATGAACTTCTATCAAACAACTTTTAACAATTCTAAGATGATAAAGATCACTAAACAACAAAATACACTTAAAGGTGCCAAGGCTATGTAAATGTAAAGGATTTCTAGCTCAAATTTCATCTTGTTATGAGATAATAAAAAGGTTGGAAATCAAAAGGAGGCAGTGACTTGGTGCAAAGTTAAAATTACTCAATTGCAACCAAAGTGTCCTGGGCCAAACAATCGTTTAATGTTTGTGGAGACTTCTACACTTCAAGTTGCAGAAGAAGCACTTCTTAGTATTAACCAGCGCATCCTTTATATATGTGTCTATGCTCTGCAATCTAGCATTTGTAGGTTGTGGTATAGCTGGTTACGAAACAAAAAAAAATGAAGCATAGCAAGTGTTGCTTATAACCTTAGTATACCAATGACATGTTTATCCAGTGATCAAATGATAATCAACTGAAGCCATACTGTCATACAAATGTTCAAAGACAAAAGTGTACAGATGAGGAAAGAAAAAATTTGAGCATGGTACCAAATCTTTTGACAACTTCAAAATGGAAGGCCCATCTTCTGAAGATGAGTGAACAACATGAGCATAATGTCCTGAAGCAACATAATCAAACTCCATACTAGCAATGGCCTCCAAAAAAGCACCTAAACCATAGAACAATTTTTTTTGTACAATTAAACAATCAGTTAGAAAAGGGCTTCCGTAAATGAAGCTAAAAATTCCACAGTGTAAAAGTTGTCAGTTGTAAATGAAACATACCAAATTTAATCCTTGTGTTACAAAGAACATCAGGATTTGGGGTTCGGCCACTACGATACTCACTGATAATGTGACATACCTAACAGTAAGACAACAAAAACATTAAACTTCAATAGAGAAAAAGATCACATTTCAGGTAATAAACAAGACAAATATTCTTTTGGACCCTCACCACTGCAATGTTCGCTAGAAAAATAGTTCATTATCTTGAAACATTATTTTCCTTGACCCCATGTTTAATAAATAGTCATAAAAATGAACTCTCAACAGCATAGATACTAACTAATGGCTGCAGGGAGAGGCCATCTTACCACATTGTTCCAATATTCATCTGACAAATGGACCACTTCCAGAGGCACATCAACCTGTATAAGAGGAAGATATCATATGATTCCAAGCCCTTTATAAAATAATCAAAATACACTCCTAGGATCACATGGTTCTTGATTACAGTAAGTGAATGAATCACGTCCTAATAAGGAAGGAGGCACAAATAGGAGGAATAGTTTTGCTTTGAATCGAGAAAAGAAACCAAAGGATAAACAAATTTTATGATATTTTGTCAAGACTTGTCCTTAAAATTGTGACCACAATAAGTTAGCTATATCATAGTTGCAAAGCACCATTGTTGAAAACTGAGGTTATTCACTATACCAAATCTTCTTACCTTCCTGGATTGTTTACTAGAGTTGCAGTTCAGGTGCAATCAATAAGTAGCATTTGGTTTCTAGCATTCATTAATTATGTATGTAGCAACAGATAAGTAGCATTCGGTGACAGGAAGTTCAAGTACAAATCACTCAATTGATTTAAATAGTGCAGCTTAAGCATAGCAATCCATATATTTTATAGATAGACATTCTTTAAATGAAAATGTTTGGAACTGCTAAAGGGTTACTATTCAAGATATAGAGAATACACCAGGTTGATGGGCAGACATCAATATACCAAACTGAAGCTTCATAAAATTTGGGGTACACCAACAACTGCTGATCTTGATAGACAAAGTCCCATAACAAAATGCATCTCACCTGATCACAAACAGCTCTTGCATATTTCAAATCCTCATCCCATGGGCATTCAGACCAAAAGTTTTGAAAGTCTTCCTACAAAATAAGTATTAGTAACACTATTGAGTTTCTCATTCAGACTAAAGCATGCCTATTACATAAAAAATAATAATTGCAAAACTTAATTGCCAAAATTTTGTCTTCTACAATACTTTGGTAATTGTGTACTGTCAAATTACAATTACAAAACCAAACTGGACCGCCTTTAACCATCACAAGAACAAAACTTGCTTGCATAGGCAACATTTTGGATATCAGATAACAAACACTTGACTGGCCCCGTGTTTGACAAGAGAATCAAAAACCATTTGACTACTTTTTTGAATGTCGATGAGCAATTAATGGCCAGACCACCTATTTAACTGACATTTTGTCGCTTGAGAAATATAATCATCGCTGGCCCTCGATTTGCGATTATGTCGGTGTGTACTATTAGAAAACTACGGTGAAAAGTGCAAACTAGAAAGGAACTACAAGATTCAAAACTTAAGTAATTAGACACCTAAAATCCTAAGTTAGTTCCTCGAGAAGAGTGTCTAAAGGGTACAAAAAAAGCATACTTGGAACCAAATTTTGAGATAGAAAGCGGTGCAGTCGTGCCCCGCGGCGTGGAGGAGGCGGAGGGCGGTGCTGCTGTCGACGCCACCGCTGAGGAGAACGGCGACCCTGAGCCGCCTCCCTGGCATCGAGCATCCAAGGTACGGCTCGAGATCCACGGCGCCGGAGGAGACGCTAGGAAGATGCGGAGCATGTCCGGAAGGAGGAGGCGGCGGCGGCGGCGGCAACGTGAGGACCGGAAGAGAAGAAGAAGTGGAGGAAGATGAGGAAGGAGAAGAAGCAAGAGACATCGAGGAAGCCCGAGGCGATATGAAGAAGGCTTGAGGAGGAGGAGGACGAGGAGGGAGGAAGGGGAAGCGAAACGGGGTTCTTAGATGGACAAGCTTCGGGAGGCAGGGGAGTCGCAGAGGTAGCGTCGCCATTGCTCTACGCATCGCGGTCGCCAAGCCGCTCGGGATCCTCTCCAAGAAGGTGTGCTCAACGGAGATAAAGAGAGGCAAACGGATAGGGAAAGAACTAAGGCAACAGGCCCGACCATTGTTTGGTTCGAATCTGAACCGACCGGGGTTAAAATTGAAATCGAACCGGCATTGCGATTCACTAGTTCTAAATCGAACCGGAATTGACTCGGATGATTCCTACCTTTGGGAGATTTAAAAAAATAAAATCAGAATTAAAAATTGACTTTGGATAATTCAATTTTGATTCCTGAAATATAATTTTTAATTTTTTTATTAAAAAAATTAAAAATAAAATTTATATTTTTATATTTAAATTATTTATAATAAAATTTTAATGATTCAAACTAGAACCACTGATTTTATATTGTGTATAAGAGCCTCAATATTTATCATATATACAAATATACACCTATATATATTATTATTAATATATATTAAAAAAAATAAATATTTTATGATACTAAATGAGTCAATTAAAACTAATAATTTGATAAAAAAAATTAATTGTAACTAAAAAAAAAATAGAGTTCATGTGATGGACCCAAATAGCCCTTATGTTTTGTTGGGCTTATGTTGGGCCATCAATACTAGTGGACGTCCCAATTGGGCCTTCATTCCCGACACACGAAGACCTAAATTTTGAATACAGACGTACTTGTACCGGACTACGGAGATCTCCGCTCGCTGTCCGCCGAATCCATTCCGCTTTCACCATATCTTTGCCCTACGAGTATCAATAAGAGAGCCCAACTTTCCCAACCCTGGCGGCATCCGTTCTTGTACCCATTGTCTCCCGCCCACAGCTCGCATGACCATCTCTTCCGTCGCCTTCGGTCCCGCGAGCCCGGCCCTTGGCCGGCGCTGCCCCACTTGCAGCGTTGGCGGACGGAACTGGAAGCCCCTCGGTGCTTCCTCTTTTTGCATTTCGCGTGGTCTGGAGTGGCCCCGGAGTGCCGCCGCCAGGGTCGTGGCGCCGGCCGCCTCCCTCTCGGCCGTGGAGGAGATCGACCAGGTCGACAGGATCGCGTCTCTGAGCCAGGTCGCCTCTGTGCTCGGCACGCAGTGGGGCGACGAGGGCAAGGGGAAGCTCGTCGATGTTCTTGCTAAGAACTTCGATGTCGTCGCTCGATGTCAGGCAATTTTTGCTCTCTTTCACTTTAAGAGAGAAAACAATCGTCTTTTTTCTCCATCTATGTACTTAAATGCTTGAATTGTTTACTTATTTTTCTTTCGTTTTTGTTCTTGTCAGTGCAGCACTGTTATTGCAAGAGTTGGAACTTTATTTTTTGCTTGTGTCTTATAGTACTTAGATTTGCTTGTGTTTAGTTTCGTGGATATGTTCCAGATGTCCTGATGCGTAAATATTAATGCATCACAAATGAGTTTCAGGAATCTAAGACAAGCATATTGCAAACTAAAGAAATTGCTAGGCTGTTTGAGGTGTAAATATTATGGCTAGGCCAAATGTCTTGTTGGGTTTTATCATTACTCGCCTTTTTCATTCTGATTACAAGGCATGCAGAAATTAATATTTGATTTGGACTAACTAACACCGAGAGTCTATCAAGAAAATGATGTCACTAAGTTTTTCTTTAACTAATGCAGTCATTCGTGCCAAGTAATCTCCCAAGCCTGTTCATTTTTCTTCCCATATTTCTCTCATGGTGTCCCCATTTTCCTTTTGTGTATTTTCATCATCAAATGAATGTTTTGTTGGTTAATACGGCAGAAACAAGATTGCTGAAATCAGATAGAAAGGACACAGATCCGCTTGCACAATTAGACCCATCAAAAAAAGGTATAAACCTGGTGAACATATATTAGTGAAGACCAGAGAATGGTAAAGGGATTGTTTTAATCATCATGAATAAACTATGCACTTGCAGCCATTATCCTTAGTAATTCGAGGTTGTTTATTTGATTCATTATCCTTCTAATGTTGGATTGCAGCCATGATATGCCTAGCAATTCTTATTGTTGTTGCTTTTTTTTTGCATGCCATGTGCACCAATTTTAACTTGTTAATGTTAAATAAATATGAGGTCCTTTGACTTGCTCACTCTGTGTTATTTATATGTGGCTTGTCATTGGTCTATTGGTTGTGGAGTTGGATTATTCTGTTGTACCTTCCATTAGTAGTCCATAATTTAATTCAAACCAATATTAATGCCTCAAACAATTGGTCAATAAAGACCCTTTTTCATACTTTTTATTGTAGCTGAATGTTTGAATAGTGCTTTTGATAAATGCTATTTCCTGGTCCTAATCTGTGATAGGGTACCTAAATGCTTCAGTATCCATCTCTCAAGGCATTTTTGATACAGACTCATGACGATTCTTTGCACTTACAAGACAACAATGAAACTTGTCAAGTCTATAATAGCTTTTGGTCGAAAACATTAGATACAGTTGATCTGGATATCATTATGATCTCTAGCCTCTTGAAGGTTCCAATGTGTTTCTGACACTTGGCTTAATTATGCCATGGCATAAAGTACTGCCAGATGGTGTTTTGTGGGGAATTGGTAATGTATATTGAGGTATATCCAGGGAAAAAGAGCGCAGAAAATTTTATGCCAATTGAGTCAAATACCATGAAGTGTAATACTGCTAAACTGTCATTGACCTGAATGGTACTTTTATTCTGCACCTAGCCTATTGCATTAGCATTAGTTGAGGCTGCTACCACTCAATCCATACTTCTGTCTAGTGGTCGAGTGCCTTAGCTTGTTTGACCTAGAAGCCCTACTCAGACCTGTTCTTGACATAAGATACATTAGATAATTCAGGCGTGTGCTCTGTTCATGTCACATGAGGCAGCCACTGTGGGAGACCTGGTGAGCATTTGCTGACCTTGCACTGGCAGCTGAACTCATTGTCAGCCAAGAGCCGAGGTTGGCCATGCTTTCAGATAGTTGACTGTGTCCAGCTGAATTATGCTGGTCATCCAGCCATATTGGAATCTAAAAAGTGACCCAGGGTGAAAGGTAAGAGAGCATCTTTCACTGTATAACCGTGCTTCAAATCAGATACCAGATCAACTTTATCATTCAGTCTGGAGGTTTTAGTTGGAGTTGAATTAATTATCAAGAGATCTATCTTCTAGCTACATAAACAAGTAGTATGAAGAAAGTGTGTGTGTGTTTGAGGGGGAGAGAGAGAGAGAGAGAGAGAGATGGTTCTCACATGGATATTTTTCTATTCTGCTTGTCATGTCAAATAGATAAGTCTAATAAGTATGGTGCTGACACTAGCAGAGAGTAGGATGGAAGAAACAAATAGATGATCCAAAACAGCTGGACACTGCTTAATCATCTAACCCAATATGTTTTCTCATTATTGTGTGACCCTATAGAAGTAGAATGACTGATAACTTTTTCAGCACAGCATACAAGCTAGATATTAAAGAATTATTTTATTATAGTCTGGCAGTAAATTAGGCCCTGTGGAAATAATATAATCAATAACTTAACAAGTATAGACTATGAAATATTAAAGAATCATTTTTAAGAACTGTTGACCTGGTTGCTTGCAACATGCTGTTAGTTGGGAGGGAAAAGGAAAGAGAAAAGATGAAGAAAGCAAGGGGCAGGAGTAAATTTATTGTGCAGGGGAGGATAAGAGAGGGATGATGTGAGGAATAGCTGTTCCATCCGGTGAATCGAATGGGGGCAAATGTCCCATTGTATAAGGGTCTGATAGAAACTAATAGCATCATGATAAGAAGTTAGGTTATTTCTTGTAGTACTTTTCTTGATCAAGGAATATTGTTGATATTCATTGATTTGTTAACATTATGGGGCAGTAAGTGCATATTGGTAGGTGGGATTAATGGAGTGGTGGAATGGTGCGTATGTATAACATGCACAAGGAATCTTTTCTCTCTCTGCTCAAACTGATCCATGTACTCTTATCTTTTGTTTGTCATATGTTTTTTCCTTGCTGTTTTTCCAAGAGAACTGAAGAAAATGACATGCAATTTGATTTAGTGTAACATTTGTCTATCTTTAAAGATTTTTAGCATTACAGTTGGTTGATTAATTCTGGAATTCATTTAGATAATGTATAACTGGTTCTGCATCAAAAGTCTGGTATATAACTTGGTTTTGTATCTCTTTCTTTCTCTCTCAGTACTGGTAACATCAGTTTGTTTTCTCCATTCAATTAACATATGAAAATATTTTCAATGATGCCCCTGATACGAAGGAATTTCTTGGAAACTAAATATACCTATATCTCAATAATTAGAATGTAGTAGATACATATGTCTTAAGTGAAGAATTTAATTATTTTTTGTGCACAATCAAATATGGTAAACATCCAGGCTCGCTTCTTTTTTGTATGTCCCTGCTTTTAGGTTTACTGTGTCATATACTCCATGTAGCAATGGGTTCTACTTGTGGGCCAATTAATTGGTATAGTTGATTGATAAAGAGAGATATACAGAGATAATTACGAGCAGCGCTGTTAGGTGAATAGACTAAAGATCTGTAGGAGCAGCACTGTTAGGTGAATAGACTTAAAGATGACCAGGAAAAAAGGAGAACAGATTAAGTTGATTGTCGTATAACAGCCAGTCGTATACTGATCACTCAGGGCATTCTCATTTTATACCGATTTTGCCATCATCTGAACAGAAACTGGCAATTTCCTTTGTTCCTTGTTAGTTCTGACTTTTGTTCTTTATACTTCCAGTATGTCTTGGCTGTCAGGTTTTAGATATACATGATTCAGTCTGATTTTTTTTTTCAAGCCCTTTTACTCTATTAATTGTGTGGTGTTAAAAGATGTTATGTTCTAAGTTTAATTAAGGATCATATTTATGGTTTCATGCTTAGATTATGTGCTAATAAGCGTGGCATGACCATGTATCCAACTTCATGTTAATTGGATATCATGATTAGCCAAAAATGAAAATAAGTTATTATATCTAGTTGGCTAGGTAATATACAGAAATTGTTTAATCTAATCTTTTTTTTTTCATATGCTCCTGAAGTGTTCCATGTTTCTGAACTTTTAGATAATTTAAATCCAGTTTTTTTATTATCCATGATCAATTGAGTGAACCCTTGAAGCCAACAAATGGTAATTGCTTGCTCATTGTTTCAGCAATTATCTTATGGCCTTTTTTTTTTGGCATCAGGGTGGTGCAAATGCTGGACATACCATTTACAATGCTGAGGGCAAAAAATTTGCACTTCATCTTGTTCCTTCAGGAATCCTTAATGAGGAAACTCTATGTGTAATTGGTAATGGGGTGGTAGTGCATCTTCCTGGGCTATTTCAAGAAATTGATGGTTTGGAATCTAATGGAATCTCTTGCAAGGGAAGAATATTGGTGTCAGATCGTGCCCATTTGTTGTTTGATTTTCATCAAGTTGTAGATGGACTTAGAGAAGCAGAGCTTGCTAATTCGTTTATTGGAACAACAAAGCGAGGAATTGGTCCTTGCTATTCAAGCAAGGTTATCCGAAATGGAGTAAGAGTTTGTGACCTCAAACATATGGATACTTTTGCTCAGAAGCTTGATACTTTATTGAGGGATGCTGCTTCTCGGTTTGAAGGATTTAAGTACAGTGTTGACATGTTTAACGAGGAAGTTGAGAGGTACAAGAGATTTGCGGAGAGATTGGAACCATTTATTGCTGATACCGTACATGTCCTGAATGAGTCTATCTTGCAAAAGAAGAAAATATTAGTTGAAGGTGGTCAAGCAACTATGTTGGATATTGATTTTGGGACTTACCCATTTGTGACGTCCTCAAATCCCTCAGCTGGTGGAATATGCACAGGACTTGGAATAGCTCCGAGATGCCTGGATGACATAATTGGTGTTGTAAGTAGAATTATATATATTCACCTATGCCAATTGGTTTTCCCTTTTCTGCTTTATCCTTCATATTTTAATGATTGTGCAGGTGAAAGCTTACACGACCAGAGTTGGTTCTGGTCCTTTTCCAACTGAAATTTTAGGTAAAGATGGTGACCTTCTTAGGGTCACTGGGATGGAGTTTGGAACAACTACTGGTCGCCCTCGCCGCTGTGGCTGGCTTGATATAGTTGCACTAAAGTATTGCTGCCAGCTAAATGGTTTTTCGTCTCTTAATCTCACCAAGCTTGATGTGCTATCTGAGCTTTCAGAAATCAAGCTTGGTGTTTCCTATATGCAAAATGGTGGTGAAAAGGTCTCCTCATTCCCTGCAGATCTTCGCCTTCTGGAGCAAATACAGGCAAGTTTTGAATTTACTTTTGTCTTCTATTTAGGTCATTTTGAAGTATCGACCGTACTCAATTTAATAAATAGGTGCTGAGCATTGCAATAACTGCCATTCTTGCTTGTTTTTATTGGGTGATGTAGGTTGAATATGAAGTGTTACCTGGGTGGCAAAGTGATATTTCATCCATTCGGAACTACAATGACCTTCCCAAAACTGCTCAGCGGTATGTTGAGAGGATAGAAGAGCTTGTTGGTGTCCCCATTCACTACATTGGTGTCGGACCAGGACGTGATGCCATTATTTTCAAATAATTTTCATTCTCTGTACTTTCATCTTTGGAGGCAATTTTACGTGCTTCTAAAGCACAACAAATCATGCTTTAGGATGTCCATTGATCAACCTGTTATTTTCATGAGCATGCTGAAGATATCAATCAATTGAAATTCAAGTTCTGAAACAAAACGGGTAATTTGATCCATCAATAGGTGTGATGGGCATTTTGTCTGTGTGATTCTATCTGCTACAAATTTGGGCATGTATAATATGCTAGTTATTGTAAATCTCATCTTATAAGATGCTGATGAGAACCTAATAATGTAGCAGGATGGTCCAAAATCCTTCCACCGAGTTTCTGCTTCTTCCACTTTGTATACTCTCAAGTGTTAGATTTTGTTGTTCAGATGCTTACTGATGCATGTCAGCCACTAAAGCTGGTTGTCCTTGCAAATTGGTGGATTCACATTTTAAATGCTAAATCATTTATGTAGGACAGGTTTAAGGTTATTTGTGTGATGAAATTTAGCCAAAATTCAGATGAGACATGCTGTAATCAAACAATATTGTGCTTGTTCTTGGCATGATGGTTTGGTCATTGTTTGGCTCCTTCACCAAATCACTTATTGTAGGATTTTTTAGTGTTTGGTTAGGTTCATGTTTGATGTTATTAGTTCTTCGTCACGAATCACACAAATTTGGAGGAGATATGGTTAAATCCATATCTCCTTCTATAACAAATTTAGTGTTAAGTTCAAGGCCAATTATAGATTATTTTTATGTTAAATCCAAGGCTAATTATAAATTATTTTTACGTAGTTAGACTTCTCATTTTAGTCTTTAGATTTTAAAAATTTATATTGAAATTTCTACAATTATAAAAGTGATATATCTATATCTATTTATTTTAACAATATCGATTTTATCAATAAAATAAAAAATAACGATCAAAAATATACTTTTAATATTTTAATTAATGATAATAGACGATGATGGCATTAAGGATGAGAGTGATGGCGAAAGATGAGAGTCGTTTTATATTTGCTCTGCATCAACTCTTATCTCTTATCATTATTCTTCTCATTCATAACAGTCATTTATAGTCCCAAATAGCATCACCGTTTGTCATCACTTGTTGAAATATTGAGCCATTATCACGTGTTTCATTTATCCGTAAGCACTTGTCTCGACTTGTTTAATATACTCCTTTAAGCGTCTTTGAAATATGCTATGAAACCATACCGAACTCACGTTAGCGAGTGAAACTGGAATAATTCATATCGACACAATTATCTAAGTTTCTAATTATTATTGCCCTTGTTGTATTGACGAAATGGATTTGATATTCAAGCCCCGGTTATTTTTTATTTTTTATTTTTATATTTTTATCAATAAGATCGATGATATCAGAATAAATGAATATAATTATTTTATTTTTATAATTATAAAAAAATTAATTTTTTTTAAGTATAAACAGAGGTATGAGGCGGGTGCGACAGGTCGGGCGTATCTCCTCGCCGTCACGTGACCGATAACGGCCATCAAGGGAAAGTCTTCCCGCACCTCCATCATTCCATACCCACGTGACTTGTTTCATGTCTGGAGACTGTTCACTGTGGAGCCCATGTAGTTGCCAATAACATGGGTGGTAAAATATGCAGAATAAATAGTTGCCGTCTTGCTATCCTCTTAAAATCTCCGCCGCTTTCGTATTTCTCATTTTTTTTCCTATTATTTACTTATTTATTTATCAAAGAATAATAATAATAATAATAATAATAATAATAATAATAATAATAATAATAATAATAATAATAATAATAATTAGTTCGGAGGAACCGTCGAGAAGACAGACGTACGTGTAATTTAGATTAATGTTATTTAATTTTGTTGGGTTTGTTGCGGTTTTGGATGGACGTCATTGCCCGTTGGTACTGTTCGCCAGCGAAGAGAAACCCCCGCCGAACCATCGTGCGATCGAAGCCCCCCTTCCCGAATCCCCCGGCGTACCCCCACGATCCCTAACCCTAGCCCTTGCGGCGGCACCCTCAAGCGGGGGTGCCTCGCAATCTTGTGGCCGCGCCTCCTCCGGAGGCCGCCGTTGCCTCCCGCGAGAACCATGAAGGGCCTCTTCAAGTCGAAGCCGCGGACCCCCGCCGACGTCGTGCGGCAGGCGCGAGACCTCCTCGTGTACGTTGACCTCAACTGGAACTCCCAGGACGCCAAGCGGCAGGAGAAGGTGATGAGTCGAAACCTTTCTGCTTTTTTTTGGATGGTTTGGATCCGGATTGGTTTTGTTGATTATTCGATGGATTTCGGATGAAGTTTGAAACTTTTTTTCCTCTCTGTGGGGAATTTGACTTCCATTGGCCCACTTGTGATTATAAACTTGGACTTTTTAGTTGTAAATGAATATCCTTTGGTAAATGCAAGAATACTTTTGGCACTGGGGAATGTGATTTGATTTAAAGTAAGTTGTTTGTCGTGTGATGTGCTGAAAGAAAGCCGAAGTAACACTTATGACTGTTTCTGTTGAGCCTTGTTGTTCTGTTTTCCCTTCCTTTTTATGTGGATGATTTCTTATTAGTATAAAGGGAATGCCTGGAGCAATCTGATCTCTGTTATCCAAATGGAGAAGCAGAATATGACTTATATGCCTTTTTGCAATTGTCGATGTAGAGGACTAAAACCTCTTTTGTATAGACATGAAATTTATTTTACGGTTTTACCTGTGGAGGCATTGGCTCGTTGGCTGGAATAGTATGTGCTGTTCGTACCTACCCACACATATGTGCTCAATCAGACAGCCTTTGCGTTGCGACTATGGCTTAGTTGGATTGCAAACAAAACCAAAACGAAGCATCTTTCTGTTTGGAATGATTGATTCTCACTAAAATTTATTTAATTTATGATCATATTTTTTTCTTTCCTTTTATTTAAAAATATAGAAAGATGTACTCTTGGTGTATGATAAGGAAACTTGGAATGTCACAGTACAACAGTTGTATGAAAAATATGGACTCCTATAATTGATCTCTTTACCAAGTGGTTGGATAATACTTGCAGCAAAAATAGTGTAGTTGCCAAGAAATACCTTTACTGCCTTATGGAATCTCGGCCTAGTTACATAGTGAGATAGCAAGTCTTTTATGCTTTAGGTGTCTCTTTGACTTTACTGAGGAAATGAACCGAAAAAGAATTCTAATGTCTTTTCAGTAATGAGCTTGGAGCACTTACCTTCGCATCCCATTTTTAGGAATGTAGTTTCACCAACAACAATTAGTTAAGTTTCTATAGAAATACATCCTTTTTCATAAGGAATGTATCTTTTTTTTCTGCATAAAGTTCCATCTTTTTAATGATTGTATATTTTTTTGTTTAAAAATTTGTATTTGTCCATCTTAAATGACTCTTATCATCATTTACTATTTGCTGAATCTTTAGGCATATAATATTGATCTTATATTCAACTCTTTTTAAGCAGATGGCAGAATTATGTAAAAATTTACGGGAGCTGAAGTTTATTCTTTATGGCAACAGCGAATCGGAGCCAATTGCCGAAGCTTGTGCGCAATTAACTCAGGAGTTCTTTAGAGAGAACACCCTACGTCTACTAATAATTTGTCTCCCAAAGTTCAATTTAGAAGTATGTCAGTCACAAATCGACTTTGATTATTAATCTTCACAGATGCCAGGGTTATCCTTGTTAAGCTTTTCTCTGTTTTTTCTTCTTCTAATGTCTGTTGAATGACACATTTTGAACATACTCATAAGATTGTAATTTGGCTGTTGAATTCTGGTTTCTGATGAGATTTTGCAGGGTCGTAAAGATGCTACTCAAGTTGTGGCAAATTTGCAAAGGCAACAGGTCCATTCACGATTGATTGCATCTGAGTATTTGGAAGCTAACAAAGATCTCTTAGATCTTTTGATTTCTGGGTAAATTTAAAGTTATATATAACATAACATTGCTTTTCCCTATCATTTAACATCCTTAACCTACTGGAACTTGCTGTTATTTTGTTCGTACAATTATGTGCTTTATTATGCTTTATTTCTGTTGGAGTTCTCTTGTTTCTATGTTTGTGGATAATGTTATTGATTAGATACATTAATATGTTTACCTATCCATATCTTTGAAAAATCTCTGGATTTCAAATGTTGATAATTTAGGTATATGCAGATGAACTTTATCTTTTCTCAGTACCTGTTATCTTCTCTCAGTGCCACAGTGTAAGCGGTAGCAATGTATAAAAACCTTGCAAGGAATCCAAGCATTCCAGTTAAATTCTTTTATGAAGTTTTATGTTTGACTGAACAATGGTAACAAACGGAAGATGTTTACATATCTAATTTGAACTTGAAAATTTAAATTTGTGTGAAGAGAAAGAAAGTTTTCCTGAACTTGGTCATGAGTAATAATGATCTTGTCCTAATTTAAAAAATTGTACTCTATGTTCTTGATTTACAATACATATATTATTGCTAGTACTCTGAACTGGCAAGTTAATTAGATAATAATTTGTAAGATTTGTTTATTCTAAATTTATATGATTTGGTAGCAAAAGTCAGTCAAGAGATGGGGCAGATAACTTGATGACAACAAAGGAAACAAGAATTATGTGTATCATTTTATTATGGTAGTATAAGTTGAATTTAGAAATTTGCTTCAGATTTATTCTTGGTTCAGCAATCTTGTTTCCGTATTGTTATGAAGTATTATGTAGTTTCTGGCAACTTTGGATTTTGGCTTTGTTTTCTTCCTGTGGCTTTCTTCATGATCTTAGACATCAACATGTTACTTATGCAGGTATGAAGACATGGACATCGCTTTACATTATGGAGCCATGCTCAGAGAATGCATTCGGCATCAAAGTATAGCAAGGTACATGCCCTGAATGCTTTGACTTCTATGTTTCATTTGTCATGCAAAAGATTCCATTTGAATTGTTGCACCTCAAGGTGATGGTTGCAGGTATCACTCTTTATGCACATCAAACCAAGGTTTGCCGTACCGAAGCACACTGCCCGTACCAGGCGGTACATACCTGTCCGACAGGTTACCAGTATGCGGATCGCCTGGTACCACTACAGTACTACAGTACTATACTGTAGCACTGCTACAATATGAAAAAATAAAAATTATTCGGTACACCAGGGCGTACCGCTCGGTACACCTTGATGTACCGCCCGATACACCGGTATCATACCGTACCGAGCCCGGGTCGAAACACTGGTACGGTACGGTACAGCGAACCTTGCATCAAACAATGTAATTTTTTTATCTGATAGAGCAGTCGTGCTCTGTGTAAAGCCATACATATAGGTGTTGCATTTCTAAGTACAAAATGGAATCTACTTTAAGAAAGTTTAGACAGTTTTCCTTCATTTCACAGGAACTTTTGCTTGAGTTGGATATTTACAAATTCCTGTCACTTGAATTATTTTTTTTTCTAATTTATAACCATTTTCTTGTGCTTGTAGTTGAAGACTTGAATTTATCTTGTTTACAACGTTGAAGAAACATGAATAATGAATTTAAGGACTTTAATAGCCACCTGGTTATCCTCAGGTTCTTGAATATGTGTGTCTTGCCATTTCATACCTAGGATGACATGTCGTTTTGTGGAACTAAGTTTTAAGAATAAAGCTTTAATCTTAAGCAGATTCCTCTTAGCTGTTTGCCTTCTGTCCTTGACCTTTTCAAACCGACACCACCTAGGATGTTATAGCAAGGAGCCAAGTGTCAAGTTTTTTTGATACTAGAAGGTGATTTGGTCATTTTAAAGTCGCACAGATTGTATTATACTATGTCTTCAATACCAATTCAATACAGGTTTTGACAATCTGTCCGACCAATTGGGTACCAGGACTCAAGTGGTATACTGTGAGGTTCCTAGCTATATGGTCTGTGATTTGTGCTTAGTTGGATTGATAAATACTGGTTGGTATGTATCAGTTGGACCAGTGTATTAGACACCTAGTTTCATTTGTACTGCTAGCCATATGAACTTTCAACGTACTGTTATTTTTCTTTGAATGTTATCAAGAATGATTGAAGTGAAGGCTTGAACTTACCTATGGTTGGTCATGTATTCAACTAGAATTCTATTGCTATTAGTTCTTCATTCTCATAACTTTCATTGAATGATCTCCATCAAGTGAGTAACATTATGAAATTTGTAAGACATACTTGGTTGTGCAAGTCAATTGTATGTTTCAATGAATATGTGATTTAATGTAACAATGTCTGGCCAAAAGAACAATCCGTTCACTGTTAGAAATTTCTTAATTTCAAACAAACGGTGAAACAATTTTGTTCCTCCTATTCTGTTATTGGTCCAAGTTTCGAGCAAGGTTATATTTGTTTTGGCTGATAGAATCTTAAGCAACACTGGATTTTTAGATTTTTGTGTATTCAGTTTTGAGTACTTGGAGTAATAAGCCTAAAATTTTTATATTAAATGGGAAGTTCTAATTCTAGATTAAGTACATTAGGAAGTTTAGATTGAAAGAAATCTGAAAAAATTATTGATAACCATGTGAAATTTTTATCTAATGCAACAGAGAGAGAGTTTACGAGAGGTAAGGTGAACATAGTTTTGCTTTGGATATGTATTGTCTTTAAATGATAAAAGATTGTGGACTGCTTATGAGAACTAGATTTAGTGAGCTATTTCATGATCATTTAAGTTTTTAAAATCATGGCTATTACATATGCACTCTCACACCTCTGCAAATTTACTGACAATTCTTCTTTAAAAAAATCATGTTTCAACCATGTTTATTGGCTTTTAGTTCTTTTGTTAGTTCAAATTGTTGGATGAAGTTTAATATTATGAGGCTTACAACTACATTCAATGCATTTAGAAGTGCTATTCTCTGTTGTAGTTCAGATGTGATTATCTGCTTGTTGAGCTAATTGATCATTATGACATGATTTAGAATCTCTTTTTCAAAATTTGAATTTTTCAATAAAAAAATAACTTGCAAGTTAAACTCTTCATCCCTCATTTTATTGTTGCAGGTATGTTTTGGAGTCCGATCACATGAAGAAATTCTTTGATTTTATCCAGCTTCCGAATTTTGACATAGCATCGGATGCTTATGCAACTTTTAAGGTCAATTTACTTATACAAGCTATACATTTTTTTATGTTTCTTAATGGTAGTTAACTATTCAAGGATATCCATTTGATTGACTTCCTAGCTAACTTTTGTTGATTGTGGCACATTTAACATTAATATTATATTTATAAAAATGCTCATGAGCAACATATTTTTTTCCTCCATTTTCTGCATGATACTAGTATGTGTCAAATTTGAGCAAACATATCAGAATGGGTTCTTGTACAATAAGTTTTGGATCAGAATGCTTGCAGACAAAAAATAATTGGAATAGTAAAACATGCACTAAAGCCGTCTGGTTCAGGTTGGGTCTGGGTCAACCCATCTGAAGTTTAAAAGTAATAAACTAATTTCAGTACATAAAATAATGATATAAGTTGTATAAAACTAGCAGGTGAATTTATATTAATAAAATATGTCTCTTGTACTTCTGTTATTAGTGAAAATTAAGTTTTTGATGTTTCATTTCAACTCCTGACTCTATACTTATTCTTTATGCTTTTATTTCTACTAGTAAACAAATATTGGTGATCCCACTAGTAGTTGAGTGTTAAGACTAACATGGATTGACCAGAGAATTATAGAACATGTTTGCTTACAGAAATCAATTAATAATTTTTTATCTCAATTTTCTTAGTCATGTCCCCATAAAAATGTCTCATTTTGTCTCTTGATTCATAAGCTGTTAGATGACCTTCAACTTGTCCTTTATGAAAATTTTTGTCATGCTGTTTGTTTTATAGTAAACTGGTCAACGATGTTTTTGTAATACAGGAGCTAATGACAAGGCACAAATCAACTGTTGCAGAATATCTCTCTAAAAATTATGAATGGGTAAGTGAAATTTTGTTCTGGAGGTTTTTCCCCATTTTGCTGGTGGATAATTCGTGGAAGCACTAGTTCCTAGGTCTGAATTTTATCCTGAGATTGTTTAAGATAGATTATCCTACCGAAGTTGCCTTTAAGGTTCCATTTGCAAGGCATCCTGTTATTTTGGATGACGATTTTTTACTTGAAACTATCTCTTGTTGTTCCAGTTTTTCACAGAATTTAACTCAAGATTGCTGTCATCTCCCAATTACATTACAAGAAGGCAAGCTGTCAAGGTAAGTACTTTACCTTGGATCATTTTGACATTTGGTATGGCATTAGTTTATTCTCATTAGAGATTTTTACAGTTGTATGGCTGTTCAATTGGATGTTCTGAGGGCCTGCAAAAGGCCCCAACTCGTGATGATTAGTTTCAGTTATGTTTTGCTTGAAGCATTTTCAGCAATCTAATATTTGAAGCACTTGCTGTTGTCCTCTTTCCTCAGCTTTTGGGTGATATGTTACTGGATCGGTCAAATTCTGCAGTTATGGTCCGCTATGTTAGCTCAAAGGACAATCTTATGATTCTGATGAATCTCCTCAGGGTAAGTCCATTTTGATTCTTTCTGAACAAAATTGGTATAACTCCTAATATTTCTCTATATATTATTTTGAGCATGTTTACTCAACCAGAGAATGTTCTCTCTACAAATTCTTATACTTAATATGATTACTGGTTAGAAGAAAAAGGCAGAGTAAGCAAAAATTTATTTGAAGCGTCTAAGACTCTAGGAATGGTACTAGTTAATTATTCACGGTGATATAAACTTGTCATATAAGTTCTACGCTGTTCACCCTTTCGTATATTGTCTAAGAACAGAAAAGAACTATAAGTATATTTTAAAAAAAATACTCCAACTAACCAGTAACATAAATATATCATCGCTAAATAAAAGTCTAAACATTATCACATCAAGGAATTAGAATGTAGTCCTTTAACTTTATCAACTGGTTTTAGTGTCTCTTCAATTTCAATGTAAACTTTGATCTTTTTCTGATCCCCGTGATCCTGTTAAAAGTTAGAAATAGATGAGATGATGTTATGCGGGAAAACCTTAGGAGAGACGGTATTCATGAAGCATTTTGCTTTTCATCTTAAAACTCAAGACATACTATGCATGAAGCTTGTGATTAACTTGTAATCGATGTTTGTTCCGTCTTATTCTTGCTACTTGAGTTTGAGGAGAATTAAATACTTTGTGTATGCTATTCAAATTGTCGCTGTGCTGGTAGAACCATCCAGTAGTATTTTCTTATTTGAATTTTATGGATATACTTTCAGTCATGACCGAAATTTTATTTTTGATCTATCGTAAACCAAACTTCTGAGGACCATACACCTGCAACTGCATGACTACATACATCATCTTTTGCTTTTAGATAGATCAGTTTGAGAAGCCCTTATTTTCTGAAAATTTTTAATTTTAATTCTCCCTTTTGTCAGGAATCAAGTAAGAATATCCAAATAGAAGCATTCCATGTATTTAAGGTATTAACTTTTTCTTCCTTTGCTTGTGGGCATCCTGTTGCTTTTCACTAAGATCTTCTTAATTGTTCGATTATTGTTCCACAAATTCCAGTTATTTGTTGCTAATCAAAATAAGCCTCCTGAGATAATAAGCATATTGACAACAAACAAAAAGAAGCTTCTTCGCTTACTCCAAGATATCAAGTTGGACAAAGGTACGCTGGAGGCTTTACATGTTCTGTTTTTTGGTTTGATTACATCACAAGACGTATGTTTCCGATATCTATGGTATATAAATGTATATCTGTATCTTTTTGTATTTATCCTTAATAAGACTTTTAATCCAAATGACAGTCATCTCCAAGATTTTTTTTTTTTGTAGACAATTTATTATTCACTTTTTGTGTGCTAAGCATCAACATGGAGCAACTTTTTGGGGTACAGTTCCTGAATCATTTTTCTTGGACATCATTTTATGCAGAAGATGAGCAATTTGAAGGAGACAAAGCTCAAGTTATCAGGGAGATAGAAGCTCTTAACTAAGAGAGTACCTTTTGATAGGGTTCTTCACATGCTGTGTCATCTTTCAAACTCTACTTGTGATGTTAATAACTCAGGTTTGAACCATATTGCTTTCATGATCGCCTTCATGGTATGATAGATTGTTGTACATATTAATTATCCACCAACAAGAAAATGCTCAAAGGACAACCTATAGAAACATCAATTTCTATATGCTGGTTATTGTGCAGCAAAAAAGAAATCAATTTCTGAAATATACTGATTCTTGGACAACAAAATTACCAAACCTACACTTGCTTTCATTAGCATAATTCATAGATTAAAAGAGAACTATTGATCTTTCCCATCCAACTTGAAGTATATGTTCATTTGAGGTTGTTCTATGTATATTATATACATGTGTATTCTTTTTCAACCCCTTGGAAATAGCATGCATGTATTTTGAGTTTACATGTTGCATGCATGCCATAAACTTGAAAATTAGAGGTATATTATATTAAAATCACTATTTAATTTTCATAAGATATTATTTTTGTATAATTAGTAGCTATGATAAATTAAAAGACCAACTAGCAAATGATGAGCCAATAACAATGGAAAATTAAGTTATTAGCAAGTATGAAATCCAGCCAAGATCATGAGCATGCATTACAAGATGAAGTCATCATTATGAAACATATATAGTTCAACAAAATCAAGCCAAACTTTAAGATCACATGAAGAGGATGTGATCATCATCATGCCCACAATTAATATAATAATGTATGGATCTCTTGAGATCTTTCCCTTTGCCAATTGTAATGAAGCTTTCCAACCCACCATATGATGTCTGCTTCGTTCCAGTTCTCTATTTGCCTGAATCTTCAGCATCTCACATGCCTCAAAGAGAACCACTAGTCATTTATATTATTTTTCTCAAACTTTGCTTGCATAGTAGAATCAAAATAAAACAAAAATGAAAATACTAATAGTAGAATCAAATACTAATAGTACTATTATTTCATCTCACGTACAAGGATTACAGACATGTGTCAAACACCATAATAGCTTCGCGACCACATGGTCGTTAGTCGTCGACAACTGCTCGTCACCCTCATGCTTGTCGTTCGTCGTCCATCCTCTTCCTCTATTGTTTCTTCTTCTTTCAACATACATATGGACCACGAAATAGGTCCATCAATATTCCTTATTGAGCGAGTTGTGTCCTCCATATTAATCGATCATTTTTGGGGTCCATCTCCACCACCACCACCTTCGCTTCAAAGCCAAGTCCAAATTGCAAGCATACAAACACCCATCATTCTCTCCACCATTAATCCTCAAACCCATCATTTTTGCACCTCCAAATCAATTGCACGCACCAAACTTTGATTCCCCCATCTCCACATTTCCCTCTCTCTTCCTTGCCTTCAAAGTTAAAGCACCACATCTGCATGAGCGAACATTGCACCACCGCCACCATATTGTCTTACTCCCCCAACCTTTCCTCGCTCCTCTATCTCACACTCTCCTCTCTATCCACTATGTCTCCCTCTCTCCTCCTCCTCCTCCTCTTCCTTGGCTTGTGGGTGACGTCCGCCACCGCCCGCTGCACCATCACCACCTTCGCCAAGACCTACAAGAAGTGCGTCACTCTCCCCACTCAAGGAGCCTCCTTGGCGTGGACGTACCACCCCCTCAACGCCACGCTCGACCTCGCCTTCTCCGGCTCCTTCATCTCCCCCTCCGGCTGGATCGCGTGGGGCCTCAACCCCGACTCCCCCGCCATGACCGGCGCCCACGCCCTCGTCGCCTTCTCCGACCCCACCTCTGGCGGCCTCCTCCTTCTCCCCTTCGTCCTCGACCCCTCCGTCAAGCTCCAGAGCGCCCCGCTCCTGTCCCGCCCCTTCGGCCTCCACCTCCTCTCCTCCTCCGCCGTCCTCCGCGGCGCCCCATCCGCCCGCGCCGGCGCCGAGGTCCAGATCTTCGCCATCATCAAGCTCTCCCCCAACCGCACCCGCCTCCACCACGTGTGGAACCGCGGCCTCTACGTGCAGGGGTACTCGCCGACGATCCACCCCACCGCACCCTCCGACCTCGCCTCCCGCGCCACCATCGACATTGCGTCCACCGCCAGCGAGGTGACCCCGCCGGCCCCGGACGCGCTCCCTTCGGCCCACGCCGCGCTGAACGCCGCGTCGTGGGGGTTCCTCCTCCCGGCGGGCGTCGCGGTGGCCCGCTACCTTAGGCAGCGCACGTCGCTTGGGCCGTCGTGGTTCTACGCGCACGCGGCGACCCAGATCGTGGGGTTCCTGCTGGGAACTGCAGGCTTCGCGATGGGGATCATCCTGGGGAGCCGGTCGCCGGGCGTGGAGTACGGGCTGCACCGCGGGCTGGGGGTGGCGGCGTTCGTGGCGGGTGGGCTGCAGTCGGCGGCGTTGCTGTTCCGGCCGAAGACGACGAACAGGTACCGCAAGTACTGGAAGTCGTACCACCACTTCGTGGGCTACGGCTGCGCGGTGCTGGGGGTGGTGAACGTGTTCCAGGGGATGGAGGTGATGGGGCTCGGTCGCTCCTACTGGAAGCTGGCTTACTGCTTGGCGCTGTCGACGTTGGTCGGCGTCTGCGTCGCGCTGGAGGTGAACTCGTGGGTGGTGTTCTGCAGGAAGGTGGAGGAGGAGAAGGCCGCGGTGACGAGGGAAGGTGGCGGTGGCGGCGTTGAAAGCCATCATCAGGTCGTCAAAGCCAAGGCATGATGGTGCTTTAGGATTCGGATTCCAATATATATATATATATATATATATATATATATATATATATATATATATATCAAATTTATTTCAGTTGTTACGGCGGTACATTTCGATCGTGTTGTGTAGATTTGGTTCTATCCAACAACTGTTGAGCAGGCCATCACTCAATTGACTCGATCGAACCAGTTCGAGAACCAAGTCGAATTGATAGTTTTGGGTTCAAATTATACATTCGAGCTCGATAGATTAAGTCGGATTAGGCGTTGTTATTATACTTAAGTAGCCTGCGGAGTTTATTTTATGTGGAAACTGTCTTTAAGAAAAGACTACACGTGCCATCTGTACCGCTTGTCGTCTTTCCAGCTGTAATTTGCGGGTGGAAATGGCGAGGGGAACCATTGCGAATAAATGCTCCTGCCGCCGACACGCGTCGCACATCTGACGATCGATTCAGATCCGACGGTCCCACCGACTCAAAGCTACACCTCTTAACCTCGTTCCTCGGTCAAAGTTACCCGATCCCACACCCCGAAAAACTACCAGCCTCACCGCGACGAGAGGGGGTGCGGGGCCCGCGCTGAGAACTCGATACGACTCAAATCACGAAGCATTTTTGTATTGAAGTTTAAGGCGCGGTGGGCCCTTCCTTCTATTGGGCACTCGTACGAACTTGTCGTCGACCGTTTTCGAGGCCACACCTTCCCCCTTTTAACGCTCCCACTTACCAAACTGACCTCCTTCGGCCTCCTCTCTCCCATGGCTTCTTCTACTTCGCCTTCGAGTTACCATCCCATTCCCCTCTAATCTTTCTCTCCGCTTTGCGCTCTCTTGATCGGTGTAAGATACTGAAGATTGTGCCTTTGCCATGGTCTCGCTCGCTGACTCCCAGTGCGGGAGGGCTCCGCGCTACCACCATGGTCGATCCATGCGCACGGTGCGCTCCTACCTCTTCCACCACCGTCCCTCCACCGGTGCCCCGCCCACCCTGCCCCCTTCCTCCTCCGCCGCCGTCTCTGAGAACCTGACCGACTCCGTCGTCGACTTCAAGCTCCGGGAGCTCGCGGTCGGGGTAGGGTCCTCCGTCGCTGAGCCTGCCGCCTCCACCGAGGAGCTTCTCGAGATCTCTCGGGAGTTCTCGGACTGCTCCAGCTTTGGCTCCGACATCTCCGGCGAGCTCCAGAGGTTGGCCTCCCTCCCCAGATCCGAGGCGCCGCGGAGCACTGCGTCGCCGGAGATCGATGGCATCGAGGCGCTGGGGGGAACAGGAATCGGCTCGTCGCCCGAGATCTTGGAGAGCGCGTCGCTGGATGGCGTGGAGCCGGTGGTGCGCGCGTGCGTGGAAGGCCTGGGGTCGCCGTCGGCGGAGGCGAAGCGCGTGGCGGCGTCGAAGATCCGGCTCCTGGCGAAGCACCGGTCCGACTTCCGGGCGCTCATAGGGGCGTCGGGGGCGATCCCGGCGCTGGTTCCACTGCTGCGTAGCACGGATCCGGCGGCGCAAGAGAGCGCGGCGACGGCGCTGCTGAACCTCTCGCTGGAGGAGGTCAACAAGGGCCGGATCGCGGCGGCAGGCGCGATCAAACCGCTGGTCTACGCAATGCGGACTGGGACGGCGGCCGCGAAGCAGAACGCGGCGTGTGCGCTGCTGAGCCTGTCGATGATCGAGGAGAACCGGGCAACGATCGGGGCCTGCGGGGCGATCCCGCCGCTGGTGGCGCTTCTAGTGGGTGGGTCGAGCCGGGGCAAGAAGGACGCTCTCACCACGCTCTACAAGCTGTGCTCCACGCGGCGGAACAAGGAGCGAGCGGTTAGCGCAGGGGCTGCGGTGCCGCTGGTGGGCATGGTGGGGGAGCCCGGCGGGGGCACGGCCGAGAAGGCGATGGTCGTGCTGGGAAGCCTGGCGGCCATCCCGGAGGGCCGTGAGGCGATCGTCGAGGCCGGCGGCATCCCGACACTTGTCGAGGCGATCGAGGCCGGCCCGGCGAGGGGGAGGGAGTTCGCCGTGCACGCCCTGCTCCTGCTCTGCGCCGACAGCCCCCGGAACCGCGGCCTTCTCGTCCGCGAGGGCGCCATCCCACCGCTCGTCGCCCTCTCGCAGTGCGGCTCCGCCCGCGCCAAGCTCAAGGTACGCCTTTTCCGCCGCCGCCTCCTCCCCCACGACTCTTCCTCTCAAAGTAACACATACTGTTGTGATGTTGCGCAGGCGGAGACGCTTCTCGGCTACTTGCGCGAGCAGCGGCAGGACATGGCGAGGTAATCTCTCGCTTGCTGATAATGGTAAAACCGTAAATAATGGGCCATGCTGTCACCTTAAAGTGGCTGGTTTTGTGTGCGCTGTTTGGTACTAATCACTGTCGACTGACCTGTTCTGAAATGATTAATTATATTGGGTAGGGAATAGCAGTAGATCTGTAAAGAGTTGTGGTTGGTGATGCCACCATACTCTGTCATCTGATCTTGGTGTGAGGGTTTGAGGAAGGGAAAGGAGAGGATTTGGGTTATAAGACTCTGGTTTTTTTGTTTGGGTTTGTCATCCAAATTCTGCTGCTGCTTAAAATTGTTGTGTGTTGGGTATGTAAGACTTTGTTGAATGATGATGCTTGTTTTATCTCAGTTTGACTAATGTTGCGTTGACATTAAATCAATGTCTTCTTAGCTATCTTATTTTATGCTTTCTACTCTGCAATTGATCATGTTGTTTGGATGAGCAAATTTGGCTGCAGATCTTGATATGTCTCCATGGCTTCTGCTTCTTCATCTTCACATGCATTTATGTCTGCTTAAGCTCTATTTTTCAAGTCCTTCCATAAATATATTTAGGTTAGCATATTTCTCAATATACTTTGCAATACTTGAGTTATTAATATTGCCCTTTTGTTGTTTTATGAGATGGTCTAGCCTCTGAGTGAGAGCTCAAACAAGGAACATAGATATTATTATTGTTGCTGTCCTTATATGCTTTTTGATTAAAAAGAGAAAATTCAAAGCATAAGAAAAGCATCTTATGGGAGCAACCCATGCTAACTCATAAAACAATGATGTCTAAACAAAAGTTCAAGAGAAAAAAAAGTGTGTTCATTTTGGGAGTATCACCTTTATTCTGTTTACATGTTTTCTTCTAATCAACAGTTTAACAACTTGAACTTTTTAATCTAAATTAAAGTGCCAACTCCATTTTTTTTTTATTTTCTTTTGCGATGGATTAATTAGGTACACACTATTGTTGTGATTTTAAATGTTCTTTGAGGAGTAGACATTCTTACTCTTCCCTAAGGCTACATTTTCAAGCATTATTTGATACTGTGTCCATAGTTTAAACCTAACAATCTCAACCTCCCAACATGACTGAACACACATTGCCAGCCCCTCGTGCATCCCAGCAGTGATTAGGTGACAAACCCATCTAAACAACCACATGCACACACAGTCCTCTATCCATATGGGAGTTGGGAGGACATTGATGAAGTAGAAGACAAGGTCCTCTTGTTTCTTTTGTTGGATAAGGAAGAGCCAAACACTTGACTAATACAAACAACAAACTTTGTCCAACACTCTCGACAATTTCCTTTTGTTTTGTAAATATTGGAGATTGCACAAACTGTACAAATTCGTTTCTCAATGAGACCAGTGTAAGTCTTCATTATCGACCTTGAACTAACATCCATTTATATGAGAGGCAACCTAAAACATTCTTCACAGGATACATGCATCTGCAACTTTTTGTACAGGTGTATTAACTGAGTTGTTGTAATGTAATTGCACTGCACCACATGCAGGTTCTGACCCAGCCTTCAGATGTTCAGAGCCTTTTTCATGGATGTTGCAAATGGTAGCAGCCCATGGCTAAGCTCAAAGCAGATAGGCTGTCTGTTTGATTCATATTAGCTGTTGCAATGGGTTGCTTCAACCATTGGTGAAGATAAAAATGTCAATTTGGTACTAAAGATTCTTTGTATTGTCATTATTTTGTGGCTGATGGTTTGAGGACTAGACATTTCTGCCACTTCCTTTAGGCTACATTATGCATTGGATCATCAACTTGACATTCTCTATATGACCAACTACCTCAAGGTCCAACTTGTTTGAAGGCATAGCAGTTTTAGCTACTGGTTACAGACATAGCCACAGTGGCTGATGAACTCCACCTAACAACCTAGCCACATGCATGAACAAATTTATCCTCTCCATCTGTGAGTTGCAGAACATTGAGTGAAGAAGAAGACAGACCATATCAAGATCAGTAGTTCTTTCTGCATCTTATCTTCTCCCTGCAGTCTGACTTTCTTTCTCCTTCTACTGTGTGCCAACTGCAGGTTCTAAACCAGCCCTAGAAAGCTGCATTATCTTGACATGAATGGAGACAACAAATGCAGCAACTGAGAAGATCTCCAGTGTGACAAATGAAGGTTCTGAACCAGCTTTAAAAATCTTGGATTCTCCTTACATGAAGAGAACATCATATTGCAGTCACTGAATGTAAATTAGATGCAAGCAGTGCTGGTCTTATCCAGTAGTCACCTACCTCCACCTAATGGATACAGAACATCCACAGTTGATAGTTCCACTGGCTCCACATTGCACTGGGGGAACAGTCACAAATCTAAATCTGTAGTGGAGCAGTCTAAAATCTTTTTTCCATCCAAAGAACAATAGAGACAAGACAGACTGGCTCTTCACCATAATCCATTATGAACTGATGCAGATAGCTGTCAAATAGTGGACCCTAAGTTGTTGTGGTTGAGTCCCTTTACATGAAAAATGACAATGAGTTGTATTTTAGATAGCATAGTATGCCTTTTGCAGGTATTTAGGATTGCCAATCAATAATAAGTTAAAAGAGTATACAGATGAGACATGATCTACTTCATTTATGTTCATGTTGTTTCGATGTCAAATTAATAGTTGCTTTATTGAATGAACAGTCTGAAACAGAGGAAAGTTGCTCAATGACTCGATTGACAGACAGAAGATTGATTTGGGCCTTCTGCAGCCCCAAAAAAAGATATCTAGACAAAGATTGTTTCACTACTTGTCTCAAAATTTTGGAATGATCTGTGAAGCCTAATTTGACAGTAATAAGAGCCACCCACATTCTTCCATGCCCTACATAGAGATGCCAATTTCAAACCTAACTATGGTGAGAGAGGATTTTATCTCTGTTCATAGAGCTCTAACCAATCATAGTTATAATACTTATGGTTTACTGATTATCTCTACCCTATTATTTAACCAAACTCAAACTCTACATTATATTCAATACAAAGATAATGATACGCCGATGCCCGGATGTCATATCACTGTTAGCACAATACCTACTCAAATCTTACTAAAAATACACCGAGTAGAGCATACGATCTCACTAAACTATCCATTATAAAATAATCATCCACAAAAAAAAAAAAACACCGAGAGTAGATTATATTTTGATATACTTGATCATCGATTATTATTCTAACTTGAGCATCCGAAAAAAAAAACACTGAGTAAAGCATACGATCTTACTAAACTATCCACTATGAAATGAAATAATCATCCAAAAAACAAGAAAACACTGAGTAGATTATATTTTCATATACTTGATCATCAATTATTATTCTAACTTGAGCATCCGAGAGATCTTACCGATGACATCTCGACTCAAATTTTTATGGGTCGATAGTATGAAACATCTTATCATCTCAAATAGTGATCTTGTGACGAAAGGTAGTCGGAACTAAGTATATGTATTGACATATCGGATGATCAGAAATGACACTAACAATAGTCTAATCTTAATTAAACTCAAGCTTCTACAGATAACACCTTTTCCGTAAGAAAAGAAAAGGTTGGGTTAGATTAGACGAGGAGGGTCCTGACTGACTCACACAACTTTTCACTGGTTGCATGCCTTTTCGTGATACTTTCTCTCATCATGTTGTAGAGCACAAATGCGATCCTGAGAACTTTTGCTGCTGCCGTTGTTTATGGCTTTCGGTGTAGGCGTGAAGGAATGGCACAGCCCCACTTTGTCCGCCACATGCAGCCTTAAAGCCATGCCATGGCATGCGGTGTGGGAACTGCTGCTGCTGCTGCCTTGCACCTTTTCTCCTCTGCGCATGCTTGCTCTGGCGGAGCCTTCCATGATGCACAGTGGAAAGGAAGGAGTTCCAAATGCTCTGAAACAGTGAATCATGAGAAATCATGCTCTCTCTCTCTCTCTCTCTCTCTCTCTGTGAGTGAGCTGATGATAGTTTTCTATGCAAAAAGACTGATGGTGGAGCGATTAAGATATTGAGAACATTGTACTTGCTGAAGCCAATCGAATTATGGATTGAGTTGCAAATGCAAATGCTTCTGCTCTCGTTTCTTGTGTTGATCGATAGGTTCTTCATTTTTCTGCATGAGTTGTGGGTCAGGATCTTCCCTTCTGGTGCTTCAATTGCTTAGCCTCAGATTGCCAATCCTGTGTACTGCAGAAAATGAATTTGTGAATCATACAAAGCCATATGATCCAATCCAATGAAAATAATTGACTCATTGAATTGATACAGATTGAATTATAGTAGTAGACACATCTAATCCCGTCTTCCTAATTTAACCTCACCAAGTCAATGTATCATATTTATACTCATCAAAATCCATTATGATTTCTTCCTATTAATATGATTCGATAAGGATATTATAATCTTTCCACTTAGGAGATTATATGAACCAAAATCATAACCATGTCTAATATTAGATTCATTTTAAGATATTTTATCATGATCAAATTCAATAGTTTACCCTTTTTTTTTTGTTAACTTATGCAACTTATTCCAAATATTCTTCTGAACAAGCAAAAGAAACCTGCAAGTTTTTATTTTATTATGTTAATTATTTCATTCTATGATCCTATTTTTATGAAAAATAGGTTGAATGAATCAAACTCTTGTTCTTCAACGTGTGTGACATAATGTGCATCCAAGGCCAAGGAAAACAGATGATTGAAAAGTGCTAAATTGAGTGATCAACTTTCTCTTGAATTTTCCTTTTGACAAAACCTTATGATTATAGACTTTTGACTATCTACTCTGTGCTCATAGTCACATCAGCTAGGACAAATGAATCCTTCATTACTGTGACAGAAGTCAAACTTCTCATGCCCAAGCCATCCTCAATGTCTGCACCCTCATCCACCAGAAGATGTGGAAGAATGTGATGTGCTTCCCCTCTCATAAATGTGCTGACTTTTGTGATGAACAATAGTCAATTTTCATGGCTCACCAGAGTAAGGATTTTGACTGTTGTCTCTTCATTTTGACTACCACAGTGTCAGGTTTCTCTTTTCAGAGATGAAACCACCACATCCTCCTCAATCACAGGAGGGGATGATGGTGCCTTCCCAGGGTAAACAAACAAAGATTTGGTCCATCAATTGCATCATCTATAGTTCTGAATCAACCCAGAAATGTCTCCATGTGGGGTTTAGGTTGTGAACACAAGCAACCAGGTTTTGTTCCAGAAAATAATCTGACATTTGTGTTGGTGGAAAGTTCCAAGTCATGGATGTAGATGGACTGTGGCTGTCAGATTTGTGAATCATGGAGCCATTTTTGGCTTCCTTGGATTGGATGCTGGCATTTTAGATCATGTAGCAGCTGGTGCACATCTAAGTGGAATGTTACCCCTGAGGGGCTCAAAGATCATAAAGGGTCAATAAAGCTGTTAAATAAATTAAAAGTTTTTGGGACATATTTAAGATGTTATTAGAGTAAAATCAGGAGTTCTATATCTGTCTCTCTTTTTCATTGGTTTAATTAAGAATATTCATACAATTTCTGTTTTTCATTTGAGCTTGCACCATACACTTAGATTTCTATTTAAAAGGGAATACTATTATGCTCTTAATCTTCTTTGAAATAAATTTAATGTATGTATACTTGTAAAACCAAAAACTTGCCTGTCATTTGATTGTTGAAGTAAAGACAAAAAGAAAATTTATAGTTGACAAAAAATACCTCTCAGAAACTTGGTCAGGACTATTATAATAGTAGATCTTCAAAGATAAGATATTTTAGGCACTTTATGTATTGATTTTTTTTTTTATCTATTCTAGTGGCAAATATTAGTTTTCTGTGTCAATCTTAATTAGAAGCTAAATATATGTTAAATCAAAATTTTGTGACCATTTCCACACTACCTCCCCTTTTATATTTCCAATTCATCAAGTAAGAGCACATAGATGATGGGAACAGCAACAGCAGTTTGCCAGATTCTTCCAGTATGGAAGCTTGGAATAGGTAACAAAAAGGAATAAGGGAGAGACTGGGATGGCCCATCAATTATAGCTGCATGCCAAGATGATGGACCATCTCACCTAACTTGACTACTAGCCATCTAATTTTTCTCACCTTCTTTATATTAACATCATAATTGTCACATCAAGGACACTGGGTAGATGAGTCTCCTATTATTGTTTTGGTGCAAGAGCTTTGCAAACAATGGATCCTACTATTAGTTGAGAGAGAGAGAGAGAGAGACTGGTGTAGTTAGTAGGATCAACCAGTTGGGAGTGATCACACAATAGGTGAGGCTTCTCAACATTCAAAAGCATGCAAATGAGAGTGTAATGCCTCAGCTCATTATGGTACAACACACAAGAAAATGTAGCTGACAAGTCAAGACTGACACCAAGCCACCCCATCCACCATAGCTTTTGGCCTATCCACTGCAACCCTCCACCACCAAAAACACATCATAAGCCCTTTTGGCTTTTATGTGTGGACTTGTCTTCCCATCCAACTTTATCATATAATACTCTTTCCTGCCACAACTTAGTAATTGATGAGCTGTGGGATGAATTTTAAAACTGAGAGTAGTGATGAGCTTTAGAATCTTCGCAGAGGGAGCATGAGTGGAAGAGTGCAACTTTTCTCAAAGGCAATGGTTAGCTGGTTCTATAAATACTACCTCGAAGACCCCACTAAAGCAGCATCCTCTTGGAACATGATTGTCCTCCCAAGATTGCTGCTTTATATTTCCTTTGGGGAAGGGAAGTAAAGTGAAGGTAGTGTGTCTTGAGTCCTGAGCTGGCCTTCCCAGGAGTAGCTTAATCTCCATAGCATCTATTGCGATTTCTCCCTTTTGGTAGAGAGAGACCAAATTTACCTTTTCACCTTGTGGCATCTTCCTTTTGGTCCCTTCAATTTGCTGGAGAGGAGGTGTTTCCGGAGCTTTTCGCCTCTCTTTCTTTCCCCCTGCTTTTGCTCCTTGGATTGCGGTGGTGGCGTTTTCTCGTGCAAAGGTGAGGTTTTTATCGGGCTTTGGTCGGCTTCAGTGTTGGTCGTCGAATGGTGTTCTGGCTTTTTATTCTGGAACAGTCCTTTTGCAGTGGGATCTGGTCTTTCCTGGATTTTTGTTTAAGATCTTTCTGAGACCTTCAGCTGCTGCAGATTTTAGTGTGAAGTCTGGTGTTTGGAAGCTCGGTGCGCTCCCCTGAGGGATCAAAATTGGATTTTGGCTTCCTGGTTGTTCTACTTCCAAGAATCTGGTGCTAAGGTTTCTGGGGTTATGTGTTGCTGACCAAGTCCTTGAGTTCTCATATGCAATTTCCTTTTCAGTTTTCCTGTTCCAAAGTTTCGATTTTGTATATGGTTTTCGTTCTTTGTTCTCGTTTTAGCTTTGATTTCTTTGGAAATTATGTGGTATCTGTACTTCAGTAGATTTTTTGGCTTGCGTTCTTGTAATCCACTGCTCTTTTGTTGTAGTTGTTGGCTTAAGCAATGGAGTCCTTCCAATCCCTTCCACCAACCATCAATTCCCTGACCGCAATCACGGAGGCAGTGAAGCCGAGGCCGGAATCTGTCGTCGTGAGCTCCAACAATTCCACTGACGAGGTTTATCCTAAAGAATCCATTGGCTTTCTTGAAGTCTTCGTTCATCAAGCCCGCGACATCCACAACATCTGCATCTACCACAAGCAAGATGTTTATGCTAAGCTTTGCCTCACCAGCAACCCCGAGGTCACAGTCTCGACTCAGACGATTAACGGCGGTGGCCGGAACCCTGTCTTCAACCAGACTCTTCGGCTGGATGTGCGAAACGTCGACTGTTCGCTGAAATGTGAGATATGGATGCTCAGCAGGGTCAAGAACTATCTCGAAGACCAGTTGCTCGGATTTGCTCTGGTGCCCCTTTCAGACCTGCTGCTAGCCAACGGCAAGCTGGTGAAGGAATTCTCGCTCTCGTCAACTGATCTCTTCCACTCTCCTGCCGGTTTCGTTCAGTTGTCGCTCTCTTATGTTGGGGCTTCGCCGGAAGTCATGGCAATTCCAGCACCTCCAAAATCATCGATCCCCGATACTACTTTGCCGGATGCAGAACATGAAGACCCAATTCCTTGTGACTTTGAGAAAATTGAGTTTCCTGACTTGCAAGTTGACAACGAGAATCAGCTGATGGTTTCCGAGTATTTTGGAATCCAATGCACCAGCATGGAAACTCAGAGCTCAGATAGCTTTATAACCGTGGAGAGCGGCAACTGTCCTGATGAGGAAGCAGGGGTTCGCATTGTAGAGAGCTTCTCTGCTGCTAATAGTCATGATTCTTCTGTAGCTTTAAAGCATGACACTCCCGTAAGCAGTTTCTCCACCACTGAGTCACCTGTGGTGCTCCCAGCCACATCTCAATCTACCTCCGATCCATTGTCATCCGTAGTGTCTCTGAGCCCGAAAGGTAAAACTTCAGATGTTATGGAGGGTGAGGCTGATTCTTCTGGAGGGACATCAAATGGTGCACTCTTGAAGCCTATTATCAGCATAAACATTGAACCGGAGCAACCAGTTGTTCAGCAGGATATTGTCGATATGTACATGAAGAGCATGCAGCAGTTCACAGAGTCATTGGCCAAGCTGAAACTTCCTATGGATATCGACAACGATAATGCAGCTACAGCAAATGGTAACTCAGGCTCTACTGCAGAAAATGGCAGCTCAGGCTCTGACAAGTTGCTGCCAACACCGAAGGGGACTGGTTCTAGAGTTTTTTATGGAAGCAGGGCTTTCTTCTGAACTTATGCGCTAAGTAATATGGGTGACTCTACCGTTTGCATTTTAACTAGTCAGTTTAGTTCTAAGCAGTGAACAACAACACCTTTCTGTATGTTGTCAAGTATCATCAGACAATAAAAGATGACTTGTTCAGATGACAAACTCTGTTTTCCCATAATTCTAGTGTATCTGTTGTTGTCTTACTCTCCTTTTCTGTTGGGCCTTGTGATCTGTCACTCGTTTATGTTGCTTCTGTTGTGCTTGTGTTCTTTTCACATGAATTCTTTTGTCTTTTGGTTTTGATCATAGGTTATGGACTTAGTTTCTCTTCTATGTAAATCCCAAAATAGTGTTGTTATTTTTGGATATGACACTCATGAATATATACATTAATAAGTGCAAACAAATGTTTAGTAATAAAGCAAAACATAGCAGAATGGATGTTGTTACTGCAACTGGTGTTTGGCTAGGTAGATTACTGGGGCATCTGGTGGTAGCAACTACGAAATCACAATTTCATATCACACATCATGACTCTACAGTTGTGACCGATCTGATAAGATGTTGTTATTTCTTCCCCCGTTCCTGTCTTGTTATTTTTGTGATGCCTGTGACCGTTCTTGAGTAGGCTAAAGATTAACTGAATACTGTCTGTTACATGGTTTTCTTGGAACCGAAAGTAATCTTCCTAAATTGATGTGGCTGTCTCATGCATTAAAAAATTACAGTAATTAATTGAATTGTCAAGAGACTGATTAGGTTGACTATTTTCTTTATCTAATCAATTACGACAACCGTTGTCCATCTTTTCTATGGTATCTATCATGCGATTAGCTTTTCTCCACAACATGCTAAAGTCTGTAGGAACAGGTCCTTTTTCTTTTCCTTGTCCTTTGCATCCGGTAAAAATATTGTCGACTACAATAATAAAACCCTGAAAGATGATCTCACCTGTAATTCTTGATGCTTGTTGATTGATGGCAATGACATGTGAAACAGGAGACACAAGATTTTATTGGAGTTGTCTTTATATTTAGTTTGTAAGGTCAAACAGTAATATCATTCTTTGCATGATTATTAAGTTCTTTCTTTAGTCTGCAGTCCAAGGATTCTTTTGGTGATCCATTTGGGTTTTCATGATCTTTATGTTCTTATATGGAGTAAATTACTGCAGCTTTGTCTGTCTAATTTGTAAGGTCAAACATAAATTCACAATTTGCATACCTCTTAATTGCTGTGGCTTTGTCTGTCTAATCCTTTGCCAGTGTGGTAAAACCTTATGCAGTGAAGTTGAAATATCTCAATGATAAGAAAATTGATGGCTTTTAGTCGACAAGAGGATATCTTATTTCAGAAGAATGGCTGTTCAGATGATCTCATTAAATTTAGGAGTTGGTTGGTTGATTGTTTTTACACAAAGGAAAGCTTACCGGATATAGAGTGGATTCAACTGGCATTTATTTCTAATGTCTGCAGGCTTAAACAGGTTTTACGTAGTTTTATTTCTTTTGATTACTTCCTCCTCCTAGAGGAAATATTGTCACTGTCAGAACTTTAGTTATAGATGGATGATACAGTCAAGTATCTTGTGTGATTAGCTCCACCAATAGTATTTTATCCTCCTAAATATTGAATAGTTTCTTTTCAACCAACCATCGTAAGCTTGTTTATTATGCTTCAGATGCTGCAAAGAATAAACCTTGTTTCTTTACTGCTAGGAACATCCAGGTGAAACAATCTTATATTCTTCATACAAGATGCAGATTATGTCAGGAGCATTTGTGATTCTACAGCTGCACGATTTACGAGTACGAATCATGGATGAAAAAGTTGAATCCATCGTTGTTACAGATCATTTTCATAATAATACCGGGCAATTGACATCATTAGCTTTGATTGAAGAAATGCTTTTACAGCAGTAACCTCAGAAATGATAAGATAGTTTCTTTGAATTTTGTGCGCCTTACATCTGAATCAATCTTTGTGTCCATTAGTTAATCATATGTGATAATGGGAGCTTTCAGCTACCTTATTTACATAACACATATCATGTTATAGCACAAGAGAGGCTTCCATTAGGTTGCCTATGGGTTACTCACCTGCCATTTCGATTTCTTCCTTGTTCTTTCAGGTATTCTTGGGACCATATAGATCTTTCTGGTTTCTAGGATGTTTCGTAGAAAATACTGAGATGCTTTATTATCATTGAGATGTCAATGACTGTTAATTTTTAAAGAGTCTCTCACATGCAAGCACTGGTTCACAGATGTGCACTGTTACTTTTATTCTTTGAATCATTGCTGTGTTTAAGTGAATAGCTGCATGTGTCATATATCTTACACTAACAAAAAGGTCTTATGCAGATTAAGAATTCATCCCCCTGTTTGGAGTCCACAGATGTGTCATGATGCAGGTTAGCCATAGGTCTATGAAGTGAAGGTGTGAGATTGAACCAAGGAGCACAACAATACGATGAGTTCACTGAGGGGGAAAGGTATGCAATGAAAGAAGCTTTTCCAGGGTATTGACTCGTGAAATATAGTGCATATATGTGTAGATGTGTACTTGTACTAATAATATTTGACTTAGATATCATGACAAAATGATGAACTGTATACTTTTCTAAGTCTGTTTGTGCGAGTTGAAAGTAGGCGAGTCTTGCAGATCCTCTCATCACACATTTGATTGTCGCTTGCTCTGGAGAATTCTTTTCTGTTGTCTAATGGATTGCTTTATCTTAGAGGTTCATTTTTGCTGATCAGAGAGAGTGATGCTCTCTGACTTGTAGGATTAAGAAGGTTAAATGGAAAATAAGAAAAAAATTTGCATGAACTCATATCGGCATAATCAGCAAATTTTATTTGTTTTCCTTCCTTTATTTCTTGTAGCTTACTTCATGCATAATCCAGGCTATTAGATTCTCCCTGTCATAATGTAATCATCAGTTTATCCTTTCATTTATGAATCATTATGATCAATGATTGTTAATGTTCTGGTTTTCTATCATTAGCTAATACTTAGAGGGCTGCCTTTAGGCTTGCTGAGAACTTCTACAGAACTATTAATTAGCAACAAAATTATTCTTTGGATCCATCAACAATTTTTCCAGCAAGAAATAGCCTACATATGCTTTTCTTTCTTAATGTGTAGCTGACAAATCAAATCTGTATAACTACTTTATTTCAATCTCCAAAGTTTGCTCCGTGGCAAACAGTATAAGATACCCAACTAGACATGTTTCTCCTGAAAGTAGTCTTACAAAAACAGTATGTACTATTATTGCTGGATTTCTTCTTAAGTTCCTGACAAACATCAAAGCATCAGTGTCCATAAACACTTTCATGGTTCAGCAATCATGCATCTAATGTAAGGATTTGCTTCTACAAGAAAGTGAACCATTTGGATGACCGGAAGCCATTTGTTGAACTTTTGACTTGCCTTTTCCTAACATGGCTATTTTTCTGAAAACCTTCAGCAATCTATTTGCATATTTCCTTTGTGCAGTCCAACTCAGAGAGCCAATGCAGCCACTAACATGGCCAAAGGGATTCCTCCTTGCGACGGTGCTGCCCTCCATAGCAAACAACCTAAAGCTTACCGTCTTCAGGTCTGTTTCGACTGAACCCTTTGATGTGTTCTGGAGGCTATGTTTCAGTGATGCCAGTTTCTTTTCGAGTGCCTGAATTCTAAATCTTGTGGACTCGTTCTCTGCTTTACTACCATGTGCAGGCCCCTTTAAAGAAAGATCTTCTTTCATCAAGGAGCCTAAAGACACAACAGGAGCCTCCTCTCCAATGGCGAGATCGTGTGGGCTTTCATCTAGCTTCTGGCTTTTTGGGACCTGGCACTTTGAGCTCGGAATGCTCCCGGAGAACTCCCCACAGTGAAGGTACCTGAAGGATTCCGAACAATGTTTGAAAGCTTGTTGTGTGTGCAGTTGCTGGACAAACAGTGCTTGGATTATGAGGCGCAGTGGCATCAGCTCATCTTGAACTGCTTGAATGCATGCCTCCTGTGATAGCTTCTGGCAGTTGATGTTGCTGCAGAGTCTTGCCTTCTCTTCATTGGATACCCAAGGATGTGCCTGAGGAAGCAATGAACAAATCCTAGCAACATCATGTAGCAGAATTCGAAGGAAGTGGCTGAATAGATTTGGGAGGAGTTCGTACCGACAAGAAGGTGTTGATTGCTTTGTAGAGATGGTCATGGGTGTCTCGATCAACCATTGGTACTGTCTCGACAAGTTTCATGAATCGATCAGGTCCAAGCTTTGGGTCAACGGCAATCTGGGAGAGATATATGTCCCACAGTTCTGCAACAGTTGAGCTACTATTTGCGGCAGTCGTCTCGTTCCTGGATGATACGTGGATCGAGACCACCCTCTCCATTGTTTTGAGCTCGGGACTGCTTGCTATGTTCTGCAGTGTGTTGTCAGGGAGGAGAAAGTCTTCCGCTTGAGCCAAGTGCAAATGATATGCTACAAGATCTTGCAGCTTCAGTCTGATACTATCAGTCAGATTAAGCGAAAGCGACATCGAGAGCAATGCGAAGTAGAATGTCACAGGGACGATCTCAGCGCTGTTTGCAGCTGGAAGCAGCTCGAGGATGCCTCGTAAGATGGCTGAAACCTTGTTGCCAGCAGTGCCAGCTCCATCTTCTTCGGCTGTGTTCTCCCAGAACTTGTGAGTCTTCTTCGAGAGCACCCATTTGTTTGCGTAGAAGACGACGACGGGGCTCACGTACTTCTCCTTCATCCCCTGTCTTCTCAGGGACCGGATTATTCTTCTGAAGAATTGGAATGGCAGGGCTATGAGATCCTTGATCCACAGGTCTTGCCCGGCAACCTCCTTCACCGCCTCGGAGTCCCAAGGCCGGCCGGCCAAGGCCTGGAGAGTGGGGACGGGCCGGTCTCGCCTCTGCTCCGGATCGAGTATCTCCATGCAGGCCATGAAAGCTAAGGACTCGACGCATCGGCTCACGATCAGAAGCTCTTCTGCCATCGGAAGCAACGTTTGACAGGTCTGGAGAACTATCAGCGTGTCATCCCAGCTCTGCAGCACCACTTGGTTGAGGTACAAGTCGGAAGTCTCGCACAGGTTTCTGGAGGTCTGGTCTTCCGTCATCTGGAGGAACTCGGCGGCGCACCGGAGCGCCGAGACGTTGAAGGGGTCGAGAGGAAGCGGAGAATCGTAGGCGAAGAGCGCAACCATCTCGAAGGTCTCCGAACCACCGGGGAAGCTGTGAGGCAATTCGACGTCGGACGATGACTCGATCAGTGCCTTCTTGAAGTACCTACTCCTTGAGATCAGGGGCAGCTGCAAGGCACACAAGAACACCATGGACACGTTAGCAAGGAGAAACTACCACAGCTGGTAACATAGATAGCCGCCATGCTGCTTCGATTCTGACCATGTGCAGGTTGAAGATCTTGCCATGAATCCGGACACAGACTGATGCTGGTGATCCAGTCTCTTGGCTCCTGACATCATGCGATTCAGAAACAAACGCATCAGGCAGTGAAGAAGGAGAGGAGAAGCAGCAAGAAAATGATTGTTGGGATCAAAATAAGCAATCGAGAGCCACTGATTACGATCATCACCATGTAAATACCACTTTCTTCAGCAAGGCTGCTGGCTTTGGACTCGAGAATGGACTAGCTCGAGCACTGGTGGAATCCATGTCATAGACTCCACTGCAGATCAACCCAGCTCAAGTTCCACACTGGGATGCTAATAGAAGAGAAGAGAAGATGGCACGGAGGATGCTGAGGGAAAGCTTTGCAGGGAAGGAAGCTGCCCGGTGTGTCACACACTCTCATGCAGACTCCCCTGTTCAAAGTCTGAGATCGAGTCAAAGGGGGCACAAGAACAGTGACTGAGGCCGCACGAATGGGGGTTGAATCCGAGCTTTAAGGCTTGGAATTCGGGGGAAGGAAAGGATTTTGGAGAATTGTGTGCTGCAGGGGAGCATAATAAATCCCCATCTATCTCTCTCTCTCTCCCCTACGCAAACTGCGTCACGCTCGACTACTCGCCTACACCCTTATAATATACGTCTGAGGGTGCGCCATCGGCGTCTTCGTGTGAGCTCCTCCTTTGGATCGTCGCAACGCCGGTGACGGCACGGCTTCGGTAGTCTCATCGGATGCTGCTTTCTGCTCGCGAACTCCCAGAATTCTGGATATCCCAAGGCGCCACGCCCTGACTCCGCCATGTGTTCGACGCAATGAGACCGGTGACCGGGGTGCAGATGGCAGCAGCATCGAGGATGTTAAAGGGTCAGATTACCGTAGGATCCGTTTACCCGAATCCACACTATTTCGGGTCGGATTCTTTTTAGAGAGGGAAAAAACGAGGATATCTTGGTTTGTTTGTTTGTTTCACGTGCAATGCACATGCTTGAACTTCTCGTGCTTGGTTTTCGTAAGCTCGATCAATCAAATTAAATAATTATAATTCTAATAGATATTATTATAATAAAATATTAGGAGTTTCAAGTTTGGATCTATGAACATTGTGGCTCTCTTTTTGAATGTCGTGCGCATGTCATCCAATTTTAATAAGAATAATGTAAGATTGATGCATACAGAAAGCCGAAAAAAAAGGAAGCAGGTGATAAGTTTTGGTTTTTGGTTTTGTTTTACTGCTTGGAAAATAATGGGCCTTTTAATGTTTTGAAGGGATAAGTCAAGATCCATCTGCTAATGTGTTATTGTGTTTAGAAGAAGATAATGATACTAAGAGGGGTGAATTAGTGTTATAATAGTAATTTTTTATTTGATTTTAAAGTTCGATCAATAAATTTGTATTGAAAACGTCATTAACCAAAAATATAAGTAAAGTAAATAAGTAAGTAACAATAAATCAAAAGTAAAAGAAGGGATGTAAATCGATTTATAACGGTTTGACCTTTTCGACTTACGTCCACTCTCGATTCTTTTTCTCTTGAGATCATCGACTTTCACTATCAATTTTGTTTTCAACGGACGAAAATCAATTACCATTGTTATAGCTTTTCTCATTTTAACAGATTTAGAAGAGAACCTTCACATCGACTCTTTTATAAGATATCTCATCTTCTATAACTTAGAATCATCTCTAAACTCAAATAGAAATAAGAGATTCAAATAATACTCAAAGAGAGAACTACAACCTTTTACAAACTTAAATTTTGATATATCAACCAAACCTCGATGGGGTATTTATAGGCCCCCAAGAGGCTTCAAAATAGAGCCAAAATTTTTAAATCCTTGAAACTTTCAAAATATGGCCGGTACTACTGTCACAACTTTTGACGTCGCAATTTCGAACTTTCGAGCGATACCATCATTGTAATTTTTGAATTCTGGGTGGTACTATCGTTGACGAGCACTATTTGTGGTTGTCGGTTGACTCAGGTGGTACCATCGCCCAAGCCAACTCAAGGCTATCGTTTTAACCTTCTAACAAGCCTAGTTCAGTCTGGGTCTAAGCTTATTGGCTTTCTCGATAAATTGATAGAGTTTTGGCCTAATACCAACTTAATTTGTCCTAGAAAAATGTCGAATAAGATTTTAATGATTCAACCACATATATGATATAATTACGAAGCTTTTAGCACATTGTACGTCATTCCGACATGTTATCCGATCTTCTAGCACTTTGTCCAAACCTCCGGCACATCGTCCTTTCCTTCACCATATCGTGTGATCTATTGGCATGTTGACCTTCTCACAACATTCGATCTTTTAGCGCAATACCTGATTCTTTCGACACGATGATCTAATTTACAGCACGAAGTCCAATCTTTAGCCTGTCGAATCAACTGGACGTTCAATGTCAGATATGATGCTTTTCTCGGCACATCGTCCTTTCCTTCACCATATCGTCTGATCTATTGGCATGTTGATCTTCTTACAATATCCGATTTTTTAGCGCAATACTTAATTCTTTCGACACGATGATTTAACTTATAGCACGAAGTCCAATCTTTTGCCTGTCGAATAATCCTTCAACTGGACGTTCAATGTCTGATATGATACTTTTCTCAGCACATCGTCCTTTCCTTCACCATATCGTCTGATCTATTGGCATGTTGACCTTCTCACAACATACGATCTTTTAGCGCAATACCTGATTCTTTCGACACAATGATCTAACTTACGGCACGAAGTCCAATCTTCAGCCTGTCGAATCAACTGGATGTTCAATGTCTGATATGATACTTTTCTCGGCACATCGTCCTTTCTTTCACCATATCGTATGATCTATTGGCATGTTGACCTTCTCACAATATTTGATCTTTTAGCGCAATACTTGATTCTTTCGACACGATAATCTAACTTATAGCACGAAGTTCAATCTTTTGCTTGTCGAATAATCCTTCAACTCGACTATCAATGTTTGACATGATACTTTTCTCGGCACAACGTCTAAGTCTTCTATTTTGAAAATTTGTCCTTGATGGTTCGAATCCTGGATCGATATATTTTCTGTATCATTTATCTGAAAAATATATTAGTTCATAAACTCATCAATTAATTTCATCGTCAAAATCTAAAATCTAAAATTCAATAGTAAGTAACTTAGGCCTAAGCGTATATGATAGAAACGTGCAAATGTTCATCTCGGAGAGAGCAACGGGTCGGGCTGATCACGACTCGGATGGCATCAAATTAAGCCACTCTATTTTTTGTTTTTCTTGAATTTTGAGGGTGATGGGATGGTTTTACATGCGTTCTATATGCAAAATGTGTTTCAAAAAATAGTCATGCATTTATTTTTCTTTTCCTTCTGTACTATTTTTTTACTTAAAATAATAATAATCCATGACGGGATATCCATATGGTATGGCTTCCATGCAAAAGGGATTCCAAACAAATAAAACACTGGCATCATCTTCTTGGCTGTAGTTACTGTGGAGTCCATCCTCATAATTATGGATCAGATCAGCTTTTTGAGGTTATCGGGGTCTCAAACACAACAGCCCGAACCGAAAGCAAAGATGAAATGTCTATGGAAGTTACAAATCCAAACATCATATTTGGCTGGGAAACATTAACAGAAATCTAACAAAGGAGGTGCGATGCCAAGAATATATTGCGATGTACACTTGACCATTTACCGATTCAGTCAATCCGGAGGCGAGAGATTGCGGCACCGCCGGCGTCGGGTGAGGCAGGAACCGGCGCCCTGTTGCGGGGATCGGTGGCAGTGGCCGCAGAAGGAGGCCGAGCCAGAGGTGGATGGGGTGCAGAGCCATCGTCGTCGATGCCGTGAAAGAAGGGGTCCGTGAGGAGCTCGGAGGCGGAGGGCCGAGCCCGGGGCCTCGCGAGGCAGCGCTCGATGAAGGCCCTGACCTCGGGGTCCTTGACCTTGGCCATGGCCGCAGGCCTCACCCCGGCCGTCACCTTCCGGTAGATCTTGGCCACGCTGTCGCACTCGCTGTAGGGGATCTCGAGCGTCACCATCTCCAGCACGCACATGCCGAACGAGTATATGTCCACCTGCTCTGTGTACTCCTCCTCGTATAGCTCCGGTGCCATGAACTCCGGTGTCCCCAGTATCGAGTGGGCTGCATGGCTCTTCCCCACGATCGCTGCTAGCCCCAGATCCCCTATCTTTACCTTCATGAGAACAAGAAAATAACCAAAATAAAGATCCAGAATATGGAAGAAAGAAGGTGCTTGTGCAAAGCTGCTTCCTTCTGATATTAGAAGAGAGCGTCGAAGGTCATTAAATCCCCTCAAACGAAAGATGCAGCCAAACGTTTCCAGAGACATAATCGTTGGGTTCTCATTTGCTACGAGCAAAGGGCTGGCCTTTGACGCCGTACCTGGCCGATGTTGCCATTGATGAAGACGTTGGAGCAGTTGAGGTCGCGGTGGATGATGCAGGGATCGTGGGTGTGGAGGTACTCGAGGCCCATCAGTATCTGGCGAGACCACTTCTTCAGGGCCTTGAGCGAGACGTGGCGGTGCCGCTTCCGGTACACCCGGAGGTTGCCGGAGGTGCAGACCTCGGTGATGAAATTGAGCGTGCTGCCATCGTCGTCCGTCCACACGTTGTAGAGCGCGATGATGTTCTCGTGCCGCAGCGTCTTCAGCAGCCGCACCTCTGCGAACAGCCGGTCAAGCATCGGCCGGTCGTCGCTGAAGCTCCTCAGCCGGACCTGGTTCCACGCCACCTCGATCCCCTCCTCCTGGTCGAACCCCCGGTACACCCGCTTCACGGCGCCGGCGCCCAAGAGATCGTCGTACCGCCCGTACCGCCCCGTGGGATCGATCTCGACGAATGGCTCCGCATCTTTATCCGCCGGATCTGGCTTCACGCACGGCATCCTCGATCAAAGGCCCTAACTATTTGAACTGAGAGACCAAAAACCCCTCCATCAGATTTCTCGATAACCCCAGTCCTCTCCGCACGCGATCAACATGAATCCAAAAGGGTCGAACAACCGTACCTTGGCACGACGGAGAACTCGAACCGGCACGGAGATCAGATGAAGACCAAGAGGAAACAGATCACGAGGAAATACGAAGTTCTCGACTCTTTCAGATACAGATTCGTCGAAGCCATAGAATATCCAATCACGAGAGCTACAGAAACATCAAGAAGAACACAAAGTACTTGACATCAATAACATGATCACGGCTTCCGAACTGAAATCTAGAGTGGTCCAAGAACTGGTTCAGAAAGCTATAAAGCCCTAGAATCTAATCCGAAACGAATACAGAACACGAAGAAGTCAGGGGAAGGTGACGGAATTCGCATCGGTACCTTTTGGTGTGAATCAAGACCGGTGAAGCGGCGGAGAGAGGCGAGCGCGTGGAACCGCGGAGGAAGAGGCGGAGCAGAGAACGGCCACATGAAGGGAAGAGAGAGAGTTCGGGAAGGCAGAGGTGCCATTTATAGAGGAAGGAGCGAGGTGTTGGGATACCGAGTGCGGTCGGTTGCGTGAGTGAGTTAAGAGGACAGCCACAAGAATCATATTCCAATTCCACCCACAGCTGTCCAACTCACGCCTTAATGTTCACGCTCGCGATCGATCTCTCCGTGCAGGGGATCCGACCGCTTGATCTCGTATTCACAGGCTTGCGTCGTCGGTGGGGGGATTAGTTTGAGACACTCGAGCCCGCACCCACGAGGTTCTCCACTGGGAGTCCATGACCCAAAAGACGCCACCTCGCGCGGTACGACTAAGTCGTGCAGCGCCAGCGGCGGTAGATGTGCGGGCCACGTCTCCTGCGGTCGCTTAATTCAGGGCTCGACCGGCGAGAGCAAACATTTACCCGTGCCAGTTGCCCGTCTCAACTACCGGCCCTTTTATTTAACATACCGGCGGGTCCCATGTGGGACCCGGAAGGAATGGGCCGTTTCTTTCGGTACTGGACGGCGGGGTCGGGTTCGTTGTGCGGGACCCACGTCGACGTTTTCCTATCGAGGTGTAATGGTGGTGGGTGGAATCGGGGGATTTGGAGATCGGGAGGGTTAGCGTTGGGACAGGAGGCGTCCGATCGAGATCGGACGAACGAGGTTTGAGGACATGTCGGATAATGCAAAATTATCATTTAAGTAAAATAAAAACTTAATTTATCTGATAAAAAAATAATAATTTATTATATGAGCTCGAATCCAATATTCGTCAGTCAAAAAACATATATCGTAATGGACTATTGACTGACGGACGACACCACAAAATGACAGTGTTTGAAGTGGTCAGGATTTGGTAAGAGACTTCGCAGTCTCAGTAGCCTGAGAAGAATCACATGTAAAGTTGAGCATTGACCGAAGTTGCTGCAGATGAACAGTGTCTTGGACAACTGAAGATCCAATTGACTCGATCTGGGCAGGCTTTTCTTTTTCTTTTCGAGCTCCAACTCACATGAAACATCACATATGATACGAGCAGATAGATTGCAGTGAAGGGAAGGGGAAGCAGAAGAAGAAGAAGAAGAAGAAGAAGAAGAAGAAGGGACCTCCGAATGCATGGCTCCTTTCACTTTCCTTTAAAGCTTCCATTAATTGCAGGACCAACTTGGGGCTGCTTGTGCAAGGTGTAGTTCAGATATGATGTAGCTTTTGAGCTGGTCCAGCTGGGGAAGGCAGCTCTGCCTCTCGAAGAAGATCTTTACCTAAGACAGAATCCAAAGAAAAGGGAAGGAAAATTGACTGCGTCTCCAACCTTTTACCACCACGAAAGGTGGAGGAAGCCGTTGAATGGACTCATTCTTCCTGATGCCTACGCCAGCCTTTTTGATCGGATATGACAGATCTAACTTTTTCACCTCCGTGAAAGCTTCGGCCAGTCGAGAGAAGAAGAGTCATCGTTATTGATGTGTGTGGGATGAGCAAGTTATGGGTCTGAAATATCCCAATTGAATTCTGGAAGAATCACATAAAGTTGGAACGATAATTACGTAATAGAAAGTCTTAAGGTCAGTTCGTCAGTCTGTAAAATTAAATTCTCATGTTCGTCAGTCTGTAAACTCCATTCCATGTCTAAGACAGGAACGATATGATTGCGCGAATAAATCTTAGCCCTGCAGGTAGTGTGCAGTATCGGACGAAAGTATCATCACTCTACTCCATGTTGATCATCGTGAAAGCTTCAGCCAGTTAAGCAAAGAATCATTCTTTTTGATGCGAGTGGGAAGGGAGCAAGTTAAATGAATCTGAAATCTGCGAATGGAATGGTAGAAACGTGGAGAGTGGTGGAAGAACTCATCACACGGAAGGTGGGGTGGCAAAGTCAAACACTCATCTTCTAAGTCACAGAAGACTGGCCGGCCGGTTAGAAGAGATTGCTTCGATTCTTAAAATGCTCACTTTAAGCTTTGTTTATCTTCCATGATAAAATATCTTCTGAAGGTTATTATTATTATTATTGTTGTTGTTGTTGGATCGGAATACCCCTATAGAGTTTATTATTATTATTATTATTATTATTATTGTTATTATTGTTGGATTGGAATACCCTTATACGAAGAGTTTGATTTAATCTCGACTCTTCATTAGAATTAATTGTGATATAGAATATTATTATCAACAATCAAATTATTACCGTTCGAATTAGTTAACATTTTAAAAAAATTATCGAATAAAAATTAAAATTCTTAACATAAAAGTAAATGAAATTCACGTTTTAAATGTTGAACTTTCAATTATTAAGAACATTAGATACCGATCGATAAGATATGATCATTGGATTCATTTTAGCCCTGTAATTATTTGTTCATAATATATATTTTATTAAAAGCGACGAAGAGAAGATTTTATTGTTATCAGAATCCCAACTAAATTAGCAATCTGTGATGTTAAGTCCTTCCCAACTTAATGTTTAATATTACCAAAACCATTGCAATCGATTCAAACATACCATAATTTATCAAAATGTATATCGGAACACAACATTTCGGCAGACAATCCATGGATTATATATCGAACTAATCAACTGACTTCGCTTTAAAAGTGAGTGAAATTCTTGAGAAAATTGCATTTTTGTTCCATTCGCAACAACAAACAGAAACGTGACAGTCTTGCATGACCACAATTCCACTGTTGATGAACTCCACAGAGATAACCAAAAGGTGGAGAAATTTTCATTGAACTGTCTTATTCACCAAAAGCTAATAGCATAAGATTGCGCTGTCTCAAAATTGAGATGAATATTTGGGCAGTCTTTGACAGCAATCTCGATCACTTGTAAAGCTGCTTTATTCTTTTGGCTGCTTCCAAAATGTTTGCTCTGTGACCGAAGGCGCTGACCCGGATAAAGCCCTCGCCTCCAGGTCCAAACCCACTTCCTGGGGTGGTAACGACATGCGCCTTCTCGAGAATCTCAGCGAATACGTCCCACGAGCTTCGACCTGGAAACTGTACCCAGACATATGGCGCATTTTTTCCACCATATACATTGAAGCCAAGTGAGCTAAATGTATCAACGATTATCTCGGTATTCTCTTTGTAGAAGTTGATAGTTTCGGTCATGGCCTGCGAAATAACAAATACTCTGAAGCGCATGCATCAACTATGATAAAAGTAGCTCAACATGCACAGAACTGACCTTCAGTCCCTCGGGAGAAAGACAGGCTAGACCTCCAGCTTGAGCGATGTTCGACGCACCATTAAAGCATGTACACACAATACGGTTGAAATCCTTGGCAACAGGGAAACCATCAGCAAAAAGCAGTTCTTTTGGGACCACAGTCCAGCCGAGGCGAACACCGGTGAACCCAGCATATTTAGAAAAGGACGATATTTCAATAGCCACCTACAAAATAGGAACCCATTTGTCATTACATGTCAAATATTTAGTGATCATCAAGAGAAAGCAGTTGCTATTCAAACTGAAGGTTGAAGGTGACATATAAATGTGATACCATTTTTTCCTAATTGAACATATAGATAATACTTGCCCTTTTCAGAAAGCAAGGTTGTCATGTGCCTGGAAAACCTGTCCAAAAACAATTTGGGAAGGAACTCACCTCTTTTGCACCAGGAATCTCAAAGATAGTACGTGGACTGTCATCTGAAATGTACATGGCATAAGCAGAATCATAAACTATGATTGACCCATTATTCTTTGCAAACTGCACTAGATGGGTAAGTTGCTCTCTTGTTGCTGCTGAACCAGTTGGGTTGTTCGGTGAACAGAAGAAGATGACATCAGCTTGTGAGATAGTTGACAAATCAGGGAAAAAATCATTCTCAGGTACACATCTCATGTATTCGATGTCTCCATATTTCTCAATATCCTTCTGGAATAAGCCAGTTTGCCCTGTAATAACACTTGAATCAACATATGCCTGCAAATAGTAGTTCATCAGTAGACACAGTTCATAGCAACTTCAAAGATTAATTCCCAAACAAATGAACATCCATATTAAGTTTTCAAACATTGCCATTGGCATAATGCTATCCATCGAACAAAAATGCCCCAAGTTCAAATAATACATGAAGTCGGAAATATTGGTGCTCCAAAAAATAATGAAAAATATGTACAATGTTAATTATATACAGAATTGCAGAAGTAGTCTTCTATAATATAATAGAGAATAGAAAAGCAAAGTGACCAAAGTGTACATAGTGTAGACTTACAGGGTATGAAGGATCTTGAACAGCCATTTTCACTTCAGATCCAAAAAGAAGCTGCCACAATTATAAAGCTGGTAAGACATCTTTTGTGCAGGTTAGCCAGTTAACCAGTTATCAACATGAGAAAACATGTTCATAAACAATAAAATCATAGTAAGTAGCAACTGGCCAACATTTTGATGGTCCCAAGTGAAAATCTTGGCAAAAATTTAGGAGAAAAAGACACTAAAATTTAGTAAAAAAGACAATGTGAAAGCACAAATTTTGAACAGAACAACCTGAAGGCGAGAGATATCACATTTTGCACCATCTGAGACAAATATATCAGATTCTTCGATACCAAGATCTTTGTAGTATGTTGAGGCTATGGTAGCCCTTAGTTTCTGCAGAAGAGTTCAAAGAGGGCTTGTCACAATCAGATTAAATTATAATCGTGATGCATATTGATATGCGTTACAAAAGAATGTACATTGACCATAAAATCACTACACTAACATGCTGAAGTCAATAAAGATTAACATGCACTGTGCAGTAAGTATAACCCAAGTATAATGATTGGGTCCCCTATAATCACAAATTGTTAAAGAAAATCCTGATGAAAACTAAAAACAAAATTAAAAAAGAGAGCAACAGGGATTATAGACAATCAAATATGTTTTTTCAATTTCTTCTAAGGATCTTATGCTGTATAGTCTTATGGATGATGAAAGAAACATGTTAAATAAAAGTCAAAAATACTGAGTCTAAATGTAAAATGGCATGCATATTGAATTAAAAATGTTCGAATCTCTTAGCATCTTTTATTGTTCAATCCTTCTAGGAGAAAGTCTAACTTGTTCATATAAGGTACTAATGTAGCCTTCAGGGGGGGGGAAAAGGAGGTTTTGGCAGCATGTGACTGCATGCCAGTCTACAAGATTACTCCATGTGTACCAAATACTAATATTAACCAACATATAAAAAACTGTCTCATTGCAGAATCAACATAACAATGGCACTGTACCTGCTAATGTGCCTCCACCCAACATCTTAGCAGGTTACAATCAAAGCTTAGTGTGCCTCCACCCAACATCTTTGTTTATCACCCAACATTTCAACAGCACAAAGTCCCCAAGATTGAAAAACCTCCAACATCACCACCGGACATGGGTGCTTCATATTGGTGGTTGTATCCACATCTGAACGTGTAAAAGTATAATGCCTATAGGATGCTTCTTAGAAACATAAAGAATATTATCTTTAGGTACCCAAATTTTGAACAATTATTGAAAAAGATCAGTACCTTTAGGATATTTAGGGGATACTTCATGATAATTATTTGGAAAACTTTATTCTATACAAATATTGACTTGATGATTATAGAAATGGATATATCATTTGACAGGTCTTTTGTATGTTGTTTGTATAATGATTGAGGAAATTAAAGTCCTTGCTACCTTCTCTATACTCTTTGAGTCTTGACAAACTATGTTACCAATTATAACAATTTTATGATGAATAATTACTCAATATTCATCATGAATTATGACATAAGTACCTATTCTATCAATTACAGAAAATTTTAAACATTAAAATATACATTTCTAGCAATCATATGCTTTTACTTTTAAGCTTTGATATATCGACATTTTTGTATCATGTGATATTGATAGCCTAATCCATAGCCCTGCTTTATAGCTATAACATATCTACCCATCTATTCTAAGCATGTACAAGAGAATAAAAGAAATAGTGGTGGGTATGAATTTATTATATTTTATTGATCCTTTCCGTATGCAAGTAGCAACTTTGGTTTGCACGAAAATTTTTGAAAACTAAGAAATGAAAACATTGAAATAAGTAATTAATGGCCACCACATTTATCGATCTATTCTAAGATAACATGTACAAGAGAAAAAAAAGAAACAGAGTTATACACATATATTACAAATTTTCATCCTCTCCATATGCAGAAAACAACTTTAGTTTGCATGAAACAATTCCTTAACCAGAATAAAAATAAGACATATCCAAACCCTAAAAAACATAACTTTGCAAAAAGTAATTAGTCACCTTGTCCCCTTGTTCAGCTCCATAACCACTATATCCCTCAACAGTTGAAAGAAAATGTGCCCTCTGCATAGCAATAATACATAAGAGTTACTATTCTTACATGCAGAAAAAGAAAATTCTATAAATAATTCAAAGTTCAAGTAGTCATGAACAGTACACGAAAACTATGTAATGTTACAATACAGCAAACTGCAAACATGTTAGACTAGAAAAAAAAATCCCTCTAGAAACTTCTGTGACATGGAGACCACTGAAATGATTTTCATAACAAAGAAAATCAGCCTTTACATAAAAATTTAGAAAATCAGAAGACAATTTACTAGCTGAATTTCCCACCCTTATAATATCATGAGATACTCTTTAATGACATGCCATTTGACAGCTTAAGAAAAATTTTGCAATATATACAACTCTTTTTCATCTGTTTCTTGTTGTTAAACATGAAGCTTAAAAATAATTACTTGTATTACTTTCCGCATAAGTCTTGGCATTTCTGCAAGTTACTGGCAGATGCAAAGAATCAAATTTTAAGATCAGAAAATGACTAGCATCAAGTATTTCATTTGAAATTTTTTAGATACTTAGAACAAATGTGTTAAATTAATAAAAAAATTTCAGAAAGAGTATCATAAAATTTTAAAAATGAAAGATTTACAATCATAAATGAAAATGATGAGTGGGCAGTAGTTAATTTCTAGGTCAGACTGGATGGATCTGCTGTCTCTGAGTAATGGTTACATGTATTTATGGTACAAGCTTATAATTTTTCTTACTATAAGTTATTATGTAGAGTCACTCTTCATAATAAAAGGTGTCAAACTCAAGGTTTACAAACACACCAGCATTATACATGTGAGACGATGGAAGTATACCACCATCTAATTCACAGCACATACTTGTGTGACAACATAAGTTATTAGATATATTGAAAAATTACCATGGCCATGGAAGAAGTTATGACTTCTGGAATGGGTTCTGTAGTGTCACCAATGCCAAGACTTATTACTTGTACATCAGGGTACTTCAACATGTGTGCTGACCTTCTTCTAGCGATCTAGCTTCAATCAAATATGGACAAAATATAAATAATATTCAGACCCAGCAAAAAGTGAGAAAAAAGTACTCAATTGAACATATGAAACCTAGAAACTTGATACAAATTTGAGTACGAATATCATGCAACCAAGTCAAGAACTGAATGGAACAATATACTGCATCATAAATGTGAAGCAAAAAATGAATAGGCATTAACATTCAAAAAGTGCAAGTTATGTCAGTCTCCAAGCCATTATTATAGCAAGTTAAATGCCATAGATACACTGGTTAAATGCTATCACCAACAATACTCTCCCTGCATGACCACATGCCAAGCACAAGCAAATTTTTATGACTAATGATATTTGGTCCAAGAAGTAGGGTAGCATAGTCAACCAGCACATGTGATGCATGCAATTATGTATCATGCATACATCCATTGTCAGAGAATATATCTTAATACATAGTATATGTTACACTGTTCCTTGGTATTAAGCACTGAAGAAAATATAGTTCCACATAGTAAACAAATACATAGTATATGTTACACTGTTCCTTGGTATTAAGCACTGAAGAAAATATAGTTCCACATAGTAAACAAATATATTTTAGAACTAGAAGCCCAATTAAGGTTTCCATAACAATCGCCATGGTCCAAACAGCCAACTTGTACATTCCATGTCTCGGTGTGTAACGTAAATGGTAATAACTTAAGAAGGGAGCCTAGATGAGTGAGCAGGTTCTAAACAGTGCATTTTTATGTAAATTGCTAACCTGGATAAAAGTTTCTTGAAATATATTGATATTTCTAAGTAAGTGCACACATCTGGGTACAGAATCAAACTGACCAAATCATTAATCTGTAGTTGGAGAGCAACGTTTATAAAATAAGTTATAGCCCATGCATATGCTGGGCCTTCCAAATTAATAAAAGGAAGAAATGAAGGATCAACTCCATCCACAGCCAATCAGTATGGTTAAAAGAAGCCACTTTGGCACCCAGGCACTGCCTAGGTTCTTAACCTGGACCCTAATACCTAGGCCTAACCACTTTTTCACTTCATCTTAGTATAGCCTATAAGTAAGGACCTAAGATTCCTCAAAAAAAATTTGACATATGAAACAATGGATAAACTGTGCATTGAATGTGAATTATCCTTCTAGTCATAAATTGATTTCTAAATGGATAATTTGTTAAATTAACAACAGATAAGAACAGTCTGACTTCTCGAAATAGACGATATTCCAGAAAATGACAGAAAACTTTTCAAAAAAGGCAATAACGAAATAATACTACTCACCTCTGGGAACAGATAACCTGCTTGAAGCTTAGCCATATTTGCATTTCTTGTCACCTTTGTCTTGTAAGCTTCAGAACAGTTGATATGTTTCAGTTTGCTGAACAGTTTAAATAATAATTATTCTGCAAACATTTAGGAGACTATGATTTTTCTTAATTACAACATCTTCCTGAAAAATGTTTCCCTTTCAGAGGCTAACAAATATGAGCATTCACAATCAATCAGTGGAATAGCAGATGCAATAAAAAAAATAATCCAACAACAGTTGAAAACATATACATTTTTCTGTTGGACAGCGTACAAAGAGTGATCAGTGTATGACAAATAAAAGTGAAATCTGCTAAGCCTGTATCCAATCTATACATGTTACTACCAAAAAAACCAGAAAGTTCCTACGTACCACTATATGTTACTATCAAGTAATAGTATAAAAGAATTTTATCTGCTAAAGAATCACTAATTTTGAGAGATAAGAACTTATTTTTGAAACTAATCCTCCAAAACAAATGCTTAGTTGACACTATTGTATTGACTGTTTCTGAAAGAAAGGACATGAAAACAAATGATTGCATGTTCAATCCTAAACTCATGGTAAGCAATTAACACTCAACTAGTGAATAGCATGCAGCAGCTGGCAATGGGCAAGTTGCAACAGCTGGCAATGTGTCCATCCTGAAGCATGCATCGGCTGGTGACAAAGTTTAGAGTTCTTAATCTTCTTTAGTTCCTGTTCCCTTCCCTCTTTTCTCCTCCATTTCATCCTTCTCTCTTCTTCTCTCAGTGGCCAATGACGGCATCCAGAATCCTCTTTGTTCCTTTTTTTTCTCATTCTCCTCTCTTCTCCTCCTTTCTTCTTCCTTTCCTCTTCTGTCTCCTCATTTTCTCCTCTCTTCTATTATACAGGAATAAGCCTGTTGTCCAAAAACTAGAAGTAGAAATACAGAAGACAGCAGTGTTACTTTCTCCCTTATTATGTTTTGTTAACTTCTATACTCTCATGTCTCAGTAATATTTTCTTTCTCTTCTGCTCTTCTTCTTTATCAAATTTTAAAGTACACATATTATGCCCTCTTAGAAACTTTGACATCGATGGAAAAAGATGATGCTCCTTATACATGTTCTGCCTACTCCTGTACCAAATTCTTGGTCAGAAAGCAGTGAACAAAACAAAGGATTTATCATAAATTAGAACTCTAAACTATGTTATTCATATAAAAGATCTCCTAATTACCAATTAAGATAACTATTTTACAGTATCTGCACAATTTTCATTTTTAATAAATCCTGAACATTGTTCCCAGAAACCCTAACCAAAAAAATCAATCAACGGTCATTTGGTTGAGATTTTAGACTTTTAAATCACAAGGGGGAACGAAATTGCTCCTCAGCAGTTGAAGATTTGCAGAATGTAAACGACACTTTCAACAACAAGAACGCTAACAGTATTTGCAACCCAAGTCAACTCTTCAGACATGAAACGAGCAAGCCATTACTGACAAACCAATTATCCATTTATCAAGAATCGATTCAGCGACTGTAAGAAGCCCACAAGGATCACCGACCATGCAAAAAGCTAATTTGCAAGACAGTTTAAGGTTACCAGTCTGCTCAGCAGAAGGAGACGATATGCACTTGCAAACGCCATGTTTTCTGCGCGGAAGAGACACTTCCCACGACCTGCGATCAAATTATAAACTAAGATAAGACGGAATTGAACAACGCGAGATGAAAACAAAAGAAACAGATCGAGCAATACTCACCTGCTGTTCTTGTTGTTGGATGGGAGACGGCCAAAGAAGGCGGAGGTGCTCGACGAGATAGCCGCCGGGATCTGCAGCGACGACGCCATTCCCTTGCGATCGTGAACAACGACAACGGCGACGGCGACGACGACGACGACGACGACAACAAAGTTTGACCGCTATCCCCTAAACCCTAACGCGCCGCGCTCACTGCGTTTAAGCAAGCGGAGGCCCGACTCCCAAGTGTGAGATCTGAATTCCAATCAGCCGTTCCTACGAATGCAGGCTACACTGATGAAAAGTGATGTGGCAGCTCACTAGGGTTTCAATAAGTGGGGCCCCGCAAATAATAACGTCATTGCCTTTGACGCACAGTCCCAAGTTTGAGATCTGGGTTCGAATTAGCTGTCCTTATAAAACCAGGCTACAGTGAATAAAACTGATGTGGCAGATCACTAAGGTTTCAAAGAGCGGGACCCACAGAAAATGGACCCCTCTCTCTCTCCCTCTCTATTGCACGCTTCATAATGGTCGGAAGGCCCCCTATTCATCATCTTTTCTTGTCCCGCTCGTCGTCGCTTGTGAGCTCGACCGCTTCTTGATGGTCTCCGATGTCCAGACTCCGCTGCGCTCTCCAAAGCGACCCTTCCTCTCTTTTTCTCGCTTGCGTGGTTGGTTCTTGATAGTAAGTGTTTAGAAGTCCTCCATCCTTTGTCCCTCCCATCTCTTGGTTCTTGTCCCTCGCATACTGATTTCTTGGTTCAGTTTCGGACATCGTATTTCCGACTCATTGACTCGATCGTCGCAAAATTTGTTTCTTTTTTTTTCTCTCCTTGTTGTTCTTTTACCCTTTTACTTTACATTAGGGTTCTGAAATCTATAAAGAATATGCAATTTACACACAACTTTTAGCAAGATTGGATTTTTCGCCATTTGTTGGAAAAAGATAAGATCTTGGAAGGTATCGCTCCTTTTCGTGCCTTCGTAAACCCTCTGTGAATCGTTTCAGTCCTGCTGCTTAACTTATTTGTTAGCTTCAACAATATAGCGATGTAGTATGTGCTGATCATGCACTTAATAACGTCACTGGTGAAGGTTCGGAAGGCAAACTGAAGGAATTGAATTGGGCAACTCTTCCGTCGCGAACTTCGCCATCACCAACCACCGCTCGGCGTCGGAGGTTGAAGGGGCTGCAGAATCCCCATCTCTAGGCTCCATCGACTCCTACAGCATCACCTGAGACGCAAGAGCGAGATCTGATATCCCATCGAGACAAATCGTTCTGATAGCATCACAGGAAATAAAGTAGAGAATGAAGTCTCAATTGCAGGTCATTTGCAGGTTTCCCAGCACAAGTAGATTATCATTCCATCAAGTTGCTCGGGGCAGTTGAGATTGTCTTTGAGAAACTGAAGCTTATGCTGGTTGAGCATTCAGAGGAGCTTAAGATTGCATTAAACCATGCAGGCTTTATTGAATCTTTTTTGTAACCTGAGTCCAATTATAATAGACTTAGATTGGCCACTTGCATACTAAAACAGAGGTTTCTTGTAGAATTGTCTCAAAGTCATCTTCTTTGATAAATCTGTACATGAAGTATTCTAGCATCAGCCTTTGAAGAGATGAACAGAGGATAGCTTGACTTTTATTTGTATTTTCCCCTTGAGCTCCAATCATGTGTTTATTTGAAGTGACAGCAAATAATGTTGTTGACCATTACTAAGGGTGGAAGGTCTGTGTTTGCATGGCTTTCCTGTGTCAAGTAACTAGCAGTGTGATTGATTCATACAATCTTTTGTTTACTGTAATCTTCATCTGGTTCTCTAGAGAGTGAATGTTATTGACATGATGATCCACACATTTGATCATGATCCCAATTCCATCAACATAGCAATGAGTTTATTGTTGATTCTGAACCTTTGTTCATCATGAAACCTTGTCCAGTGGCACCTTGAAATAGACCATAATGATGGTGATGGCTACAGCTTGGTTGTGCAAGTCCAACCCAAGGGGGAACCAAAATGGCCAGTGCACCATTATCTCAACCTCAGCTGCTTTAGTTCTTCTTCATCATTGAACTCTTAAGCTCCCTTTCAAATCAGTTGATGGGGGTCATCATTTGCCCCTTCCCTGGAAGTGGGGAGATGGACCTACTGCTAAAGTTCTTTCTTGTTATCCCTGGCTTCTCCATTTGGGGCTTTCTGTCTCTCTTTGTGAGCAAAATGATGACTTCCTAAACCAAATTCTAGGTTTAGATGTTCTCTTCCTTGGGGTCTCTGCTCAAGGAACACAAGGTCAAAGTCAACCATCAAATGTTGGTGGCCCAAGGAAGTGTCACAGGAGGTGATTAATGCTTCTCACCTGCACTAGCCATTTAGACACTGAGTCAGACCTCATTGTGGTGGCTAGAATGCTTAAAAGCCAGTTGTAATGGATTAAGCTTGTAGGTTTTTACTACTCCTACTTCTGGTAGTCATTGTTTTGGCTTTTGGGACTCGTGGATCAACAGCAAGCCATGATTGGAGTCTTAGAAATGTCCAAAATGAGTTCTGGGAAGAAAAAACCTCAATGCCAAAAAAAGTGCTGCCATTTATTGAGTCAAACTCATAATGTAGTAAGTTCATATCAAATCTTCCTTGTGTGTGTGGAGAAATTGTTGTGAACAACCAGAAGAACTAATCTCCAGGGAAGCAACAAGGAGAGGCACAGTTCATTGAGTAAGTCTTTTGGCATTTTCCTCTGGATCTTTCACAAGCTCCAACATGAATGTTCAAAGAAATAGCAGAAGATTTTACAGCTAGAATCTCTGAACATTTTGCCACCTACACCCAGTCAGATGTATTTAATGAAAGAATTATGTAAGATAATGAGGGTGTGTTTTGGTTATGGAACACCTCAAACTTCTGGCAGTTGCTTGACAGCATTGAATCATCACCAGTTTGTAGTGCATTCATTCACAAGCATTTTTAAGCAATGTTATCAAAGCTATGAGAAGGAACTCCTTTTCTTCTTTGTTCTACAGGTTCACAGTGTGTTTTTGTCTACTCTAGGAATCAGTATTCTTGAACACGAATGAGAAGTTGGTCTCAGGTAGGTGTCATGGCAGGTGGACTTTTCTCTTTACTAGTGCATGATGCTCTGCAAACCTAAATCTGGTCTCTTTCTTCAAATCTTAAACATCCTAGTGTCTAATGTTTTTGATACATAGCTTTCATACTCGGACAAACCAACCTTCTCCTTGCTTACATGCAAGGATGGCAGCTCCAACTTACTGCATCACTGCAATCTATTTCAAATATAGATGGTTCTTTCTTTGGTTTTGCTTCTTCTTCTTTGCTTTTTGTGGCAGACTTCAAGGTACAAAAATAGACCACTTGCAGAGTTGGACAACAGGGATGTGGTTCAAGACTTCTCAGTAGACCTTCAGGATGAACTTTGTCGAGAGAGAGAGAGAGAGACTTACTCACCTTTCTAATAGGTGTTGTAATGAGTTTAATGACTGTTATGGTGTCATCTGAAAAGAGAAAAGAGCAGAGATGAATTTGTGTGTGCGCCCACCAACTTCCCCCCTCATCTGCTCCTTTTTCATCTTGGCCAATGTGAAGTCTCTTTCATGCCTACGAAGAACAAGAGTGTTGAAAGGGGAGAAAGAGGGTGAGAGAAAAATAATAGAAGAGGGATGTTGCATTTCTCTCTTCATTATGTCTGCTCCCTTCTCCCTCCTCCCTCCACACCATCTAAGGACATTGCAAATAGGCTTCATGTAGTTTTCATTCCTTACTTGAAAGATGTGTACATTTGCCTGCTCTCACCAGACGATGAGATAATGAAGCAGCGTCACAGCCATTAACAATTGCTCCATACCAACCTATATCTATACATAGGAGAGAGAGAGAGAGAGAGAGAGAGCGAGAGGGGAAAATAACAAAAGCAGTGCAGAGAGTAGACTGAGAGAAGTCTCTTTCTTTATCTCTACCGTGAGAACTGATCAATGATTCCGGGCCATATCGAGGAAGAACCAAGTGGTTTCTCTGACATTTATCCTATTGTTGTACTTTCCTTGTAGTGGAGATTTAAGAGGTATGAGTTTGATGGGTTATAGGAGCTGTGCGGGAATAAGGGAAAGGAAACAAGCAAAGAAGGAGAAAGCAGGGCTGATGTAAAAGAAAGGAAAGCAGGGGAACCATCCTTTTACTGTCACCTCTGATGAAATCCCTCTGGCTTCTGGGATCATCCTCGAGAGGCTTCTCCAAAAGGTGTGATCTTGATGGGTTCTTGGGTTGCTGAAGAAGAGTTGGAAATATCGGGTGGCTGAAGAAGAGTCGGAGGGGGGAACTGCCCTTCTCCCCCCCACCCCATCTGATGATAAATTCCACTTAAGCAGTTGGGTTATGTTTCAAGATCTCTTCTTTAGCCTAACGCCTGTGAGGAGAACAACAGGGAGTGGGCAGCTGAATAAGAATAAGAGGAGGAAGTTATTTTCCTCGTCTCCTAGCTGATGATATATCCGGCGGATCACAGAGAAACCAACTTGGCTTGCCTCAAAAGCTCATCTTGCAGCTGTTCCTCTGGTAAAGTTGGAATCTTGGTTTGTAGGCTGTTTGGGATTTCTCCGTGGATCGAAAGCTTATTTGTGTGATGTCTCAGGTATTTCCAAAGCTTGGACGGTTTGAGTTCTCACAAGGATGTCCCAGCATTGCATCTCCTTTTCTGATGGCAGACGATGCAAGCATTGTCAAACGTGGAGAAACATGTTATTTGTGTTGGTTCTCGGTGGTCTTAGTTGCTCCATCTGGTTCTTGTGGGGATTGGAGGACTATGGGGTTTTGGTGAGGATTAGGGACTTGCAGAATGAGAGAATGCATTCACCACTTGATCTATACAACCTTAGCAAAGATCAGCTTCAAGCCCTGGCTTTGCTAATCTCTTCATTACAACAGGTATTTCCCCTCTTGTCTATATCTAAGTACATGTGCCTGTTAGAACTCGTAACGAAAAAAACGTTCAGAGAACAACTTATACCAAAGCATAAGTAATTTCAAAGTCCATTGATATACACCTTTGGTTTTTGCAACAACAGAACCCTTTATGTTATTAATGGGAAAATATATGGTGCATTTGTGTCACTGCCATAAATCAAACATACTTAGAATTTGTTGACTCTTTGGGTTCTTTGTTTTAAAAAATTACAATAGCTTCTCAGTTATCTTTGAGAAGTTAGTTGCTGTATTATTAAGAGTAGCTTTCCTTGCTAGCTCCAATCACATATTAGAGCTTTTCGGTTGTGCGACAGGGAAGATTCTATGAGTGGATGAACAAGCCTGTAACTGGTGAAATACTTAGCAGTAGCCTGTTACATTCATTGTCAGAACTGCAGTCAGAAATGGATGATTCCCAAGATCAACAACATCGGAGGAGGAATAACATAGTCTTCCAGGGTCATTGTCCAACTCAAAGTGATCCTGTCCTTGTTAGGTCTGCACAGTTATCACCTAAGGGACATTATACACAAGATATTTTGCCTTCTACAATAAACAGTGATGAAATCTCTCTGAAGGTATGTAAACTTCCTTTATTGCATTTCAGTGAAAGAATCAATATGTTGTGCATGACTGTTTTTTGTTTAATTGTAACACTAATATCTGAGAAGTAACAAAACAACATTAGTATCTAGTTTGTATATGTAAATTACCTCATGTTCTTATATTAACCATGTATTATATTATTCTTTTCCTGATGCAAAAGTTTCCTCGTACTAATACAATTTATATCTTTTCTTTTCTAGACTAGTATAAACATTTCTTTGAAGCATATAAAGTTGCACTAGGTAAGGTTGCTCCTCTGCAGCATAGGAGATAGGGTTCGAATGATGGAAATAGTCTCTAAAAATATAGATAAGGCTGCATTGACCCTCATCATATCCCGCATTAGCGGTAACCTCGTGCATTGGGCACACCCTTTTTGGTATTGCATTGCTAAATAGAGGTAAAATTGAATATAATTGGCTTTATTTTATCAATCCAAAATGCAAGCTACAATATTCTAATATTTGGGCCTGTCTACATGATGCTTTCCTACCACTGGGCTCTGTTTTGGATAATATCATTGGTCAAACTAAGATCAGTCATTCTCTTTTTATTAATTCTAATAAAATTTTCTTAAGATTCCATTTACATCTCCTCACATCATTATACTTGTAGACTCACCTTGTCTACTTGAAGTGTTGGACATGTCCATACCATACCAACTTATTTTCTTTCAGTTTTTATTTTGTAGCTACACTTAATTGTTCACATATGTAAACATCTTGTGTTCTATCTTTTCTAGTAATCCTATGTCCATCTCAACATCCTCATCTCAGCAACTAACTTCTTACACATGTTGGCTTTCATTGTCGTTCCAGCTTTGTTCATGGATGTCACTTTTGTAGTTTTACTTAAGTATGCTTTTGCTTTTTAACATGTTCTCAATACCTTTTATATGTATCTAATATTTGTTAGATAACATTTAAACAGTTAATATGTTTGTGTTGACAATGAGAAATCTGATTGGAACTAGAAGAACTTGAGCAATTGCTCTTTTGTTTACTTGTTTTCTCTATGATGCTAAATCTAAAAGTTTAGTGGCATCATCCAAAACAGTTCACTTTCCATAGTGTAATAATTACAATATTTTTGATAGCTTGAGAATCTTGAGTGTTGCATATTTCAGCTGATTTTTCAAGTTGGGCAAAAATTTTTAAAAAAATTCCTCACTATATCTGTTTGGGTATTAACCATTCTGTCCATTATTTAAGTTATGAGGATCATATTTAAACAAAAAATTAAACCATCACACCCTGTTTTCTGCTTTGAGTTTGTGAAGCACTAGCTCATGTGTTTTGTATATTTGACATTCTTTAGAAATTAGCTATCCATATACTTTATATTTATGTCAATCCAACATTTACTAATTGCATATCCATATACCACTCCTGTAGAACCTGGAAACTACATCACACGAGGGAATCAGTAAAAACCATACAAGAGCATCACAAAGTGTTGTCGAAGATACTGTTTAACATACATTGTCTGGTAGTCGGACTAGTAGTGCTTTTTATAGGATTTGCTGTTGGCAAATTCTCAAATCCCCCAGATCAGTTTCAGCATCAGAAGCATTACAAACCACAAAATTCTAAGTATAGTGGAAAATGGAGTAAGAAGTTCCTATTTCTAGGAATCTTTCTTGGTCTCTTTAGTGGCCATGTGGATATTTGTAAGCATGAATGCAAATATTACTGAAAGGAGAAAGGACACTCTCGTTAACATGTGTGATGAGAGCAAGGTATGTAATTTCGAATAGTATCGCCCGGTACGGGCGGTACGTACCGGTCCGACGGCATACCGGTACACGGATCGTCCGCTACCGGACGGAACGTGCTACAGTGCTACAGTAAGAGGAAAAAAAATATTTAAAACCACTCGGTAACAGTGATACAGTGCTCCAACGGTCAAATTGACCGTTGGAGCCCTTTCTCATAGTATTTAAACCCTTTTTCTCCCCTATTTCACTCTATTATATTCTCATACTCTCTTAAACTATCTTAAACTCTTTTTTTCTCACATTTATGCTCTCCTAAACTCTACAAAACAACGATTTATGAATTGAATCGAGGCTAATTTGAGAAAGATCAAGAGGAAGAACTTTCTAATCAACAGGTATGTTTACATAAGGATAATCCATAATAGACTGAAATACGAACCTTGCATAAGATATTCTTCAAAGCTCGAAAAAGATATGTGATACTATTCTTATCTAATTTACATTGATTTTGCTAAACTTATGCTATTACTATATTTATTTTTAACTTAAAACCCTATCCTAACTTTTTTTTTCTAGGTATTTTTGGAGAGTTTTATACCTAAATTAGGTGTACCGCTCGGTACACCTTGGTGTACCACTCAGTACATGGTACCATGCCGTACCGAGCCAACCTCGAAACACCGGTATGGTATGGTATTGCATAACTTGGATGAGAGAGCTCGGATGCTGCAGGATCAATTCAATGTGAGCATGAATCATGTACATGCATTAGCCATTCTAGTCTTGACTTTTCATCATAGGAAGCAACATTCTGTTATTGATCAGGTACTTATTCTATTGATATATTCCATATTTCATTTTGAATTTTCTACTATGATTGTGAGATTAGCTAAATAGTTATCTTTTTTAGTTATCTGTTGCTTTTGTTTCGGGATCATGTGAGCTAGTTTCTGAGAATAGTTTAAGATTTCTAGAATAAATTCCTTTATATGATATGTACCATTACTTTGAAAATCCTTTATTAGTATTTATGAAAATTTTCTTTCATTTTATTTTGAACCTTCATTTCACTAATGCATATTAGTCTATGAGCACAGCCATCAAATCGATACAAGCTCATGTTTTGATGGTTGCTGCATATATGAGCTAAAAGTTACCATTGCCAGCTTTCATACAAAAGAAATCTAGATTTATCAAAAATATTCTGAGGAGATGTAGGTAGAAGAAAAGTTTGTGCAGGTACACACTACTTCTTATGAAGATGCATAATATAAAGAACCTTTTTTTCGGAAGATGTACATCTCTTATAGACAAAACTAGGAAGTCATATAGAGTACCATAAATAGGTCTACATTATTTGACTTGGAAACCAGAGAGTTGAAAGTTGAGAAAAATCTCCACAGGTAGCCTTATACTATTTCACTTGGAAACTAGAGATTTATAGTTGAGAAAAATCAAAAATTTAATTTATTAACTTTTAAAGTCTTTCTGGCAAAAAATATTTGCAGAGTACACAGCAAGGACAGCATTTGAAAGGCCACTGATGAGCAGGGTTGCCTATGCTTTGAGAGTATTACATACAGAGAGGGGGCGGTTCGAGCAGCAGCATGCATGGCAAATAAAGAAGATGGAGACTGAGTTCCAGTCCCTAGTTAAAGATGACTACAATCCTGAGAAACTTGATCCCTCACCTGTTCAAGATGAATATGCACCTGTTATATTCTCACAGGAAACTGTATCCCACATTGTATCTATTGATATGATGTCCGGCAAGGTGACTACATATGCTTATTGTCTTTCCATAATAACAAGTATCTAGATTCGTGATGACTCACAGATCTATGATTTCCATTTTTCCAAATGAGATAATTTGTTTCCTGAACATAGTGGTAAGATTATGAATACATAATTAACTGTTTTATAAATGTGATTTTACCTTCATGCCAGAAGACATGTAGATTCTCTTTTGGCAAGTTTTAAAAACGTAAATCTGGATGTTTCATGCGAGAACAATCTGGTTAAGTTCTTTATGCCTCTACTGTAGCAGCAAGCAGAAAATGCTAATCAGATAAATCAGATATTGAATGTCTAAAGTAATGTCAAACTCAACTTTCACAATATGCAAGCCACATTTTATCATTCCTATATGGTAATTCTTGTGGTGGAAGCCAATGGAAAGAACAGTTTTCCAAGTTACCCTTGGATACTTGTTCCAATTTCTGTTCATAATTAGAGAGTTGAAACCTTAATAGGATTTTACTGCATTGACTTTGTAGTGATTCACTAGTACTGTTTTTCTCGAGTTTTCTTATTTTTCACTACTCTCTTCAAAAACAACGAGGTCAGGGACTAGAAACTCCTGGAGGGTTGAACATTTGCCAATAACATTCCAGATACATGTGATACCCTCAAGTGCATGAAAGCATTAAAGTGAATTTGGATCGTTTGATAGATTTGAGGACTGTCTGGGTTATTTCATATGTGTTTCTGCCTCAGAAGTGCAATGATTAAGAGAATAGCAAATGAACCACAAGCTTGCATGAGTTCGTGTTATCCAGTGGCGGATAAATTAATTTGAAACTGATTGGCATGTTATATATCTGACCAGATTGAAGTAGGAATTTTCGTAGGCAGAGGTGTCTAGATTTGTTGGAATAGAAAAGCAAAAAAAAAAAAACAAAGGTGTAAAGAAGCTAAACATGAGGGACTATCTGTAAGATTTGCATGCCCTTTCTCATGAGGGAGTATCTGTAAGATTTACATGTCTTTTCATCATATGGAAGCAGCTACTTTTGGCGATAGAGAGCCAAAAATCCGAAATGGCTTCTTTGTGTTGTTCTCATATCCATTACATTATTGAATATCATCTGTGCAGTTTCTAATACAAGCTCATTTATTTTACTTGTTTATATGAATATTTTTTTTACATGCATATTATGCAACAACTTGTAATAGTGAAAATTATTGATGCAATCATAAAGTATGATGCAATCTTCAAGCTAATCTTTTCATTTAATATTGCTCTCAGGAAGACTGAGAATATACTGCGAGCAAGGGCTGCTAGGAAGGGGGTCTTAACTTCTTGTAATCTTTTGAAGTCCAATCACCTTGGTGTGGTGCTCACATTTGCAGTGTACAAAACTAACCTGCCTCTGAATGCTGCACCACAAGAGCGCATTGAAACTACTGTAGGGTAAGCACTATCTGCTATTTGCTTTTGAATAGTTGCAAAAAGCCAAATTGTTTTAGTTTCTCTCCTATTTAACTTTTTGCAATTATTATCTTCAACAGATACCTTCGTGCATCATTTGATGTCCCATCTTTGGTGGAAAAACTTCTTCAGCAACTTGCCAGCAAACAAACCATCATTGTTAATTTGTATGACACAACAAATGTTTCTGCACCTATTAGGATGTATGGTCCTGACACTGCTGCTTCTGGAGAGAAGCATATTAGTTACGTTGATTTTGGGGATCCAACCCGGAAGCATGAAATGCATTGCAGGTATCCATCTTAATAAAAAAGCCTACATATGATATCAAAATTTGAAAATGATTCTTCCTTATCTGCAGTTAGTTTTCTGGATCCAGATTCAAGCACAAGCCTCCACTACCTTGGTCAGCAATAACCATGTCAGTAGGGGTTGCAGTAATTGTTCTAGTTGGGCATATATTTCATGCAGCTTTAAACCGCATTGAGGAGGTAGAAGATGATTATTGTCAAATGAGAGAGCTGAAAGTCCAAGCAGAATCTGCTGATGTTGCAAAATCTCAGGTTATTCATTCTCTCTCATCTTATACGAATTAAAATTGTATATGACTTGCATGCTGTCTTAAATTGCACTCTTCACAACAATTTTTTTGTGGAGTTTGGAGAATTGCACTTATTCTTATTGTTATATGAACCTTTTGTTTTTAACTCTTAAATTGATGTGTCATTTCTGTTGGTTGTAGTTTCTGGCAACAGTTTCCCATGAAATCAGGACTCGGATGAATGGTGTCTTAGGTTTGTGACATTTAGATCATACTGGTCTCTAGAGTTGGCTTTTTATCATCCGTGAGAAATTTTATAATGAAGATGATTCTACCAATTCAGGTATGTTGCAGATGCTGATGGACACAGATCTTGATGCAACCCAACAAGATTTTGCAATGACTGCTCAATCAAGTGGAAAGGCTCTGATAGCTCTAATAAATGAGGTTCTTGATCAGGCTAAGATAGAATCTGGCAGACTTGAACTAGAGGCTGTTCCTTTTGATCTTCGTGATGTTCTGGACAATGTGCTGTCTCTTTTTTCAGATAAATCACAAGCCAAAGGCATAGAGGTAAAAATCTGAATTAGAATGATTTGATTGACTTCAAGTTCTTCTCCACCACATTGTCACTTTTGATCTTTTTTTCCTCTGGCGATAATTTTCCTTTCTGGAAAACAGATGGCAGTGTATGTATCTGAACGAGTTCCAGAGATTCTAATTGGAGACCCTGGAAGGCTCAGGCAGATCATCACAAATCTTCTTGGAAACTCAGTGAAGGTTAATTGCTCATCCAATTTCTTGATCATACAAGTAGCACATTAGAGCTTGGTACTTGCTGGTGTTTTGTAGGTGTGAAAATCAAGAATATGTTTTAGCATAATTAAATATCCATGTTTGTGTTTCCTTCCAACAATATTTTTAGTAAAAATGTAAAGTCATCTTGATGGTAATTCTGGTCTTCTATAGTCTATACAACCTCAGATTCTTTAAAAGGTTAATATTTCCATCTCTACCACCAGCTGATTTAGCTCAAACTTGATTTAGTTGTCTGGTACTCATATGGTGAAATAGAGACTCTGCACTTGGTACCATATTGGATGTGTGCAATACCAGGTAATTGCTATACTTAAAGATACTAACGATGCCCATTGGAGTCCATAAATTTAGCTAAATTTCTCAAATTTCTCCTGTCTACTCACCAGTTATATTCTCTAGCATAATTGGTACTATTTCCCTTGTATCTTCAGCCTCCCATGCATGTTTCCAAGAATATAAATATATTCTTGATACTTTGATAGTGGATTTAGTATTCAAATTTTCTTGGGTTGTTGCATTATTCAGCTTTATCATGATGAAGAAGATAATCCTATTACAGACATGGTACTTTTCATGTTTGTCATGTGCTTGTTATCCTTCATTCTCTCTTGTTTTTTCTCAAAGGACTTCCCACTAAACTTTCCATTACTAGATTCAGGGTGTTGAAGTACAATAAGAACTAACGTATTTTTCAAGTAGAAGAAGGCCCAACAGGATGCATAACAACGTACACATTATGAATCTATTATGATAGCTCAAATTTAGCATGGGACACCTTGACGTTGTAATAATATGTTTGAAGTTATCTGATAAAAAAAAACCTTGCATTACTGGTAATGCTTGTTTTTTTTTTCGCTCAGTGGAAGAGAGTGTTTTGACATGGTATTTGTCGATAAAGATGCCTGAGGTGAGGGTGAGGGCATATTATTTCCTCACCTTCTTTTAGATTGCAGGAAAAATGGTGCAGCGATGCCTTTAGGAAGTCTGCCAAATATGTTTCTGGAAGTAACTTCCCAAAGCCCCACCGAGGTTCATGAACTGAAGTCAGCAGGATATGTTGATAGTATACTGAAACCACTGCACCCAGGTATCATTGCTACTTGTCTGTGGAAAGCACTAGGCATGGAGCACAAGAGGCAGCAATTCAAAGGCAAATCAATGCCACTTCAAAGTCTTCTCAGTGGAAAAAACATCCTAGTTGTTGATGACAATGCAATCAACTGTAAAGTCGCTGCTGCTGTTTTAGAGAAATATGGTGCTACAGTTACAAGTGCAGACAGTGGGAAGGAGGCTATTAAAATGCTACAACCTCCACACAATTTTGATGCTTGCTTTATGGATGTTAAAATGCCAGAAATGGATGGGTATTTTTCATTGCCTTTCGTATTGTCAATAAGATGGTTGTCTTTTCTGTTTTGGCTATTTAAGTTTGCTATGTTTCATGAAGTGCACTGAATCCATGACCACACCCCATATGAGGTTTTTTGAATCCCTATTTTCTTCTCTATTTAGAATCATTGCATAGAGCATCATTCACCAAAGACCATTCTGTTTTGACAAACTTATTCTTACACCTTAGAATTTTGTGTCTATAAGCTAGGACCAGTTTCAATCTGAGAGGATAAGTGGTGTTGACCACTATTTCAAGGCCTTGGCAAAATTGGGGCAACCTTACCATGACACCCAGGTTTGTCATCTAAGGGCCCTTGCCACATTCTAATTCAAAAAAATTCAAATCTTCAAAATTTACTGCAGAATGCATTTGTTATATCTATTTCTTTTTTGTTTTCTGGCTATTTTGTTATTGACCTATGAATTTATCATGGATTTTTTATTCATCTTTTATTTTCTGCATTCAGTATTGCATTACTTCTTACTTTTTAGTTAATATATTGCTACTGCCCCTGTTAAATGATTACTAGCTATTGTTCTTTCTTATTATTTTCAATTAACTTCTTTATCTAAGAATTTTAAGAATGTCTTCATGACTTTATGTATATGGAAATAAACAATTCATTGTAATCCATTCTCAACTAACCAAAATCTTTTCTTAAGAATTTATTAACAAAACCACAAATTTTTTGGTTTGTTAGTGGGCTTTCTTTGAAGACTTTGAGATATATTTCTTATTTTTTGCAGCTTTGAAGCCACAAGACAGATCCGTCTCATGGAAAACATAGTCAATGAGCTGATCAGGTCCGGAGGATGCATCACTGGAATTATATGGCAATGTAGTTCATTGGCACATACCTATACTAGCTATTACAGCCGTCGTTATTCAAGCAACACATGAAGAATGTCTACGATGTGTTATGGATGATTATGTATCAAAACCTTTTGAAGCACAGCAACTATACTCTTCTGTAGCACAATTTTTCGAGTCTGATATGGTGGATGGAATGTCATGATGGTTTAAAGATTTCACTGCTAAGAAGTTATTCTGGTTTTTGTTCTAAAGCACTTTATCTAGCACACCTCAAGGTGGTCAGAGAAGACAATGCCTAAGCGAGTGCGGAGAAGCATCACAGTCAGTCAAGCTTGACCAACCTTGTGATTTTCTGGTCTGGTAAGCCATTATGCACACCTATTCCTATTTATTTAGAAGTTCACACTTCAAATTGACCTTCTCAGTACATCACTGATGGCTCCTCAAGATTATTTTTTTTGTGGCTTAGAAACAGCAGTTACTATTTCCTGCATATAATAGACTGGTGTCTCTTGCATACTAGATTGCTGTTTCTTGTGCACAAGAGCATTCCCTAGAATGGCTCTCAACAGGACCAAGAGGCTTTAGGCCCCATCCATCTCCCATAATCACTTGTTTGTTGCATAATGGAAGAATGTTCTGGTTGTTATGCATGAGTAGACAGACAGTAGTCATGCAACCACTTTGGTCACCTAGTTGGATATCTGGTTGTCAAACCACTGAAAGCCTTGTACATTAAATAACATCATTTCATAAGAGTGATCCTTTCTATAGATTGGGTGGATTAGTCTTATCCACCAGCCTGGTTATTGTGAGATACTGACAAGCATTGCAGAACAGTAAGTAGAACTGATTAAATTGTGTTAACCAAGTTCTTAAACCAAATTGATTAAAGATCAGCCATTTAAATAGACAAATACTGTTTGCAGCAAGCTAGCTTCTCCTTTTGCTATTCACAAGCCTTGTGAATTAATAAAGGTAGGAGCATCAAGGTAGAAAAAAGATGGCACGTGTAGTACTTCTTGCAGCTAATTCAGAATCAGATTATAAACTTTCAAGTAGATCATTCTTTTACTTTTGATACTGGGGGGTTTAAATAGGTGCTCGGTGAGGTGAGGTGAGGCCCGAGCACCTCACAGATTTGCCAAGCGACGTGCTTCAGTGAAGCGCCTACTGGGCTCTCGCCTGAACCTAGGCGGCGAGCACCCGACTGAAACCGAGCAACCTAGCACCCTACAGTTCGGTTGAACAGTAGCTAGTTGGTTCGATTGAACCAACTAAGCTACATAAAGTTACTTTACTTGCAAAACCCACCTCTTGCACCCTCGCGCAACCTCGAGGAACCCTTGAGCAGCCTTTGCCTCCATCGCGTCTTTGTTGCTGCCTCCGCAGCCAATGCGTAGAACTGATGTTTCCTCAGCCGTCGACGAATGGGTCTAAAGGTGTAGCTTTTATGCGTAGTTCCCTTTGTCTTCGTTGCTTTTGTGTGCAGCTCCTTCCACCATCAAAGGAGAGAACCGCAGCTTCCTACGTTACCGATGGACACATCTGAAGCTTCCTCTGCTCACGACATCGTTGTCCGCAACTTTCGTCGTCGTCGTCCGAAGCTTTCATCGATGCTATTATTGTCGTCCTTAGCTTCCTCTGCCGCTGTTGTCGTCCGCAGCTTCCTCCACTGCCATCGCTGTCATCCAAAAGTTCCTCCATCATCGTCGTCCCCTCCTTCCCCACTTTCCACTGTCGCTGACTCTTTACTCCCCTCTAAGGCTCTAACTATTGTTAACAGTAGATTAAATATTGTTAACAGTAGATTGTTAACTATCATTATCATATAATAGTCCCTATTTAGATTTTAACACTGTTAATCTCTATTTAGATTACACCGAGCAAGTGCCTAGCGCCTCAGGCATTTTGGGACCTTGGCATCTTTTAGTGCTTAGCACTTTTTGCATCACTGTTGATACTTAAAACTTACATTTTTGAACCCATATGGTAGCATTCATGAACATATAGCTTGGTGTAATCTTTAATTGTTGAATGATTTCAGCTAAATTGGACTTTTTTCTCAATGTTATTCTTTTTATGAATCCTCAGAAAGCTGGTCCTAGATGTTAAAATATAATTAATCTGTCTAAAGATAGAATATTATTGTCTAGTTAAGCTGATGTTAGATTTTGTCCAGGAGCACTCATTTACCAATTCTACGGGTACTGCTTGCCACTCTGGTGTTGTGCTATTATTGTAAAATGATTAATAAGCTTTATTCATTCATGCGATTTAATTATAATTTGGAGATTCAGTGTGGAGATATGCCATTTGTTTTATACTGCGAATTGTAGATAGGCAGGCTATAGCCCTAGGATAATGCCTTTGATTGTTGTATGCCACCGTAACTTTGGGGCCAAATGCTGTAAATTTACCGGATCTTTGTGATATATTATAAGATCATGTTATTTTAATGTGCCTATAGCAATATTCCTTTGGTACAAACAGCATCCATGGAAGTCTTTGTTGAACTCGTATCATTTTCCTGTCATCTATTGCTCTCCCAATCTTAATCATCCTTTGACATGTTTCTAGTAGTTTGATCAATAGTAATGATCACTCCTCTCATTTCCTCATGTTTTGTTATAAATTAATATTGCTAATAGCTTGTGATACAGTGAATGTTGTTAATGACTATTACCGGCTATTAAGTGGGTAACTGTCGTTTAACTGCTGTGGCAGTCTAACAGTTTTATTCTGATATATGGTATCTTTTTCTCATTATACCTGACATGAACAGGCAATGAGCAGAAGAGATATATCATGTTATCCAACTTGGGAGAGGGAGAATACAACAGCAGAGCAACTCTATGGATGTAAATTAGGGTTTGATTCATGAGAATGAGCTGACACAGATACATCAGTACAAGAATTCTGGCTGGTGCACAGTTTGATTGCTTTTTTTGCACAGAATGTGGTATTTAAAGCTGAAGCTTATGAAGACATCAATCTAGTGGCTGGCACCTGATATTTTCCAAGAGACCTAGTTTTTGTTCCTGACAACTAAGGAATAATTTGTTTCAAGGATTTCTTTGCCCTGAGGATTTGATGCCAGAACATCTTATTGTCAGTACAGTTCCTGATCCATGCATTAGTTACCAGCTTGGTTTCAAGTTTTATGCAGATTAAACCCCATCTTTCCTGCTTCGTCATTCAACTAGAATGCTTCCGAATCATTCCATGAATCACTGAGACTGCCACAGCTGACAAGGTGTTCATTCCATTTTTGTTTTGAAGCTGTGGAATTAATTTCAATGTGCAGCAAAATCTTTTCTGTTGATTATACTCCATGGTAATTGAAATGTACTACCAGTCGATGCAACAAATTTGTTCTTCTTTATCATGTCAACCCCAAAATTCTAGGAGATCATGTGAATGATTGAGAAGGACATCCATGTAAGATATGGAGCATTAACTGCAATATTGCAATCCAACACACCAAACCTTGTCAGAGATAGGAAAGAGCTTCTTATCCTTTCAACATTTTGCATTTAGAGAAATTCACATTAGTAATCAATCTATTTTTCTCTTGAATTGCTCTTCAATCCTCCAAGTTCTTAATCATGCTATAAGCTTGAATTATCCTAATTGCATAGGGATATTTCTTCAATTTAGCTGCTAGAGTTCAGTTGTTCAATCTTTATATCACTTCTTGTGCACTGGATCATTTTCTTTGTATGATAGAGAAGAAGTTAAAAAAATGGTAGCATCACATGAAAGATGTGGATCATTAAATCTGATGTCAATTTTACAGTAATAAATTAATCAAATTGACACTCGGATTAAGCTAATCAGTTTTGAGTCTTTGTGCTATTCAGTTCTCAGTTCTTCAGAACTGAAAGAACAAGCTGCCAATGTTGTGATGCTTGCTTGTGATCTGAGATATATTTTGATGTGCATGAAAAGCTATCAAAGTGCAGCAAAGCTGAAGTCCAGCAATGGCCACAGACAAATCCCAATGACTGCCCAGTGTGATGTAAGATTCTACTACCTTCCCTCTTCCACTCATCATTATGGCCACAGTACTTCTGTTTTTGATGCATTAGGAGAGCATGCCACACACGTCAGTGGTTTCAGACACTGTGCACACAAAGCAACAAGCTGCTTGTGCTGCAGATGGTGAACTCATGAAGCCCCCACCGGCCATCCTTAAATGGGAATTCAATTCCCCTTGGTTCTAGCAATAAAGGACATTGCAGTCTATGAAAACCCAGACTCACAAGCTATCGAATGCCATCTGGGACAGCTCCTCTTTATAGCCCTTGGCTCCTTTGCTTGTGAAGAGGTGGGCTTTGGAAGAACTTGGGGGGTATAAACGGAGAGGAGAGGTTGCTGCTGTTTTCTTGAGCTTCTTGTCTTGTCCGTTATCAAGAATCTGAGTGAGGAGATGAGGCCAGAGGTTGGGATGAGCCCAGGGAATGTGCCTGTGTATTATGGGGGTGGGAAGTTGAGAGCTGTGGGGAGGAGGATGGAGGTGGCTGAGGTTGTGCTGAGGTGTGCCATATGTGGGCTTGGGGTTCTTGCTGCTGCTCTGATAGGGTCTGCTACCCAGGTTAGGGAGTTCTTCTCGGTGGAGAAGAAGGCCAGATTCACTGACATGAAAGCTCTGGTGTAAGCCCTTCTTCTCATTCCTCCTAGTCCTTGTGTAGCCATGACTGGTTCACTTCATTGCAGATTGCTTCATGGTGTCTCTTTCATTCTTTCTTCTTCCAAATCTCTTCACCACACATCATTGCTTTGCATTCTTCTCTCATGATGGCACAAAGTTGACATCACTGAATACGTTTTGGTTGGACTGGCAGGTTCTTGGTGGTTGCTAATGGGATAGCTGCAGGCTACAGTCTGGTCCAGGGGGTGAGGTGTGTGGTGAGCATCATTAAGGGGGGTGTTCTACTCAAGAAGGCCTTGGCTTGGGCTATCTTCTCTTGTGATCAGGTAGCTTGTTGAACTATTACACTTGTTCTCCTTTGTTGTTCTTATTATATGACTAGTCCTTCTACAGGACAGGGTTTTCCAAAGAGTTGCTTAAGAAATCATATTATTAATTTCAGTTGCATTAATCTAAATCTTTAATAGCATCAAATAGGATCATTGACAAAAGGACTGATCATCTAGGTATGGTGGTAGTGGCTTTCTTGGGCCAAAGTTGTTTGGTCAGTGATCAGCCTATTCTAGCTTATGAACAACTTGTGAAAGTTGTGCAAATTTTGATGAATGATTGATTGAGAATTTTTTTGTTCTTTTTGATTGACATAAATACTAGCCTTTACAGATAGAAAGGGACATTTTCCAAGGCATCAAAATATAACTCTGCTTCAAGTTTTCTTCAATGGATTCCAAATTTGTGTCTCAACCCCTTGCAGAATCATCTGTACATGCCAAACTAGACACAAATTTCAATGCATGTATGGAAGAATTCATGCACAGAGACCAGAATGATCATTTGGGATCTTAAATTTTAGCCTTAAATTGAAGAGTGACACAGATTGGCAGAGGCTATGTAGGCACTACAAGCTCATCTCATATGGCTTTTATCTAATTTGTGTGTAATTTCTACTCATCCAAAAGAATTCACTTGTATCATAATCTTAAGAAAAAGACAGCATTCAATAAATACTGCAGTACTACTACATCCCATTACTGCTATTAAAGACTGCTGGTGTTTTTACCTGGCAGATCACAGATAATAATTTGTTGAGTTCCCAAAGGAAAGCACTGTTTTTTTATTTTTTTTATTAATGACTTATCCTTATAACTATAACGAGTTATAGTGTCTAAACTATTTGAAATCGGCTACGTGCATCTTTTATATCATTGAGCTCTTTACAAAGCATTTTCTAGTAAATCCTTTTTAGATTTTTTTTAATCTTTCGATGCAGTTTTAATACTAATTATCTCACTTGTTCTAATTATAACAGACATTAGGTGTCCATAGTACATTTTCATATCATCTTCAACGTTTCTTTCTTATTTTATCCTCTATTGACTTTGCACCTCCATCGCAACATTCTCATCTTGTGTGCATGTCGCTTCTTAACCGTTAGATATTTAGATTTACGGAGCATAGGTGGCTCTATAATTGTTGCAACATGGTCCTGCACTAACTGTTCTGATGCACGGTTCTGCTTCAGGCACTGGCGTATGTTGCATCGGCAGCGATCGCGGCCGCAGCGGAAGCGGCGGAGCTTGGCCAGTCGGGCCAGGCGGAGCTGCAGTGGATGAAACTATGCAACCTGTATGGGAAATTCTGCACCCAGGTAGGGGAGGGCATAGCCAGTGCCTTCCTGGCCTGCCTCTGCCTGGTGATTGTTTCCTCCATGTCTGCCTTCAACCTCTTTCGCTTGTATGGCAGAACCAAAGAGCAGAACAGTGGAAGCTGGTAAAGTGTTGCTGAAATCCCTTTGAATTTTCTGCTCATGGCTGGTAGAAAAAATGCCATTTTGGCCTTGTAAACTTGCTCATCTGAATGTAATAAATGGAGAGACTGTTCTTTTGTACTGCATCTTTCAATGCAAGAGTAAGTAGCCAATTCAGCCGTTGCTCAGACAAACCTGGTGTGAGAACTGGGTCAATCTTTGGACCCACTATGGTTCATGGATTCAATGTATGCTTTAGAATCAGATTCAACAAAACTATTAGATCAAGTATTCTATCAAGTCGGATCATGACAATTGATATCAAGTGACCTACCTTGACACCGATGTCAAACTCAAATCATAATATATCATTGCCAATTTAAGCTCAACAACTTCAATCCAATCCAATTTTGATGACCAACAAGTTAGTCTTTTGTCCAATTTTGATGAGCATGCCATGATGCAATGCAGAGGCAGCCAACATTCTTGGGAACTCATATATAATTTATTATTTCTCTGTGGCGCTTGCCATTATTACAACACAACCATAAGAACACACAAGGGCATTATTAATTCGCCTGAAGCATATGCTTATTCCACCATAAGAACACAACCATAATAATGCGCTTTCTTTAAACAAGGGCATTATTAATGGGCAAGAGAGCAAAGAAACTGAAGCATATGCTTATTCCACCTTTCTTTACAGGTGAGGACCAACTTAAGGGCATTATTAATTCGCACAAGAAAAAACAGTAGAAGCAAAATAGGTCTCTCCCAAGTAGTTATTTGGTGCACAAGTGCATTGGGTAACACAGATGTGTCCTGAACCAGCAACCTGTGTTTATGCAGCACAACAAAATATGGTGATGATAACTTGCAACCATAAACACTTGAAATGAAGCAGTAGGGATGGTATTATTCCATGCTGATTTACCTGAGAAATGCAAACAGAATGATTACGTGCCGTAGTTTTGGTGCTTCTTTGAAAACTGGTATATTTCCCTCAGAATAGCACCATAGTTCATGAATCTCAGTGAACCCATATGCCTGGAAACAAAGAGAGGTTAATAATTCTCAGTTCAGTGGATATAATGTAATGTTGCAACTTTCGCATGATAATAAAGCAACAACAGTGAGTGAAATATGCATCACACTTTTTATGTACCTCTAAACAATTCAGACACAGTCGAGTCAAACTAGAAAAGAAAAGTATCTCAATTCAAGGTCACAAAAAAAATGCTGATCGCAATAATTAACCAAAAAGAGTCCTAATGTTTGTGAGCTTCAGAGTTTATTCCACATGGGATCTTTGTGCATATGCAGAGTCTGCAAGATCAGGTTAAGAAGACGAACTTTATTTTCGAGTTTGCCTTTTTTATTGACGTTCCAAACAATGGACAATCAGACTGCTTGGAGTCAGAAAACCAGAGAACTACAGGAAAACATATGCTTCAACTTGCATATGTTTTCCATGATCATTCATTGCAACTTTGCTTGGTTAGCCCATCTAAATTGCATTTCTGCAAATAACATCTAGAGCTGAACAAAAGTGTATAGAACTTCATATATGAATATGTTTAAACGTACTAAGGATATTTATTCTACTTTTTCTTCTTTTGAACAGTATAACTAGAATGAATATGCCATGTACCGGATGAAATGCAAGTACAAAAGATGGAACATGGTGCACAATGTACAAACTCTACAGCTTAAGGAAGGAAATTGCAGAGGCTCGATGAGAATTAATTTTGTACGAGTAACATGACCAATCAATTCAACAGGGAACCAAGAGATTGAGTAGAGTATGCATATTGGTAAATGTGTAATATCATTATTAATCTCCAATTGTTTTGGGTCTATCGCTGCACCTAATGAAATTATAAAAGGTATCAAATTGTTCTGATCACAGAAATGGATTAGGGGTGAATACAATGCTCGAGGGGTCAGAAGAGAGTAGCATTACTCCCTCTAAGCAAAGAGGTTGTTTTTCTGATCATAGAAATACAAATAAAAAAAATTTATTGCTTCAACGTCAACTCATGGTCATATCAGAAGCCTAGCATAGAACACAGTTTTGTTTCCATGTCAATGGAACATTGGAACTTACACGATCTCTGTGTAGGTTAATCTCCATGGAGGAAATCCTAAATGACATCTAGCTGGTCCATATATGAGAAGAAGCTGAGGTTCAGGTCCGCAATAACCTAAGCAGAAAGACCAAGTTTAACTAATGTCACGGCAACACAAAAGATGATGAATAAACTAAGAAAGAATAGGGAGGGATTGAGACTGCCATATAACCCGAATGTACTATGTGGAAATGCATACCTATTGCATTTAGAGCATTTGCTACATCAGATTCTGTGAAGGCTGGTTCTGACTTGTTGCAGCTTACAGAATCATCTTTCATATACTTTGAACACAGGAAGCTAGCTGCTTTAGCAATTCCTTCTTTACCATCAGATAAAGAAAGTATCTCTACTGTCATCTTTTCCATCTGAAAAACTGAAGCCATCGTCTTTACGTCATCAACCTACATGTTCAATAAGAAATCTACATCACAGATGTATACGACCAAGGACAAGTACTGTGTATTCTATGCAACAAATTGAGAATCAGAAGAATCTAATCTGCAACTTACAGAGCATGATCTCGTACTTGTTTTTGTCAAGCTCATTAAATCATTTCCGAGAGTCTTCTTCAGCAAACCTTGATATCATTATTAATGACAGTAAGTATCATAAATACTATAAACGATGACATTTGGAGATTTTGTTTGATATATGTGAATGTCTATGCTATCTAAGTTTGCAAAGACAATCAGTAACAACAAATGTAGGAGAGACAAGTTCTGCCTTTTGTTTAATATGGTTTAATACTTACCTTGCATGTCATAAAGAGTGATATATTTGATATCCATAGTTAATAACCAGCACAAAAGATGCTTGATCTTTCTTGTATCTGTGGCTTCTTCACTATCAACCACAACAGCTAGACAGTTAAGCATGTCCAACTGAAGATTTTGATACTTGCTTAGCAGTCCAAATGAAATGATGTAGGAAAGCAGCCATTTTTTCAGAGAGGCCATTATATGCACGAGACAGACCAGCAGATGCATTAAATACCAGCAAAAGACCAGTATTAACTTCAAAATAATGGATGCGTTCAATTTCTGCCAAGAGCGAAAGAGAAGCAAAGAAACACAGATCAGATTCTCCTGTAAAATAAATAAACAAACTAACATCAGAAGGATAGAATCAAAATAGAAATACGTCAATTGAACTTCTGTTCCACACAACACAAGGGAGAAATGAAAGAGTTATAATACCAAAGAGGTAATCATTTTCATTAGAAAAATTCTAAGGCGATTCAGTTATCCAACTTTGAACAAGTTCAGTAAACGATTAAAATTTTGACCACATTTAGAACTGTGATGTGACTGAGAGGAGTGATGATTACGTAAAGATCGACCGAGTAGGAGCAGCACACAATTACAAGCTTCCTAAACTTAACAAGATAAGAACAAGTGTTCATCAATTCTGTAATCTATCGACCACTAACGGACAAAACTTGCCATTTGAGTAGTAGTTTGTTGATTCTATGTAGTGTACTTGAATTCAGCAGCGACCTGTCAAAATTTTCTTTGTCAGAAAAAACAGGGTTCCCAAAATTTTGCCAAAACCACTCGTTAGAGATAAAAATCACCAGTCCAAGTAACTAAATGAGTCAAAGCAACTAACAAGCTTTGGGAATTGCTAGAGAATTGACAGATACTAATGTGGTAACCTTGTCTGCTCATAATCTTGACAAAGACAAGTTTAGTGAAATAAATATCAAGGCAGCAAGCAATCAGGTCCCAGAAAATTAATTGCAACACCACAACTTAGGCATAACAAGATTAGAATTTTATCTTTGTCGAGGCATCCGAATTGATTAGTGTATCGTTGTACAAGTGATTAGTTTCAAGTTCGAGTTCATGTGCGAACGTCATGTACGTCATTGAATATAATGAAAACATCTTTCATTTTAAAAAAAATTAAATTTTTAATGCCAAAATAGACGAACTTAGGTATTGGAATGTACAAACTTCTAACCAGTGAAGGAGGTTTGAGGACCCGTGTGACATCATCAGCCATCGCCTGCAAATAACATACAACGCCAACAACAAAATCAGCTCTTACAAGTTCCCTTCTTTTCCACCAAAAGAGCCTTACAACCACCAAGAAGAAAGATTCTGGAGGCCAACGCCACAAGATAAAGCAGCAGCAGCAACAACAACAACAACAACAATTAATTTTGTCCACATAAAAGAGCGAGAAGAAATTAAAGGTTTAGATACCTCAATAGAAAAAGAAATTGATAGGTAGAAAGAGATGAATTGGTGCTCGATGGTGAAATTACCATTTTCTCGCCCTCTGTCGCCGCCTCTTTTGTGGACTCCGCACGACTCGCGGAGAAGTGATCCTTCAGGCTTCAGCGAGTGAGTAGGATGTCAGTGACGATCTGACCCGCTACGACCTGACAGAGGAAGCATGGAAAGAAGGGCGCCGGAACGTTGACGGTCGGACCTACTACCCGGCAACGCGATCCGATCCGGGAAGAATTGGAGGAGAAGAAGATAAAAGAGAGGGTCGAACCAATCTCCTTGGTTATGTTGCCCGCAGGAAAAGGAAGAATGGCCGCTCGATGTCGTATCGGAGGGGAGGGAGGCTGTGCGTACTACCAACAACTCGCTCACCTCGTGGACTCGTTGGGAGAAGCTGAACGAGGAACGGAAGGTGGATTCCTGATTGCTTTCTCGGGTCCAGTCACGCAGTTCGAGCTGAGATCAGCAGTGAAAAAGAACTCTACAGGGTGGCGTCGGCCTCTGCAAATCCTACGTGTGTTTCTCTCCATCCCGTGGGTCGTACGGGGATCCGCAGGGGTGATCACAGCCCGTGAAAGTTCACCAGGTCCACGTGTGCGAGCCTCGTTTACGTAAATTCATATTAAATATGAAAGGCCTCCTCATTTTACATTTATATTATTAAGGCGAATTCGCAGAAAAATGTGCCGCTTTTTTTATATTGGGCTTTTCGAGAACGTGCCCCTTTTTATTTGGGCTTTTTCTTCTTCAAAACGTGTCCCTTTTTTTCGGATGTTTAATATACTCTTGATAAGACATAATTATAATTTTTCTTTGTACGGATCGATCAATATGAAATGAATAGTTTGATTGAACTTTCCAAATTCTTAGTTACAATATTTTTAAAGAGGCTTATGGTTATTTAAAAAATATTATTAATAGGGTAGATATTATCGACCAATCTTGGTTCAAACATGTGATCTTAGTATCGAGGCTAAAAGAATAAGACCAAAGTTATCTCTCATCGGTTGTAGACTGTCTCTACTCACCTGTATAGTTAAAAGATCGAATTGAGCTTGAAGTAGTTAAAGGCTCTCCTATCGAAAAATATTTCACAAAATATTTTATCCCTTTACTACTAAATATAATTTTTTTTATTTTTAATATAATTACAAAAAAGATTATTTTCGGATCACATTTATCCTCCTCGGGTTACTAATTTGAGCGTCGAAGAGATTAAGTCATGAAAACTCTTTTGACTTTAATCTTTATACAAGTGACATCTTAGGAACTCGATGTTTCCATCTCGAAGACACCTCGATCACACCTTGGACAATGTTCATAAGCTAAAACCATATTGAATTAATCAGGACATCAACGATATCTTCCCATAACATTTTAGGTGTTAGAAGGAAGACTCGATGTCGTAGGAACGCTCGCCCATTGATTCTCTCAATAAATACTCAAGTGAAAAAGCTTTACCCCTGACCCACAATACTTTCACTCAATTGAGGCAACAACTACTATTTTCACACATCAATGAATCCACCTTGACACAAACACCAATAAGATACTGGCATCTATTTAATGACTTGGGTTTCATAACCCCAATGATGACTTTAAGTCACTTATTCTTCTCTATCAAAACGTTCTTAAACCTCACCTAATAAGTATAGATGTTAACAAGCATGATATAAACTATTGCTTTACTCTTGCCTTAGTTGCCCTAATAGGTTTTGTCATTACCTCAACTGTAATTCCCAACTCCACCATCACTGGCACCCATCGAGATTTAACCCAACGAGGTACCAACATCCCAATAGCCAGTGCTAGGATAACACCTTAGACATCCCTATTCACATAAGCCAAAACGGTTGATCATGATGTCAATAATATCTTCCCATAATAATTATAAACCTATTTAAAAAAAATTATAATGGGCATTTAAGATCATGTCTCCCTTATTTAGTTATTCATTTGAAATCATATTTTTCCATATATAATATAATTTATATGGAATAACTGATATAAAAGTGTCCATTGTTCTTCTTCTTAAGCTAATAAAAATATTTATTTAAAATATTTTTTTAAAGTTTCGAATCGATTTGACTTAGGTGATCAATTTATTCAAAGGACTGATGCATATGACATAATCTATTTTGTCTGAGAGATATTTCAGAGGGGCTTTTCCGAAAATTCACCCTTCTATTAACGTTACACATTCAACCATCTCTCACTGTTAGGCTCATTCATGGGCCATCGTTCATTGTAATCACCAGTTATGGATCCAAGGAACTCTCGATCACATTAATGCTATTAAGAGGTTCTCTATGATTATTAAATTATTAAAGAAATTATCTGTATTTAAATATTATTAGGCTCAAATTAGTTAATGCCACCAATAATTAGTCTTAAATAATCTGAATTTTCTAGATGGATATTGATACGGCATATTTTGGGCCCCAAGACACGCTATGTCAGAATCGCATTGCTCCGCACGTCATGCCTCGGGAACTCTGAGACGGCGCCGCCCCCAAGACACGCCGAGTCAGAATCCGTACTAAAGCACTGCTTGGCACGTCACGCCTCAGGAACCCCGAGATAGCGTCACCCCCAAGACATGCCAAGTCAGAATCCGCACTAAGGCACTGCTCGGCACGTCCACCATGCCAACCCGCGTACGACCGACCCACGACCTCTGACCAACATCTTGCCAAAGGAGGTAAAAAATCAATTGATCACTTGACTAACTTGCTCGTCGAAGGGGCCTCGTCAAAAATCACTCGATGAGGGCCATTTTTATAGGAAAGCGATCGTCCACGACTCGTGAGCGTCTCGACGAAGGAGAGCAGCCAATCAGCCCATATCCCGATCAACGCCAACCAACACTCCTTCTCGAGGGTGCGGCCACATCACAAAGACGAACTACCAACCACCCGGGAATCACCATCCAGTGCACGAAGGAGAGCAGTGAGTCGGCTCGGATCCCGACCAATGGCAACCAGCACCCCTTCCCGAGGGCGTGGCCACCTTATGAAGACGAGCTGCCAACCACCCTAGAGAAGGAGAGACGCAGCTCGACATACACGGCGCACGGATCGGCACACCAAGGAATGTTGATCAGCACCCTATCGCGAGGGCCCGGTCGACCTCAACATCTAGCTCAATTGACGGAAGACTCCCGACATCGACTCGTGGATCAGGTCATGCTGACTCACCAACCACGGTGCATTTGTTCACTAACAGATATTATGAGAATATACGGAACATACGATTATAAGGATAATACATTATATCCGGATAGCATTTTAATTCAGTAACGTAGTATTGATTGGTATTAATGAGTGCAACAATTAAGTACCACTTCAAGCCATATTACGATTGAAATGAGTAATCTTTTCACAGTGGCCATTAATATTGCTACTTTAATCCTTCCTGCCATCATGGCTTTCACCTCCATCCCCCTTTACCAGCTCAATTCCTCCCTTCTCCTCCGCCTTCTCGCTACTCTTTGATGCTTTCCCAAAGAGCTCCTCCATCTCCTCCAAGTTCCTCCCCCTTGTCTCCGGCAAGAACACGTAGAAGAAGACCCAACCGGCAGCCGCGATGCCGGCGTACAGGTAGAAGCTCCCCGATATGCTAATGGCCTTGTAGAGTGACAGGAACGACATGGTCACGGCCCCGCTCATCAACCTGTTCATGGACGCCCCCAGGCTCGCTCCCTGCGCCCTCAGCCTCAGGGGGAAGATCTCCGAGCTGTACACCCACGCTATCGGTCCGAGGCCGATCGAGAACGAGCCCACGAACGTCAGCACCGTGGCGATGCAGAGCGCCACCGCCCACGTCAGCTTCTCGCCGGGGTGGTGGTCGATGGTCAGCAGCACCGACGCCAAGGTGATCAGAGAAGCGATCATTCCTGCGGCGCTGCTCAGCAGCAGCGGCCGCCGCCCGACGCGGTCCAGGAGGAACGTGGCGACGAGTATAAACGATGTCTTGGTGAATCCGACCGCCACGGTCGCGCCGAGCCGCTCGGTCTTGCCCTTCAGCCCTGCCTTCTCGAATATGGTGGGGCCGTAGAGGACGACGGAGTCAATGCCGGAGGCCTGCTGGAAGAATTGCAGCCCCAGTGCGGCGAGAAGCGTGCGGCGGACCGGCGGCGTCGGAGTGATCAGTAGCTCCTTCCAAACGCCTTCCCCGTGGCTGCGCTCGGGCACCGGCACAACCTCGTCGGTGCAACCTTCTGGTATCCCGGCAGCTTCTTTGATCTCCGAGAGACGCAGCTCCGCCTCCGCCGGCGTGTCGGAGGTCTTCGCGAGGATCGCCTTGGCCTCGCCGAGCCGGCCTTGCATGACGAGCCACCGGGGCGACTCCGGCATCGCGAGGACGCCGAGGGCCAGGAAGACGGGCGGCACCGCGCCCACGCCGAACATCATGCGCCAGCTGAGGTGCTCCGGGAGCCCGGCGAAGGCGAAGTTGGAGACATAGCCGAGGAGGACGCCGAAGTTGATGAAGACCTCGGGGAAGGAGGTGAGGAAGCCGCGGGAGGAGGCGGGGGCCACCTCTGCAGCGTACACGGGGGCGATCATGAAGGCGTAGCCGACGCCGACGCCGGCCACGAAGCGACCCGCCATCAGGATGGCGTAATTCGGGGCGAGGGCCATCACAAGGGCGCCGGTGAAGAAGATGGCGCACGCCAGGATCATGGTGTAGCGTCGGCCGATCCAGTCGGAGGTTCGCCCGGCCGCGATCGAGCCGATGATGGAGTACACGTTGATGATGCCGGCGAGGATCTCGATCTTGGTGTCGTCGATCTTCAGGTCGTTTTTGATGAACAAGTTGGCGCCGCTCATCACTGCTACGTCTGTAGATGATAGCAGTTCGTGCATGAGAACTTTATAGCTCGTTAGCAGTTAAAGCATGAGAAGATCAGAGTGACTACCATAGCCCGAAACGATCGAAGTCATGGAAGCCAAGCAAGAGCAGCCCAAGGCATACATGTTCCTCTTAGGCTTCTCCGGCTGCGCCATGGTAGGAGATTTCCTGCGTTGCAGATGAAAAGAGAGAGCTATCTCAGTAGAGTAACACTCTGGAGTTTGTGGTCTGCTTCAGGTGGCCTAAATTATTGAATGAAAGACTTGTGGTGAAGAAGCAGGTAGAAGACAGAGGGGGACAGGTCTTGATCTTTCCACAAGTATCGTCACAGCAGACGACGGAGTGGTCCAAGGCAAGTTGGTCAGTCTTCGTCATCGACATGGCTGCCTTAGTCCAAGCTCGTGCTTGGAAGTTTCGCTCTGGAGAGAAGAATGAGGCTGTAGTTTGGATCTCTCTAACCATTAAAGCTGCACTATGTTTATGCCTGGAGATCGAATTAATGTGTGGCTGAGAAAGAAGAATTCCTGCAAAGTGAATGTATCAGAAACTTCGCTCTCGGTATGAAAGCTGCTAGTCC